ATCAGGTAAGACTGCAAACATGATACCGTACCTAGTTTACCCTACAAGACCTTTTGGCAAAGTGTAGGTATCCGAGCCTTTACCATCATTCATGCATGTGTTTTGGCACATCATACACCTATTATCAATACCCGCTTCACCAAACATCATAGCAGAAACTTACAGTGTGCAAGGAAGTAATCCAATCACCAGCATCATGAACACAATGAGTCGCACTATTATTGTCATCATCATCGATCTCCACTTTGATTCGTTGTTTATGTATAGTGATATTAGTACGTAGGAACAGGCACGTATTGCTAGCTAACGGCGACTTTTATCCAATCATCATTGTTGCGAGATCCACTGCATGGGAACGTTTGATATACCCCTGCTCTAGACATTCATTTCCATGATTAAAGTAGGTTGATCCGAGCTGATTTGACTGAGCTGCGGTCAAAGAGAGGTTACATCACTCTGGACATCAAGCACGCTCGATGTAGCTCAACCGATGTAATCTTGTGTGAGCGTAACTCAACCAAATCAGCTCGGATCAACCTACTTTAATCATGGAAATGAATGTCTAGAGCAGGGGCATCGTTCCCATGCAGTGGATCTCGCAACAATGATGATTGGATAAAAGTCGCCGTTAGCTAGCAATGTATGACATAAAAGTGAGGGTTGTGTACCTTTCATGCATTGTCCCTGAAGTCCTGACTTTTTAGCTGAGTTACCCAAAGAGGTCCTTCTGCATCTTTGGCTCTCCAGGGTCTAGCTACTTGGCAATGAACAAAGACCTCTTTTCATATAGCATCACGCTTACAGCATATGTAAAACATAAAGGTTCCAGTATCTCTAAACTTTACAATCAAACGTGGGGTCTTTGATAGAACAAAGCTGCTCGGCGGGGTGAAAGCGATCTTGTGTCAAACTATGAAGTCGATCGTGGCCGATCCCAGATTCACCCAATGTCGCTACCAGCCAAAAAATATTTTCGTCGTCAACGAAAAAAAGTTCAAGAGGTCGACCCACTTTGGCTGGTGGCGACATTTGTGAAATCTGGGATTGGCCACCTTGATCGTGAAACTGGTACACAAGGTGCTGTTGGTCAAGCCGAGCAGTTTTGTTCTCATAAAGAACCCACGTTTGATTGTAAAGTTTAGAGATACAGGTACCTGTATGTTTTAACTATGCCGTAAGCGTGATAGAGCTGCTTTTTCTTAGTGGATGGTGTCGGCTGCATTAACGGAAAGACGAAGAGCTGAGTAAAATGGCACGTCGTGATGGTTACACATAGTACTGCACAAATGGATAATGATGATGATGGTTACCTTTAGGAAGCTACCCAAGTAAACACCCGTCCAATAATAATGACAATGTATTGAGGATGGTATGTGTATCACACATCGTCGTTTCATGTATGTCACATTTCCATGTACACCCCTCCCCCAGTCCACACGACCAACAAAGTGGATGATGATGCTCACATTCATACATTGGAATTGGTATACATAGCTCATCTCTTCAAACTCAATGGAGAATCACCCTTTCTCTTAAGCTCAACCCCTCTCTCTTTATCTATCAGAATACGTGTTATGAACGTATGCATGTATTCGTGGTCCTTACAAGGCCGATAACGGAACAGTTTTTATTCTATCAAAGTTATCATATTAATCTACCCCAAGTGGATAATAACCCATCCTTTCTTCTAGCTGTGTAGTTGGCCCCCATCATGATTCTAGTCCTTCATCATCATCCTTGCTCATCGTATCAAAATCGTTATCCTCATCTCTAAATAAAACCAGCCACCATCAATAAACCGGGTACATGTTGGGAGGATGTTGTTCGTCAAAACCACAGAGGGATGCAAATAGTCCAAATCACCATCCTTTGTGAAAGCACTGCTCACGATTCAAGCAAATCCAGTTGGATCCAAGGACATCGCTTTCGTAGTTGCCCAGACTCATACTTGCTCTCGTTCATCCTCTTCTCTAAAGGAAGAAGGACCCCTCATCTTTCCAATCCTCAAAGAGTAACCACCAGCATATTGTGAAAACGGCCTGTCTTGTGCACTGATGATGTCAAACGACCCAAAAGGGAGTCGAACCCAAAGAGATGATGATGATGCCCAAAGTTGGATTGCCTGACCAAAGAAACCTATTCAATTCATTATTACCATGCATATACAATAAACGCCTCTTTCATCTTCTTTGTTCACTGTACTTGCTTTTTTCATATACACAAAGACCCGTTGTTGCAGGCTACTTGGGAAACCAAAGACCACGATGTAGTGTAGGCGAGTCGAGTCAAAAGCCAAATGAGCCAAAGTCTTTGCGATCGAATCTCGTCGTCTATACAAGCTAACACTTCAATGGAGCAAGTTCTACTACAACATTGGCCGTGAATGTACCTGTTGGCACCAATCGTGGAGTGGCATGACAACGAAAAAGAAGGGTGGTGATGATTCACCTTGGTTACAGCAACCCGCATTAAACTCTTTCTGCAGCACATACAGCACTTGCACACACACGCATCCTCCCACTCAATCAAGATCCCCACATGCATGATCATTATACCATTGCACAATCAAAGGCTTGTCATGTTTGAATTACCTTTCCATCCTTTATTAAAGAGTTATCATCATCTTTATGTGATCAATTATAGAGAGAAGAATGCTTTTAAAAGAAAAGTTTATTGGATATCAAGTTACAAGACTATTTAATGCCATGCTTAGCCCATCATGATGATGGTTTCCAGATGTGACCACGAGGAGGTGATGACAATCCACATCCATAGTTTTACGTCTTCCCGGACGGGCCCTTTTAACGTCTATCGCGGACGGCTAGTTATACGTCATTTGAGCTACGACGGCAGCATTTATAGAAAATGTGCGAAAAGGCGTTTACGTCTGACGACGGCAAACATTTTACGAATGTGCAAACGGGAGTTTACGTCTTACCAAGACGGGCCCTTTTAACGTCTATCGCGGACGGCTAGTTGTACGTCATTTAAGCTACGACGGCCATTTTAACGTAAATGTGCAAACGTGAATAGTTAACGTACCATCAAGACGGCTTCGGGCGTGAAGCAGACGCAGTAGTTAACGCACTACCGAAACGGGTCTTTTTTAACGTGTTATGGACGTACCTAACAACACGGGCATGTTTACGTAGGCCAAGACGGGCAGTTTACGTCTTACCAAGACGGGCCCTTTTAACGTCTATCGCGGACGGCTAGTTATACGTCATTTAAGCTACGACGGCAAAGTTTATGTCGATGCAAGACATCTCCAAAGGAGAATGAGGTTGCGCAACCTGCCCCGTTAAAGAGGTCGAAAAAAGGCGTTTGTTATATACCCGGTTGCTGCGGATGTTGAAACGCGCAAATTTTTTCACACCCAGCGTGGTTTTTTTTACGTGCTCATTTCCCGTTTTTTCGCCCGATTTCCTTTTATATCCACGCGTACCGCGTCAGCGCGTTTTGTGGGCTAATTGCTGCCAAAAGACGCCGTTCTTTTCTCTACAAGTACGCAAGAAGAAGGGGAAAGTAAATGGTGTTGTCATGGCAATCATGCAACTGACACCTCCTATTGTGACACGAAACTATCATGCCGAAGCGGGGAAACGTGCAGCAAACAGCGGCGCCATGTACCACAATTGTAGCTACATACTTACACGTGATTCGATACCTGTTTCACGAGTTGAAGTGGTTTAAGCACAGGAAGATTAAGCGAAGAGTTTATATATAAATGCTCTGTTACATAGTGATTTGCTATTTTGTAGGGAAAGGAATGAACGAGGTATGTATCCATGGGAACCAGGTAGTCATGGTAATATCCACCAGAGTACAAAAATTCCTATCAGCGCACTCTTGCAACTTGACTCTTCTTGTCCTTTTCCTTCACGTCCGCCTATGAATTACCAATTCAGCCTGCTCAATGTCAGAATGGTTGCAAGCAACAATGTCTGAAAACGATCCAAGAGTGTGGGTACAAAAGCTTCAGCACCTGCCAATTGTTAACGACGCCGATATTTGAGTGCTCTTTTGCCGACAGGAAACGATCGATCGACTCATCTCTTCTCTGGAACGACTGCATCAAATATACTCAACTGTGGCAAAATACTGGCAGCAGCGTGCAAGCGAAAGATGTGCCAAAGAGAAAAAGTGGATGTGCCTGCAACAGTCATAAGGATCTCGCCCAACTTGTTCTCATGTCAAGGAGTATGTTAATCGAGTTGGCTGGTTTAGCATCGATGCTATTGCCAATGAAAAGGATGAGGTTGTATTGGGATAATGGCTCCAGTGCCATGGTGTTGGATTTATACGTACGGTTGATAGTTGTTGTCTCATTACTTTTGGAATAAAGATCCATCGGGATATATACTACAATGTTGGATTGGAAGGGAAAGGTTATAGATGAAACGAGAGGGAGCAATGTGCCATTTGCGTCTGAGATCCTGAGATCTACCACGTTAATCATACATGTTGGATATTACAAAGGATTGACGTTGACTATCATGAACAATGAAAACTCCCATTCAAACATGAGCTGTCATAAGCACCATCCTTCGTTCATAGTACGCAATCGAAAAAGGAGCCATGATAGTGCACCATTGTCTACCACTATGCACCTTTTCATGATTACTGCTGAGATGTTCATCCATGAGCTAACACCTCATTACATGATACCAGCGCCCTCATTTGTAGTAGTAGTAGTAGCAGTAGCCCTTACATTGGGGGAAATCACGATAGCTTTGTACTTTTTTTTTCCAACACAAATATACAACAAATGACTTTATAGCGTTATTAGAAATCGGGGAACAGGTGGCCGTAGGGATCTGATGTGTTGGTAACGCCGTATTGTTCCTGGGTTTCTGGGTAACGATCAAAATGGCTAGCATCACCATCACCACGGATTTGCGGTATATAAGGTGCCCTCATTTGGCGTGCAACTACCTTATTGAAATCCACACTATGGAACCACCGGTGTCCTTTGACATCGTCAGCACCGCCCTTCAGATTACCATATCGCTTTGATAAATCCGATGTGAGTAGTCGCTTCAACAAATCCCGTGCATCCGGATCAAAATATTGTGGCCATCGGATCCTGCCGTGTAAGATCTTCTCATATAGCTTGACATGATCCTCGTCATAGAAAGGAGGATATCTATCATTCATTGTTTAGCTCATCCATTCAATGGCCCACACCCCACTTAATATCCCCCATTTACCCTGCGAGCATTTCAAAAATAAGAATGCCCAAGCTCCACCAGTCCGCGGCTTTACCATAACCTTTGGATTGGATAATCTCTGGTGCTATACGTATGTATGATGCCGTCGTTAGCTGTTGCGATTCATCGTGCATCAAGATTTGATCTTACCCAAGTAATCTGGAGTACCACAAAGAGTCCAAGTAATATCAGGGACATGTTTAGCAAAGCCAAAGTCAGTGATACGAATGTGGCCACTAGCATCCAACAACAAGTTTTCAGGCTTGAGATCCCGATAAATGACGTCTTTGGAGTGCAAATATTCGATTGCCAAAACCACCTCAGCTGCATAAAATTTGGCAACGTGATCAGGGAAACGCTAATCCAAAATCCGCTTAGTCAAATGGTTACCACATCATCATCACCCACCCATGTATTCTTCTCTGCACTTCCATTTCCCCCCCCCTTTCCTTGATGTGTATCCTACCTGAGAACGACGAAGGATTGAAAATAATTCACCACCGGGAACGTAATCCATTACCATGTACAGATTGACATCATCTTGAAATGTACCCCACATGTTGACGAGAAAAGGATGTGCCACGGATTCCAAAATGTGCTTTTCATTGTTTGAATGTGCCACTATAAGGAAAGGGCAAGATTATTATCCACATCCAAACCCATACCATTCCCCCCCCTTTTCCCCCTCTTTACCTTGCTTGAGTCTTACGACTTCAGATTTCTTAAGTACCTTGATGGCATAATAACGAGCATTCACACGCGATTGAACAAGATGAACGCGACCAAAAGAACCAGTACCGAGAGTACGCAAGACATGGAAATCAGCCAATTTGAGCTTTGGACGGTTTTGGCGTTGCTGGATAATGTTCTTATCGTTGTAGACATGGGTGTATGTTGAGGATGGAACATTACGTGTATGAACGGTGCGAGGCTTCTCTGGTGTCCCTGCTATGATATCCATATAAGCTATCTCTTGATAGATGAAATGCGAGCAGTATATACAATCCATCTTTTACTGCTCGTCTCCACACTCTTTGTATAGCACTCACTAGAATTATCCAGGCTCATACGCGTTGCTTCACTTGATGATGGGGTCATTTCAGGTTGTGGTTTTTGGTCTTCAGGTAACTGGTTGTTGCTATGGTCGGATGGCAGCTGGTGGTTGGGCTGGGTATTATGCAATTCCTTTGAAGACGTTGTAGATGGTTGTTGGGTGGAAGCAGTAGATGAGACACTGGAATGGTTGCTATGCTGGTGCGATTTTGCCTTGTCGATAATCTTGTTCAAAAAGGTCATTTTGCGTGAGAAGGCGGCCTGAGAAGAGGTGCAAGTGGAAGCAGCAAGAGGAAAGCGCAAATGAATTATAGCCAATCATCCGCCATCGAGTGCACAAACGCAACACGAATGTTGCATATCATACTCAGACATCACCCTTTTGGGATTTGCAGGATGCCCATCATGATGAGACATGTCATATTAGGGAAATAAAGATATCAACTTTATGAATCGAATTGGATGCTATTTACTTTGGGTTGTGGGGGGGGGAAGGTATAAAAGATAAGGTATGCTTCAATGGTAGCATTTAAAGTAACAAGTGATGATGTTTTAAAAGTGTGGTGGCGACACTGTTTGATCCGACGATGAAGGAGTTGAGCGGATGAAACCAGAGGAGCTTTCCATCAAGGCACACCCTGCTTTCTTGTCTCACCCCACACCCACAGAGCTGACTGCTTTTCGGTAGCTGAGCTAGCTGCGTTTTCAGGATCCAAAAACTCAAATTCGATCTGCTTTACACACATTGCATTCATCCCGTTTTCTTCTCCTTTCTTCTCTTGTTGCTATGGCCAGATACTTTGGCTTTTTCTTTATAATTACAGCGCTTTGCGTAGCAACCACGGCTGCCATGGCAACAACTCCCGCTTATTCTTCTCCTCACGTGCCATCCGTCTCAAGTTGGCGAAACCAGGGATCAACAAAAGGTCGAGAGAGTAGAGCTGCTGCTGCTGCTGCTTATTATCCACTCTTCAGCACAGTCGTTAAAACATACAACGCCAACTATGCTTTCGAAGCAAGAGACTACGAACTATACATTAACGCTTCCGGCATTCTCCCATCCACAGCTGCTGGATCATCCCGTTTACGTTCTTCCTCATTGCACGATCCCATTGCCACCGATTCTCTTGTCTCTGGACCTGCACTTGCATTTATCGTGGTGTTAGCCCTTGGTGCATGCATGTTCTGACAAACGACACCACACCACCACCACCACAACAACAACAACATCATAATAATACCATCACCATACCCCCTTCTTCAGCCTCCTCTCGCTGCGTGTGTGTGCGTGTGTGTGTGCAATGTACGACATGTTTTCTTAAACCGATATCCGTTATTCCACCACCCGTTTACTCGTTCGCCCTGATCCAGTCTTATTCACCCGCTTAGCATCATTGTCATTTATTCATTTATCTACATCCTAGTTCATCCTGTAGAAAGATCAAAACGTTATTTTTGCTTTCGCGCTAAACACTAGTCAACTATTACTACTCATTATCATAATAAACCAAAATGCATGGTCCCAAACATTTGGTCCCGCTTTGGCTGTGTTGTGTGTAACTTTGATTTCGGGGGAGATAATACAACATGGTATCCAGAAAAAGTGATGGTGGGCTTAGGTGTCAGTTATCATCATCATCATCATTAATAACCTTTGATTGATAGATCAAGAAAGAAAAAGTGGCTGCCTATTATAGTTTCACCTCCAACGTCATTTGTTGTGAAATGTACCTTTGGGGAAAGGTGTATTTGCTAAGCAGCATGATGATGTGTACACAGCTCTAACAAAGCATGCGTTGTTGCTTCCAATAGTATGGATGTTGTTGTTGTTGTCCTTGCCAACATCAAGGAACATACTTGCCTTTCCGAAGTATGAAAAAGATGAATCGTAGTCGAGTTGAAAACGCAATACCTTTGGTTGTGCTGCAAATAAGCAATGATGCTATGAGCATGCCCATCACCACATTAACTTTTGCTATGATGGATGATATGGAAACACGTAAGATGGTGTCACATACATGCCCCCCCTGGTGGTATCCAGAAGCACAGAAGGAGTAGGTAATTGAGATGTCCTGTTGTTCTTGGATTCACAAGAACCGGCGTTATAAGTCAACAGCGATTTTCGTTTTGTAACCTTTCAATTCATCTTAAGGTCGTTTGCCGTGATGGTAGTCCTCTTTTCATGCTATAGTTAACCATTATCAATCCTATTGCAACCATAAGAATGCTTATCTGCATGTCAACGCAATTCTCTTAAAACAATACCCGATTATAGATAAGGTTTTCTAACGTCATGCCTGCTGCTTATTATAGCCATCGTTTTTTCCCTTTTCTACACCTGTGTCCATTTCTCACGTACATAATTGGACAAAATACTTGCTTGCAAAGTGGGACCTTCACATGTACTTGTGGATATGGGTAGTTTTATAAGGAGCCTGGCGGTGAATTGGAGCCTACGTCTTGTCATTCAAAAAGCAATTTGCATAGGATATGGAGAATACGAGTACTTGTTATTGGTGTCAATGTGTGGGTCCTGTGTTTCCTTATTTTACGTGTACTTGTCGTCAAAGCTATATGCAACACCATGTCAACAATCTTGCTATGCCCCTGCATACAGGATGACATACATATTCATGTCCGACCTCTTCACTCTTTTGGCGTCATCTTCCAACTTGAAGCTATTATTGGTATGAATATCCAGATTTGATCAGCCACGCAATTTCTACTACGACTAATTTCCCAAGGTGTAGGTCGAATGAATCGGCGACGATGCTATGCTTAGCATGCAAAGTAAACCAACCTTTTGTTGAAGAATCAATAAAACTGTAAGGAGGAGGAGAATGTGACAGCTGAACAATGCAGATCTCTCTCACACACGTACACCTTTTGCTTTTGAGCGCATTACTTACATCCATGGGAATACATAGCATAGTAGGACTTGGAATTGCTACAAGTGACATTAGACAGGTGGCATCGCGTGATGTACAATGATCCGGTTTTTGTGCCACGACTTTGCGTTACCATCAACATTACAGCCATTAGAGCTGGTCACCGTTGCAGGTGTAGGAGGTTTGTAGGTAGTACCAAATTAACTTGTATCACAGCATCGACAGCGTGGCACTTGCCAAAGATCCCTTGTTTGCACCGCACTTCCAAAAGGCGACTTTTCTCCATCCTCATGCTTGTATGTTCGAGTAGTAATTATTGGAAGGTACTTTTTCCATACACATTTGACCAAAGCAAAAAACGATGGTCCGTGGAAGCAAATGGTACTAGAGAGGGTCACTTTTGAGAAATACGTTCCTGCAAACGCCATCTGGATGATTGCATGGTGCCTTAAGCGATCCAAGATTGTTAAGGATCATCAATTTAGGGTAATAAATGTTACTTGTATACTTCTACTGATCCTTTTATTACAAATGGGAGGTGGGCTTATGATGATTTTAGATCACCATTCATCATCCAAAACATCGACAACATCGACCGTATCGCTGCTATCGGCCAAGAAATGGGATGTATGCGTGGTGCGCTCGACTCGTTTTTGTTTTCGAAGCTGAGGTGGTAATGTGTGTAGACTAAAGTAATTGGGTGGTGATTGGAGAGGAGGCGTGTAGTTTTGTTGTAGTAGATTAGAAGCACCTGTGCCATTGGCAGTAAGCAAAGGTGTGGAAGGTGGCTCATCCAAAGAAGGATCAAAAAACATGGGTACGTCATCTGAGGTCTGATAGGGTTGAATGGCTGTCAAGTTGGATACTTGAAGCATTTGATCATGCTGCAAATTTGCAATTGCAATGGGCACCACCAAGTCGGCTTTGTGTATGTTGTTCTTTTTAAGTAATCTCCCTGTGCTACCTTGTAGTTGACGACATTCAATATGCAGCACCAGGCTATAGTAGACGCGTAAATGCCGTGATGTGAACGAAGGTGATACGCCACGTGTTGGTAATCGGAAATGCAAAGGGATCCGAGCTTCGCCATCATTGCCGGGGACTCCCGTATGCGTTTCAGAGATAATGACGCTTTCATCTTTACGATAAGCTGTACCTTGTTGCAAACGCAACTTGGCGTCATGGTGTTTTTTAAGCGTGTAGCCAAGATCACTAATAATCATATTGGAAGGTAAACATCGAATCTCCAATTGGATATCAACCCAATCATCTTGGACAGTAAAAGGATATAAGCTTTACGTTTGACGACCTTTATGTTTTTAATTTTACCTGGGCAAAAGACTTGTTGGGAAAGTAACACTTTGGCATGCGCATAAGGTGTACAATTATGGAATTTGTACAACCAATCTTCTAACGCACAAGGTACTGGCAGGGGCGCACAGATGATGGGTCGAAAAGGTGTGCTGTATTGTTTGCTTCGTATGCTGGGTTGGAATGCTGCACCATCCACATGAGCTGTCCACAAGTATTGCATCGAGCATCCAGCAGGCTCATTGACACTGGGTGGAAAATTCACGTTGCAAAACTAAGAGGTGGGATAAGAATCATCATCAATGTAGTAAAAGATGATGCTATTTACCTTTAATGCAAAGGGAAATTTGTGTGTTCCCGGTTCCAGTGTTTGCCAGGTATTTAGCACAAATGCTATCATAAATCGAGTCATTATGAATCCTTTCCAATGTGGTATACACGACGACTTACCGCTTGTTTCATGGCCCCACACTTTGGTATCCACTTCAAAATGAACCACTGTCACCTTGTGAAGACAACAATGGGGCTTATCTTTAACTCTAATTGCAACCACCTCTTCCGCCCGAAGCTATCATCCATATTAATAAGCTCCCATTTCCACGTTTCAATCAACCACTATTTACCTTGATACGAATTTGTGTCGCCTGAATGGGTCGTGTTGCATGCAAAATAACCGTGCCTATTGCATAAAAGTATATCAACAAAGATGCAACGGCCAAGTGTACGTAATCTACTTACCACGCACAATGCGTCCAGGGCGTAGCACGAGTTGTTGAGTACAATCGAAATGTATGCTGACAGTGCTTGGTTGGGCAATCATGGGTGGACAAGGTAAAGAGCTATTGCTGCTGCTATTGCTGCTGCTGCTTGTTCTATTACTTTGTCCTGTGTTGGCTCCTGTAGTAATGCTCAATGATAATCCTCGTGAACGTGAGCGTCCTCGTTGTTGTTGTTGCTGCTGCTGCATGTGATGGTTGTCATTGCTGCTTTGTTGTGGTAGCCTTAAATTGTCGACGTTGCTGTTATCTGATGGTGTAGTAGTAGCAGCGTTGAAAGTAGAAGGCGTAATAGGCGATGGGTATTGTAGCGTGCTTGTAGCGGTGAGAGGAGGACTCATTGTTGTGGAATTGGATAGAAGAAAAGAAACAGAGGAAATGGAAGAAGCATCCAGCGATAAAAAGACAAAGAAAGATGGTCGCATGACGTCTGATCAGGATCTTCCTTATGCGGAGGAGGTCTTGCTTTTTGTACTACCCATCGTGGATGTCATTCAAAGCTATATCTACTGTACATGGCAACGTGGAACACACACTCACGCACACATCACCTGGAGTCACATCAGCCATCATGCAAATTATTTCGTGTGTGTTGATATCATACTATGCTCACCGCTTTTCTTTTTTCAAGATCATCTTTTCGTAATAGCTTGTTGTTGTGGTGATGGTGCTGCAGCAGTAAAAATATAGTTATAGCTGTGCAACCAATATGAGCCACCTATGTGTAAGCTTGTTTACCCGAAATAAAAATGTCGTCGCTGTTGTTGACCATTGCGTCAAAGTGCTTGTCAGCCGCTTGAAAGCATGACGATCGTTTCCATGACGACAACGTGGTCGACGAGGAGACACTATCCCATATTTGTCACCCTCCAGTGGTGTAATTCAAATGTATGACTGATCCCACTCATAGAATCAACACTCACAATTTTATTGTGGAATCCAAATACAAAGAGGATGGTATACTACATTGATAGAGTATGTGCATTGAAATGAAATGAGGGGCCATGTGAGGCTCAGCGTGTGTCGTACAAATCCTCGTTTCAGGTAAACCCAACCAACATGTACACGCCGCAGGTCAATGCGGGCTACACATAATCGCAAGTTGAAAGAGAATGTTTATCATGCGGAGATGTGGGTTCAGCAAGGTGGATACAAAAAGTCATAACGAGTTGGTTCTAGAAACCACGTGGTTGAATGCTTTGAAGGATTAGAAAAAGGGGAGGTTATGATGTTTCGAGTGGATAATGTTGTTGATGTTTTTATTTAGGTGGGAATGTAAATCATGCAATGTGGAAAAAAAGAAGCATCCATATTGTGCGTGTGTGTGTTCCTGGGTTTCGACAATTAATTGGTGGTGGTGGTGGTAGTAGTGGGTGCAGCAAACTTTTTCAACAAAGCATCACGTCTTTTGTGCCAATGGTTTTGCCGTTCTTCCATGGTCAGCAGAGAAGATGGATGTGACATTGGGTGGTGGCGCGGATGATTCTTTGGTAGAACACTGTTGTGATAGAAGCGTCTCACATTGGGTGGGTATCTTATCGGGTTGAATGATGGTTTGTGGTGTCTGTAGGGTGGAGGCCGATTCCAATCATAATAGGTAGTTGATCTCTCTAACGCACCATAACAGGCTATCTCTGGATGTCGTTGCTTTTGTCGTTCCACATCATCGGCTGCTGCATGAGCATTGTGCCATCCATACTTGGCCCATATAAAAACCATTGCTGCTACAATCCCATACAACGACGTGATAATGACAAGGCTGACAAGGACAACCGGGAAAAGATCATGGATGTATCCTAATAGCGACCTGTCAGAATACGTAGACGTATGTAGTAGAGAGCATTACATACATACCTGATGGTGTCTCATGCGGCGTTGTTTCAGCGACATTGGAAGAGTGATAATAAGAGGAGTCTACACCACCTTTGCTTGTAACAAGGAACAACATGGGGATAAGATGTAGGATAGGAAAAACTCGGAAAGGTAAACGAAAAAGAAAAGCATCCCACCACAAGGCAATGAAACTGACCAGGATATAATCTCTGCCTTTTTCTTTGCAAACTTTATTCTGTAGTAAACAAGAGTAAGTAAAGTACATGTATTTGTCTATTTCTTTTCATCCTCGATATTCTTGACAGGAGTATCATCACGACCAGGGCCTTTTAAAAGGACGTCCATGAGTATAATCTCTCTCATATCCATACCACCATTCACTACTACTTACCATTTGCTTCCCAAGGAGACAAGGCACCTTCAAAGTTTCGGAATGCCTGAGCCAATTCAAGTGGTTCTTGGACAACACGCTTCTTTTCTTCATCATAGCGTAATTCGACATAGCCGGTGAGAGGGAAATCTTTACGCAAAGGATAGCCTTCGAAACCATAATCGGTCAAGATACGACGAAGATCGGGATGGCCCACGAAAAAGACGCCAAACATGTCATAGACTTCACGTTCTTGCCAGTTGGCAACGCTAAAGTGGGGGACCATGGATGGCACAGGTGACGTTTCGCTAGCGTAGGTCTTGACACGAATACGAGCATTGTAACGCATGCTGAGCATATTGTAGACGACTTCGAAACGGTGTTCACGCGAAGGATAGTCGACACCCGTGATATCCTGCACTGATTTGAATTGGCAGTTGGTATGATCTCGCAAGAATAGCATGACAGGTTCCAAAGCTGAAGGTGCCACATAGACTGTCAATTCGTCCTTGTACACGCTGAATTGTTGGATATACTTGGGCATGGCAGAGATAAGGTATTGACCATATTCGTGCAGTGCGTCGTTGCCTGACTTGTAGCTGGGGTCGGCCTTGGGGCTGGCTGTTATCATGTTATTGTTGTCAGTCGTCGTCATTTACTCGAAGACGAGGTGTCCTTTTTACCTTGCATGCGAGGTGCGCTCATGGCCAAGGCACGACGAGTGGTGGTGTGGAATGCAGGCTTCACTACATACATATCATGTATAAATACTCAATGGGACAACGACGAATAAAAAACGGCGTCATTACATGTAGCCATGGGTTGCTGACGAGCAACACGCAACAATGTCGTGGTCAACAATCGGGAAGCCATTGGCAATGGAAAGAGTGGGGAGGTGGTGGTGGACTTGTCAAAGGGAGAGAGAGGGGTGGGGGAACAGCCTATCAATGTAAAGTGTTTACTCCACGACGTCACGTAGAGCTTCCTGCTGCTTTTAATGCGCACGGTTCAGGATTTAACCGAGGAACCTTACTCTTGTTCTTTTACCCCACCCAAACCCCAGTCGACCCTTCCTCATGGAGACAGCAGTGAGAAAAGCAACACGTTTGGAATACCAGCCTCCAAAACGAAAGCATTTGGATAGTACGTTTCCTCATTGTCCTTTTACGTGTGGTCATTCGCACCCTTCCTCAACCCGTTAACCTCCATAATACAACATAATAGCGCTCGTTGCTTTGACACACCAAAGCCCGGCCAATATTGAAGATATCATGCACACATTATCCAAACGAATGAAAGAGACTTCATGGATTGTAAGTCCAGCGCATTGGGTCATAAGGAAGGAAGGATGGGTGTTAATATATATACAACTAGATTGTATTCAAGGTGTTGATTATCATTCATACATTAATGCGGGAAGGTGCTGATGACTGTGCAGCAAGCTACGTGTATCATCATCTCGAAATCTTGGAAACAAACAAGTTGCGTGACAAGTCGTCAAGTGAGTAACACCTAATTTGTGCATAAGAAGAAGAGCATCCTTATTGACATTATGCAACAACAACAACAACAACAACAATAGCCCATACTCAAGTACAGAATATCCGCATCTACAAGGAATATCTTGCACGACGTGCAGAAGCATATGGAGAGTTGAGAAAGGATTTGATGAAACCACCCAATGGGCAAAAGGAAGGAAGGCTACGACATCTTTCAACGTCGAATGGATTGCTCAAGGAAACACAGGTGCTACAAAAACAAATTGCATCCATATTAAGTACCAATGTAAGATCATCCCCGACAAGACTAAAACAATGACGCTAATTTTCTTATGTAGCTGCTTATTGATGGTGTGGATGAAGCTATTTGCCTGTACGCTTATCGTCTCATTGTCGAAGACTTGCTCAGTTGTTCTCGGTCATTGAATGAAGGGATTGTTAACATATTAGGTAACCCGATACACATGTACAGCGAGGGAAAGAGACAAATATTTTGACCCAACACATAGAGCATTACTTTGCCATGAGCAAACCAGATGCGCAAACATCCCTCGGCATTTACAAGCGATTCACCAAGCAAATCGAGGACATCATTTCATACTTGAATCAAGCACGACGGCTACAATCCGATATGCAGATTAACATTCCTAATTTGAAGCACGTGAGTTGTAGTAGGGGTGGTGGAAGGTTTTGATTGATTTCAGGAGGAATGATAAATTAACCTGCAAGTCTTTATGATGTAGGCACCTTTATCTCTGGCTACTGCATTGGAAGAATATCTCAATGATCCCAACTATGAAGCACAGCAGGAGGCATATATACGAAAAAAGAACAATCCTGAGGACACCAATAATCAAGAAGGTATGTTAATCAACAGGGAGGAGGCTGATGGTCAATCAAATACTAAAGAGGGATGATTTGTACGTAGCAGCACCCAAACCTGTACAACAACAACAACCATCATCTTCTGTCACCACCACCACTACCACTACCACTACTACCAATAACCTGCCATCATCATCACAACCACCATCAGCTACACCTAATCAAAGCCTTGATGATTTCTTTGGAAGTATACAAAATCAACAACAAACGACATTCATGCAGCAACAACAGCCGTTGACGACCGGTAGCATGGGCTTTGTCCCTTCGCAACAAACATCAACATTCATGGGCAGTCCTCAGCAACTAAATCCTGTTACAATGGCCAACACGGGTGGTTCACATAATCCTTTTCGTATGTCAACTCTTCCTCCCCAACCCACTGGAAGCCTGCCCTCATTACAACAACAACAACCTTTTAATCGAGCCAATTCAATGATGATTCCAAGTCATCGTACTGGACCTGCACAACAACAAACGACCACCACTTCCAATCCATTTAGAACAATGCAGCCCTTACAAGCACAAATGACAGGTTGGCAACAACAACAACAGCCACAAATGACAGGTGCATCAACATCATTCATGCCGCCCACGCTTCCTTTGCAACAACCCAATCCAACTGGATCATCCAATCCTTTTGCATCATCTAATCCACCATCGGCTGCTTGGGGAAGTACCACATTTTAAAAAGGGGGGTTTTATTTGTAGTAATAAAAGCCTGGCTATATAAAAGTGCACATGTTGTTGGGTTGGTGAATCACGTGAGCACGTGTTCGGAATGTCGCGCGAGCCTTTTGTTCCTTTTCGTTACACTTTCTTTTCTTGTCCCTGATGCTTCATGAGCTCATTTTCGTTCTCTCGGGTTTTCCAAGCGACGTCTTTATACCATTCCCCTCCGATGACCCTTGCACGTTTTCAATCAACCCTGATTTCCCATTGTTGCACCCTGCCGAACGCGAATCGTTGAATCGACTTGGCCAACTGGGTTGGATCTATGCAAAGCTGAATACGTTTTCTGTCAAACAAGGCGCGTATGCACAAGCGATGGCGACAGCACTTGAAGCGACATTGGAAGAATACCGACGTGATATCTTGGATATGGAACGACTTTTACTCGACAAAACCTATGATGCAGGTGGAGGTGTGGTGCCTATTTCCCTCTTAGCATCCTCCTTGGGCCGATGGGAGCTATTATTACCAGCATTGCTTGAATTCACCAAAAAGTTTGACGCATGCGAGTATTATGGATGCAAACTTCTTGACCTTGTATTGGACGAGGCACGTACAGGCAACAGTGATTATCGTGATGTGATGCACAAGGTGGCTGATCGATTACATGATGTTCTCTATCGACAAATTACCTCTTGGATGGTGTATGGGAATTGGACCAATGACGAGTTTTTTATTACAAAAAGCACCACCACCGGCAACAATGGTACAACAACAACAGCAACAGCAGGTTGGCAACGTCGCTATGGATTAGCATTGGAGCAAATTCCCAAGCATATCCCGCTTGCATTGGCTGAGTCTGTGCTTTTTGTTGGGAAGGCCGTTGCCACTGTCAACCAAATGGGTAACAACCCCATGCCTGATACCATGAAACAACAGCATTTGCAACTCTTATTATCATTACGTCAACAACAACAATCGCTGCGACAATACGATCCATTGAAACAAGTGGTGCAACAAATACGACGATCTACGGCGGATTGGTTATTTTCACGCGTCTTGACAGGCGAGCATAGCTTGCAATGTTATTTGGAATCATTTCGGCACATGTTTCTTCTTGGTTATGGTGATCTTGCAAGCAACTTTATCATTGCATGTGCAGAATGGCGTAGACGATCACTCGCTAAATACCCGCATGATCAACATCACAAGACAACCATGATCTTTCGACATCAGGAGTTCAATGCCTTGCTGGCCAAGGCCTCTGTGGGCACCGAAGCCGAGGAACAAATGGATGGCTATTGTGTGGAGATTATGCAAAACAATGAATCCACATCATCGTCCTTGTTTAGCCGACTTTTACTGGTGGATCTCAGCTGTACATTACATTATGATATGCGATGGCCCATTGATTTATTTCTCAGCAAAGAGGACTTGCAGTGCTATAGCGATCTTTGGACATTCATGACTGGATTGAGGAACGTACAAATGTCATTATCGGATCTTTGGATATCATTGAGGCATGGGCCTTCGAATCATGAAGCAAGGGCGGTTTGTCGATTACGTTCTTATATGCTCTTTTGGGTGGATACGTTATGGAATCATATTCAGGTAACTATCATGGGTGCAATGAATGAATAGGTAGGGTGATGTTGATTACCCTCTTTTTTTTATCCTAGTCCAATGTCATCACTCCACACTATCAGCGACTCATTCAAGTCATTACGGGTGCTAAACGATCTTCTTACACCACCACCACCGCTACCCCTGCTTTTGAAGATCTTCAAGCTGCTCATACCCAATACCTACGCAACATTATGCAAGGATGTCTCATCTTGACCAAGGATACTGCCCAGATCATGTATAAAGCATTGAGGATGTGTCAAAAGTTCTGTGCCTTTGTGCAAGAATTATGTCATCAAGAGGACTGGCAACGCACCAAACGACGTCGAACGGAGCGAACAGCATCCGATATTGTCAATGAATGGGCAAAGCCGTATGAAAGTATTGAGAATGCACACATGGAACAGATCATGAAGACTGAAAAGGTAAAAAGAGGGTCATAGTAGAATACACGTCTTTTTCTTACTCAATGATGGTATATATACATAGGAATTTTCATATATCACGGATCGTTTCTTTACTCTGGTATCGGACGCACCTCAAGAAATCAAAGCCAATGGGAGCCTGGATATTCTACTGCTACAATTAGATTACAACAAATGGTTTTCGGACAATCGGATAAAGTCGTTATAAAACGGTGGTTTCCATGAGTCAAATTATTGTGCTATGAAAGGGTTGAGTTGCGGGTTGGGGAGAAAAGTTCATACTCGGCAATGGCATTTCATTGGTAAAGGAAAAGGAAAACACGCATTCTCATGTTACCAAGCGCCGCTTTCTTTTGAGTTACCTATAACGTGATGGAGTGGAAAAGAGGAGGAGGGGGGGAACTTCGGCTTCTATTGTGTAACGTGTCCCAAAGTATTGCTCTTTCCTGGGTCATGGTGATATTGTAAAAAAGAAATCATAATAAAGCTGTATTACAATGAAAACAAAGCAGCAAGTTTAAAAAAGGATACTTCACAACAATGGGGGCCCCATAATCAAGGATGTGGGAGTAGTTTTGGATAGCCAGAGTAAAATGAGACATGTCAATTCCCCATTTCTTGGATATTATATTCCATTGTTGTCCTCCAATGGCACGTGAATCATGTAGTAGAATCAAGGATCAGATAAAGATCGCATGGGCGGGGCGGGCGGGCGGGGGCAGCCGGTGACCGACGGCGAACGACGACGACGACTGGAAATGACCATCCTTGTGATTAAAGTCAGCCCACTACTGCCAACTCACACCACTCACTCACACTCACACTCTCTCTCTTTTACCCCTTTACTTCTTTACAATGTCGCAAACAACCACACAAACACCAACACCATTCCCCCATCCAGGCCTTGATCACCTTGAGAATACTGACGAATTGAAACGCCAATGCCCTGCATTTGCTTCTGGTTGCCCTTACGCCAAAATTCAAGATCACGCCAACGTCAGTAACTTTGGTGAAGTTTCCAAATGGTAAGATAAGAACGCCTGGAGTGATCGAAGCATACAGTCTAATATCAATTGTGGCCTTCTATAGTCCTGCTTTTCAACAAGGTATATAATACATACATACATAGCATCATCATCGTCAGGTAATCTCATCACGTGGCTATAGGTTGTCCATTTTCCAACAAGAGCAAGGAAGAGATTGAAACCATGCTTTTACAAGTGCCTGAGAACCATCCTGCTGTCGATATGGAAAGTAAGTGTGTGTGTATATGTGTTTAGAAGGATGAATCAACCCTATTGATCTCGATTTCCATCATCATCATAGAGGCCCAATCCACACCTGAAGGTGCTATCCTTGTCCAAATGTTGAATCAGCTCTTGTCGGAAAGCAGCTTTTCTACTCTCTTTGGTCAAGAAGACCAGGATGCTCTTCAAAAAGAGCCTGAATATCTCAAGGACCCTCAATTGGCTGGTGCCATGCGTGAAGGTACCATGGTAGCTCACAAGGCTGCTGAAAACAGTATTTTCACAAAGTAAGTTCCTATCTATTGGTGCATTACTGTTAATTGACGATGATCATTAGACGATTCCTCAAGGGTGAAATCAACCGTGATGAATATGGTCGTTACCTTACTTCGCTCTACTTTGTGTACAGGTATGTAGGGGTCATCGTCATCATCATTATGATCATAACGACAGCTTACATGATACCTATCCTAGCTCTATGGAATCATTATTGGAAAAGCACAAGGATAATACAGCCATTCAAGTGATTCATTTCCCTCATGAATTGAACCGAAAGGAAACCCTTTTGAAAGGTGAGCATTGTGTGTGTGTATGTGTGTGTGTAAGGATGACTATTGGATGTGTATATTGACCACTCCTCTATGATGATGATGATAAAGATCTCGAATATTATTATGGCAAGGAACGAATGGGTGACATTACTGATCCTGCTACCATGACACCTGCTGTCAAGAATTACGTGGAGGCGATGGAACGTGCATGTGAAAAGGATCCTTCCCTTTTGGTCGCTCATAGCTATTCGCGCTATTTGGGTGATTTGAGTGGTGGTCAAATCTTGGCAAAGCGTCTAAAGAAGCATGTATTGGGTCTCTTGGAAACCGATGGCACTTGGGATTCGGATGAAGGTCTTGCTTTCTACGCCTTCAACAATATCGGTAACCAGAATGCATTCAAGGCTGAATACCGTGAGCGATTGAACACTGCGCCCGTAACCAAGGAATCCCGAGGTATGTGTGTGTGCCTGCACACACACACACTCACCCTATCCTATGTATAGATGCTAACCTTATTGACAATAGATTTGATTGTGCAAGAAGCCATCCGTTCCTTTGAATTGAATATTGCCGTCTTTGACGAGATTCAAATGCTTTCTGAACAAGGCAAGCTGGTCCCCACCCTTGGTAACAACAGCAAAAAGGTCAAGGTTGGATCATCATCATCATCATCATGGCCTACCCTTCTCATTGCCTCTACAGCAGCAGCAGCAGTGGGTGCTTTTATTTATGCCCGTTATTACCAGCGGTCGTAGAGAGAGCATACTTTTTTGTATTAATAAATGTACGTTTTACATATTCAGCCATGGAAATGATATGGTTTTTTATGCAAGTTGCTACATTACATACGTAGTTGGGATATACATAGGAGGGTATGTAAAATCAAGAGTGCACTAATAAAAGTAGCGATCTTCACATTGCTTCCGTAAGCGTCGTAGGGTATCTGCTCTTTGTTTCTATGTACATACACAATGCGTCATCATCATCAGCAGCAGTAGCAGCTTTCACCCATTGGATGGTACTTACTTGAACATGGTTCTCAATATCAAAAACAAAGGGGGCCTGACCAAAGTTCACAGTAATGCGTTCACCCTCGGTATTGAGACCAAAGCAAGGAAAGAGATCACGTGATGTGTCAATGTTGTCGAAAGCAATCCCAAGGTAAACGCCATTCTTTGTGAAAAAGGCCTTTCCTTGAGCTATATCCACACCACAACCCACCACATCTCCAGTCGTGAAAAGAGGTCCGTATCGTGTAGGATCTCCATCATGAAAAGAGTTTCCATCATCACCATGATAGCCCCATGAGTTCTCTTCCCAACCTACAACAACAACAACGTTAGCGTGCATGATGTAGTAGTACTACCACACATACGTACCAGGAAGGATATCCAGATTATTTTCTCGATGACAAAAACCGATACCAATGTATCCATGTTCGCCTTTGGAAATGATGTGCATCTCATAATAGTAGATGCCGCATTCAAATGGGATAGGTGCGTCGCTGCGTACAAGTCCAGCTATATCACGTCCGCATCCTAGGCTGCATTTTAATAAAAGCTCGTCCCACTATGTAGGATGAAGAAACACGAGGTCACCTTGATAGTAAACTTCCGTATCATTTTCCAGTCGAAGAAGAAAGCTAAACATGTCATTGCCATTCAATCGTCTTGGGAGATGGGGAGTGGTTGACCATGGCAACTGAGCCATTTCGGAATAAAGCGTATTGTTCAAGTATTCAATATGGTGCATCATTTGAAAAGCGGGGGAGAAAGTAGTGAAAATGAAACATTTTAGGTTTACTCTTCAAAGTATTCTTCTACTACGCCACTACTAGTACTGCTACTATTACTATTCATAGTCGATCTCAGTTGTTGGGCGGACGTTTGATTGTGGATAGGTTGTTGTATAATATCAGGTGCCATGGATGATGGTGTGAGTTGTAACATTTCTCTCAAGGCCCGATTTTCTGCTTCCAACTCGGCCAACTTTGTCGTTGATGTGTGATCCATATCTTCTTGGTCGGCATAAGCTTTGCGTATCTTGGCAGCCAAATGATGCAATTGATGTCTTAATGTCATGTTTTCCAATAAAAGTTCTGCTGTTGTTCCCTACGTGATCATCATGATCAGTCTCGTTGACAACAAATTCCCCATCACCAACCTTTTCAGCATCCAGCAATGCTTCATATTCTCGTCTCAGTTGGACATGTCCTTCAGCAGCAGATACCTAAGACACGATAATTAGTCTATCTATCGTTTCCATGTTGCTTCGTTTTCTTTCATTTACCGTGTGGGATCGAAGTTTAGCAGTGATCACTTGTAGATTCTCCTCATAGGACTTTACAATATCCTGTAAATCGTTGCATTCATGCTGTAATGCCTGATTACGCTCCATCACCGCATTGTGTCGTTCCGATAGTTCTTTGTAATTAGCCAACAGCTCAGCAGTAGCCTGGTCAAGATCCTTCACATCACTGCTCAGTAACAAGGACGATGTCGTCGTTTGTTGTAGCTCTTTAAAGGATGACATATTAAATTCCTTGATCTTCTCGTATATACACACGTGCACACCACACACGCACACATAGAGTGTCTCTTTGATAATCACCTTGTTTACTCTCTGCCGTTTGCTGTTGTTGCTGGTTGTAAAAAAGTCATGAGTGAAGGGCGTGTCGATGGCGACTTTGTGTTCAATGGGGTGGGTGAGTGGGTACCTTTTGCTCGGCCAGTTGTTTGTTGAGCCCAGATGCTAACTCATGGTTGGTCTTTTGTTGTGCTGCCCAATCGTTTGTGAGTTTCCATAGCTTGGTAAATGTGTCTTCATCGAGCATGTCGTGAGGCAAAAAGTGAGAGCGAGAAAGAAAAAAGAGTTGCAAAAAAGTACCTCCGCATGAGTGTGTGTGGGGTTGTACCTACCTACATACATACACTTTCCATCCCTTACATTTATCATCGATCTTGTGCATAGATTAGAGAGATAAAAAAAGATTAGATTAAAGAACAAAACAACAATATGAATATTTGTATATACATGGTACAATGAGCATTAAGAATATGACACGACTAGCGTTATGGGGAAAGGATGAAAGCGAGTGTGTGCGTGTGTGAAGGACAAGTTGGATATGTAGGAGGGTGATGCGGTATATAGGAGGTCGAATCACGGAGTTGTTGTAAGTAATAGTAGTAGTAGGTTGTCGTCGTAGTAAGGGGGAAGGTTTCCATAGTAAGGGGGTGGGGGTTGTGAGGAGAGATGTGTGGATTGTCTACAAGTGGTGGACTTATAATCTTCTATGCTGTGTTGTCACTGTCATTGTCATCCTCATCTAGGGATTGGCCTTCATAACCTTTTGGATTTCGACGTGTCCAGCGCCACATGTCCTCACACATATCTTCCATTGTACGAGTAGGATACCACCCCAACTCCCGGTTCGCTAGGGATGCATCTGCAGTGCAAATTGCAATGTCGCCAGGTCGTCTATCCACCACTTTGAATGGGATCTTGCGTAAGGTAGCCTTTTCCATGGCATGAATGATTTCCATGACTGAATAACCCACACCTGTTCCAAGATTGTACGAGACGCATCCAGGTTTCTTTTGCAACTTTTGTAATGCAGCCACATGCCCTGTTGCTAGGTCGCATACATGAATGTAATCACGTACACCTGTACCATCCACCGTGTCATAATCATCTCCATAGACATAGACATGAGGTAGGCTGCCTTGCAATACGCGAATGACATAGGGAAGTAGGTTGTTGGGAATGCCTTGTGGATGTTCGCCGATCATGCCGGAAGGGTGAGCTCCGACAGGATTAAAGTATCTCAGCAAACACACGTTCCATTCTGTATCCGAGTTGCACAAATCTCGTAACAATTCCTCCACAAATAGCTTGGTGCGTCCATAAGGATTGGTCACTGGTCCCACACGAGCCGTTTCATCAACAGGAGTGACATCCGGCTCACCATACACGGTCGCACTGCTTGAGAAAACGAGGTTCTTGACATTGTATCGTTTCATCACTCGAAGCAAGTTGATGGATCCAGTCACATTGTTGTAATAATATTCCAAAGGTATCCGTGTCGATTCACCGACAGCCTATATAATAGGGTGGTGGAGGATGAATATTTCATGATCCATAGGATATGCATGTGTGTATCATACCTTGATGGCAGCAAAGTGAATCACAGCCCAAAATCGATATAGAGAAAAACATCGTTCCAAATCAGCTTCGCATGTCACATCGCCTTTAAAGAATTCAACAGGTCTTCCAGCAAGTCGTTCTGCTCGACGTAAAGCCTCTATTTTTTTGACAAGGGGGGAGGGGAATGTTACTATTTGAAACCACCTTCGTCATTTCCATACACACACACACACACACACACGCGCCGCTCGCTACCCTAGCAACAACCATGCCATCCCACACATACATACCAAGATGGGAATTGCACATGTTATCCATGACGACAATCGAATAACCCACGGTCAAAAGTTCCACCACAGTATGGCTTCCAATGTAACCAGCGCCACCCGTGACCAGCACGTATTTTTGACGTATGGAAGGATCCAGGTCCGTTGGTGAATAGCGTTGTACTAGATGATCTGCTGGTGCTCGTTCTGAACGTGCATGTTGCATATTGTGTACAGTGTATCGACGTTGTGTGGTTGTACGTTTTTCAGAAGAATGGGAAGCTGCCCTTGCTCGTGAACCGGGAACGGATCGATGACAAGATCGAGATGACTTTGGATTTTGAAGGCGATCGTTGGGGGCATAGCTGTCTGTATCATGCACCTTGAGTTGCTCGACAATGTCAGTGGCAGATGTGTCTCTATTGTATAAGCGTGACATGGCGCCGCTGGATTAAGGAGTGAAAGTGTGCAAAAGAGAGAGAGAGAGAGAGAGAAAAAGAGAAAGATTCAAGCTAAGAGAACACACACACCTCTCTCTATCACTTTTTTTATAACTCAGAAGCGTTGCATTGCTGCCCTCTTTCTTTTTATGCCCATGCTTTAATGGCTAGCCCTTTTTCATGCACTCGCTCACTTACTCGCTCACTCAAAAACGAGTACCATTTCGTGTGTCAACTTTATAGCATGAACTTGTTGTTTTATTTGATTTGGGTAGAGCGTCAACATAAAGGATCGTTTCACTGGGACAAAAATAAGACAAAAGCTCAGCAGTAACAATGTTACCAGGTGCGTGAAAACGCATCCGCAATCTCTTTTGTGCAACATTTCTCTAGTCGTACACTGCTCCACACATTTATTGCATCCTTCTTTGAAACAACTGGATCAAAAAAAGGGCATTTGCTCACACCTCCCCCCACCCACGCAACGTTTCTATGGTGTAGTGACGATAGTAGTAGTTCATCATGGACGATGCACATAGTCAAATTGGGTAGGTAGTAATAGCCAACGTACATACTGAGATTCAATGAAAGCAACGTGGTTACCATAGGCCGCTTTTGCTCTTTGGCTTTAGTAGTATTATTATGATAATGAATGCTCCTCGATAAAGTACAATAGGCCGATCAAAAAGGGTATAGCGCCCTGTCTTTTAGCACGAGTGATCGACATACCCAAAGTCCAGTACTTTCCCATCTCATTACTGTCATCATGCCACCCTTTTCCATCATCATGGATAAAACTTTACTCTAACGAATTCGAGATGATGAGTCCGATCATGGGGACACCTATTATAGACACAACTCCTAGTAGTATGAGATGAGAGCTATTGGGGTTATCGGACAATGTGCGTGCTCCATGCCACTAGGGTGGTATAATCAAAAGGGGATATGGCGAATCATCATTATCAGGCAGAACAATGATGGATAGGAATGCATAAATCTTCATAAGCACACACCAATTACAAGCATGGCACGTGATTTTAATGCCAAGCGGGGTTATGCTGCTGGGTTAGAGAGAGCTGGGCTCTTGCTTGGCATAGGTGATGTAGTAGCTTAGTAGGAGTATTTCATTCATGCAGGATGATTTCCCAATGATTGTATGATAAATGATCATGTAGTTTATACGTAGTGTCAATAAAATAGTATACAAGGTCTATCTTAGAGAGTGGATACAAGGTGAAGGAGGCATGATGTGTAGTGTGTGCATGTGTTTGTGTGTGAGTGTGTAAGCGTCATCATGTGGTAGAGCCAAGAAAAGAAAAAGGTGGGGTGAAAACGACAAATTTCTATTTCTTTTTTCCTTTCCCATCACTTTTTACCTTCAACATGGTGCATCCCATCGTTATGGCTGCTATAGCAGCGGGTGGTGTAGTCTTTCTTTTGGGTGGATACCATGTCGTGTCAAAGTTGTATGAGGAGTATGAGGATCGACGAGAATACGAAGCCTTTGTTCGACAATACGCCGACCATGAAAAACTGGATGATGATGATGACGAGGATGATCAAACAGCGGCAACCACAAGCCATCCATGGCACAAGCGTCACCAAGATTTGCGACATCGGAAACACATGTTACAAAGTGAGGAATCGGTAAGTATCATATGTGTATGTGTGATCGCAATGACAAAGGCATTGACCATGGTGTGTAGTTGATGCAGTCGTCGATTGAGCTTGATGCATTGGAAAAGAGTATTCAAGAGAGACAGCAACGACTCGAAAGAGAACAAAAAGCACTTGACGAAGCTGAACGTGAAATGGAGCGTCGCAAAGAAGCTTTGGCTCAACAGCGACAGCAGTCAGCATCGTCCTCTTCCATCTTTCAACCACCAACAAGTTCTTTTCACGTGTCGACTGACTCATTCGATTCTTCTTCATCTTCATCGTCATGTGCTTCTTCAGTGGTAGCGGATGATGAAGAACCACAACAACAACATGCTCCACGACTACTATCAACAACAACAGCCACACCACCATCACGTCGATCTTCAGATGGCTATCGTAGCAGCAGTGTTGGATCGGATGATGATGGATTTGCTTCTGTGAGTGACCCACATACAAGCGACTCGTATGATATCCTCAGCGACGACGATTATCGTTCGCCTTAAAGATGACATTTTTTTATCCACATGTACTAACTTTGAATAAAGAATCTATACAATACCATTGTACAAGCCATCAATGTCACTCGTTGTTACACACGTACTACTTTGCCCATGTCAAAGATTATGCAGCAGCACAAGCATCTACTCGTTGATAGTCAACCATGTACTTTTTGTATGGGTGGGTGGGTGATACGGGTTTTGGAATAAAAGGATCATTCCACCACCTTCGTCAGCTGATGTTGTTACAAGAATAATTTAAAAGTGATAAGAGAGAGAGAGAAAGGCAGCAGACCATTATCATCATCATCATCATCATCAACAGTAATAGTAAGAGGAGGATTTATCCATTGACATGTACAAGATGTATTACTGGGAATAGAAGTTATAAATAGATACGGGTTCCTTTTTTTTCCAATAATAACAATGATCATGATCTTGAATGCGGGACTTGAGTTTCTTCAGCAAGATGAGGTACATGCCGATCGCCGCCACCATCATTGGATGACCCTTCAGCTGTAGTAGTAGTAGGCCAAAAGGAAGGTTGTTGTTGGTGACCATAGATACCATATTCGGGTTCGGATCCGCTACTACTGTAATACTGTTGACCAGGCGTATAGCCTGGAATGGGTCCTCCTCCTGGTCCGCCAGCTGTTCCGGCGGAAAATCGATGTTGCGGTGATGTGTCTTCATAGTATCCTTGGGATGTGGATGACATGGATTGCTGATAGTAATTGTTGTTATCGATATCTTCAACCCCCATTTTACTGACAGGTCGATAAGGTGCCACAAGAGGACGTGCATTACTACTCGATCCACCACCACCAGTGACACTGGTAGCTGCTGCTGATGACATGGCTTGACGATCACTGGGAGAATAAAGACCATCAAATGGATCATGGGTGGGTGCTGCTTTTTTACGATTCCTCCGTAAAAGAAAGAACAATACAGCCGCTATTATGTGCGTGAGTGAGTCTTAATGTATGCAAGTGCGTACATGCGTTTTATACATTACCTATAGCAGCTAAACCTACAACACCACCTACAACGCCGCCTACAATGGCACCTGTATCGGATGAAGAAGATCCATCCCCCTTTCCATTTTCATCACCCCCTGGTGTGGTGGAAGGACCAATCATTGAAAAAGAGGTCGATGTAATGGTAACAATATCAGTGCCTGAGCTAGAAATGGTAGTGACTTCCACAGGTGATGAGCTAGGCTGTTGTGTGGTAGTAGTGATGGTCGTTCGAGAATGAGGATGAGATGATGGTTCATTATGTGAGGAAGTGGGGTTGTCAGTTACCGTTCGAGTGGGTTCCTCACCACCACCATTCGATGTTGTTGTTGTGGGACGACCTGGGTTATCGGATGTGGTTGTGTCAGATGTCGGTGGTGGTGGTGTTGTGGTTGAATCGGGAGGTGGAGGTGAATGGGTGGTTGTGCTGGTGTCAGGTGGTGGTGGGTCATCACTACTTGTTGGTGGTGTACTCGTATCGGGTGGTGGCTATATACATGTATACATACATACATACATCAGCATCTACATATAGAGAGATCTTATTATGCTTACGTCTGAAGTTGTAGGTGGTGGAGTCGTAGTAGGAGGAGGATCACTTGTAGTGGGTCCTGGATCATCACTTGTCGGTGGGGGGTCTTCCGAAGATGTTGGAGGAGGATTATCATGCGTTGTTGATGGAGGTGGACCTTCATCTGAAGTTGTTGGATCGTTTGAACCACCCGATGACATGTTCTTAAGGGATAATGGGGAGGGAGAGAAAAAAAAAAGACAAAACCTTGACAATGGATTCAGTCTTTTTTTATATCAACAAGGATACGTCGGATGGAAAGGTTACACGAGACTGGGCAAGGCTGAGGATGTCCAAAACTGGTTGAAAGCAACCACCCCTACCTTTGGAACACACTCTGTAACGCCATTTAATATTTCTCTGGTTGCTAGGCAACGGCCACTGCGTGATAGCATGAATGGCGTCGTCACACATTGTGTCTTACTGCTACATACAGCAACGATGATGTTGTAGTTGTCATTGTTTCGTTTACCACATGTCTTCTATTATTGGGCATGCTGCTGCTGCTGCAGTAACATTGTAAATCTCGTGATAAAACGCACTTGTACAAAAACACACACTCTTTAGCGATGGGGCTGGATAATATAGAAGCGTGCTTTACTATTTTGTCACACATGTACACGCTACCAAAGACTATGCGATCGACCATCGATGTCATACAAACGTCAGGAGGACAGCACTTTGCCCTTCTTTTACAATGAACGTTTTCTGCATTCCACATTTAGACATCTGCTTATCATTCGTATCATACATCACAGCCACAGCAGGATAATCTGCCACCAGTGAATGAGTAGAACTACAACTTGTGTGTGCGTGTGTGCGTATGCATTTATGAATGAATCGCACACCATGCTCATGCAGCTGTCAATGCAGTCAAAATAACTTGATGCAGGCGAGGGGGAGATGTTCATCATCATTGTGTATGTATGTATATCAAGAAAAGCGCGCAGCCACAACTACCACCACTACCTACAACAGCAACAACCCGCATTTTAAGCTCACAAATCAGATGATGCGATCAAAAGTAAACATATGCCCCATTATCTCCTTTAACAAGGGGATCCTGAAAGTTGATAATCATCCAACCTTTATTGTAATAAAGAAAATCGAGATTGATAGGTTTGTATATGTATATGCAAGTGATCCATTCAACCACTCACACACACTCCACCCACACCCAGTGAGGGATGAACAATGCGCGCGGGATGATCCAAATATGGAATGTTATTTCACACACAGCCGAGCGCTCTGCTTGATTGGGGAGAATCCGCCACCGTAGTTGCACCTTCCTTACCTCCAGGTGCAAAAGACAGTATGGTAAGTTATATATGAACATACATGCAACATTTTATTATAAGGGATATCACGAGTGATGGATGGATGAATGAACGATTTGGATGAGATGAAATGGATGGATGGATGGATGGGTGGGATGGATGCAATACGATAGGATGGTTAATGGAGGAACCTAACAATGTCATGCCATGACCCTCATTATAGGACGCTCAAAAGCAGCCCGTCAAACTCGCCCGTGTTATCAAGGTCCTCGGCCGTACCGGCTCCCGTGGTGGTGTGACCCAAGTTCGCGTTGAATTCATGGACGACACTCATCGCAGCATCATTCGTAACGTCAAGGGTCCCGTTCGTGAAAACGACATTCTTTGTCTCTTGGAATCCGAGCGTGAAGCCCGTCGTCTTCGTTAAGACTACAAAAACACACACACCCAGTTTCTTTATTGCAAAAGCGACGTACAATAAATACGGATCCTGCTGTTGCTTCCAACATACAAATGACAATGGCCTATTTATTTATTATAGATGATGTGTAGATGTGTAGGAGGAGGAGGAGGATTATGGGTGGAGGAGGAGGATTATGAGAATGGGAGAGATTATGGATCTGATGACGATGACCAACCAGCCCAACGTTTGATTTTTCGCCAATAGTAATCAAAGTAGTTGCCAATGATGAGCATGGTCGTGATGGATTGTTGCGATTCATGCATCTTGCGTTCGAGTAAACTGACTTTGGAGTAGAAGGTGGACACGTTTTCCTCGACATCCTTGAGATTCTCATTCAATACATTCAATTCGTAATGTAGCTTTGCGCTTGAATCATCCACTTCTTTCAACTCGTTTTCAGCTTCCAGTTGTTCATCCATCACTTTACGTGCAGCTCTTTCAATTTGCTCAAATTCAGTGGATCGTCGTAGCCAAGTCGTCCGTAATTGCTCTGCTCGGCGCTCATACACATTGGCCATCTTTTGTAATTGCTGATAGGCTTCTCGCAACTCCGTATGTTGTCGCTGCAGCTTTTCAAAAACAAGATAGGTCTCAACATCCATCGTCACTGAAGGTCGTAATGCAGGAGACATGTCATCCGTAGGTTGCTCGATATAGGGTATAAAGTCGGTCATGCGTTCGTTGTTGCCATCATTATGAAGAAGGTGGTTGCTATGTACTACTGCTGGTATCATGGTCAACGAATTGGCACGTGGTAAAATGGGCTTGTTGGGTCGTATCGGGTCTTTGGATGAGGGTGGAAAATAAGCAAACGATACAATGCTATCAGACACAGATCGTGATCGCATAGGCGCTCGATGAGGCTGTGATAATGGCATAAAGTCGCTGGCACCATTGCCTGCAATATCACTCACAGGACTCGCTGTCTCAGGTCGCAATGATACGGGTGATCCTACAAAGCGCTTTGTTGGGAAATCGGTGGTCGTCGTTGTGGGTGGTGGAGGAGTGTCTAATATGCCCTGTTTTAGTATACATATGTAAAAAGAGATCCTTTTGTACATTACCTTGTCGATCGGATGATAATCGCCATGGAGGAAAATCCGAATCAGATCGATAGCTACTGCTTATATAGAGAGAGAAAGAATTAGCTTTGTACCCTCCAATTCCTTTATAAAATACCATACAAATCATCGTCGGATGAAAGCCCTGATTCGAAAAGCAATCGCCGTGTATTAGAGTCATCTCGGATATCGGGTTGATACAAGACATCTTCAACGGTTGACAATCCACTGGGTGAAGTGAGCTGAATATTGGTGGTGGCAGTATTGTTGCGTAAAGGTGCTGGTGATGTGGGTGTTGTTGTTACAGGTGGTGGTGATGTAGGTGCAGCAGCTCTTCGTTTTGATCTATTGCGTGATACAGAGCCTTGTTTGTTCTCCACCCATGGCAAGGATCCTGCAAATTTGGAGAGGATTTCTGCAGCTGCCCCACTCGTTCGTGTTGTTCGAGCCGACATCCCCTTGATCATGTGTAAAAGTTCATGCTGTGGTTTATCCAAATCCCCGCCGGGTGTATTCCTCAATCGTGGTCGCCATATTGCTCTCAAACTTTCAATCGTCGCATGATGTCGGAAAACTTCTGGCTCTGATGATTCGCTGAACAAGGGGGAATTGCTTACACCTAATAGTAAAAAAGAGATCAGTCCCATCATCATCCGTTGAAACAACACATGACACGTACCAGAAATGTCGTCTAATTTAGACTTGATGACGTTGCGTACTTTGAGTTGATTGATTGTATGCTCATTGAGCTTATCCAATGTTGCCAGATCAAGAAATTTGGTGCGTTTGAGACCTTTTGCTCGTTGATATTCCTCAATGTCGAATCGAAATTCCTCATAATCAGTGAATGGATCTTTGATGGTCTATTCCCGGTATGAGTTCCCTTGTTCTTTTTCACGTCCTTGTAAATCCACCACCACCTTACCGTAAAGTTATAAGCATGAAGCTTGTTCCTGCAGAGCACCAATTTGCTTATCAATGCTGTCAAAAGATGAGGTTCCATCCATGGCTCTTTGAGTTGATACTATTACAGCAGGTGAGTGTTGTGTGTCGGGGGGGGGGGGTAATCTTATCACGCGACATCTTACATCTGGGGATTTGTGCGGATGATACCTTGTATAGAATTCCCAAAACGCCTTACTGGTTTCATTGCAAATAAGTCCGTCAATGTAGTCTCGCTTAAGGAGATTGAATAGGTACAAGGCCACTTGAGCCACTGTCACCAGATTGATCACTGCTATCTCGAATGGCACCGTGTCTGCAATCTTGTATATAGATCGAAACTTTTCCTCGGATGCAGGGCTAAGATGAACATGTAAGTAAGCTTGATCCATCTCTTCAATATCACATCATATACCTACTTTGGCTTGTTGAGATTAAGAGCACTTCGACCGGTACAATTGGTTCTCCTCAGATTGATATTGACATAGGCTTGGTTGATCCACTTGTCATAATCGCCATCAGGTACGAGCACCATATCCATGTCACAAGGTAGTTCACTGGGATCCGTCAACATAATCTCACCCAACCCGGTCTACAATGATGATGATGATAAGTCGTCATTCTTGAAAGAGAGAGTGTTTCCTTTGACTTACATGCTTAAGTTTGAGAGGTGCAGAAGCATTAAAAAAGGCTTGAATCTCTGGACGTGGATGTTGTAGCTCAGCTGTGGATATACTCAATACGCACACTTTGATCTATTGATTGTGGGGTGGTGGTGGTGGTGGAGAGAGAAATGTTATGCAGGAATGATAATAAATAGAGAGTCTTGAATGAGCTCTTACCGAATGCTGCTGGTTCCCAGTAAACACCTTGATAGTGTTAGAAGTAATACTGCGATCGCATAACCTGTAGAATAGATATATAAGTGACCAATGGAATAAACTTTCTCAAAAGGTATATTGACCATTGCTCGATAATGTAGATTTGGTAGCCGTAAAGGTATGCCTCTTCTTTGACAATGCCGAGACCACAAGACTCTGCTAAATGCAATGCCTTCTTCCTCTCCACAAAGACAAATTGCTTCCTGTCGAATGGCATGGTGCGTTGTTGTAGGTGAAAGGGACGACGATTCGAGACGAAGGATAAAAAGTGGAGGAGGAAGTGAGAGAGAGCTCAAGGCGCAAAAGAGGACGACGCCCTTTTTTCCACCACACTTCTTCCACACAACGCACACACACACACACACACGCCCGACACCATGACAACACCGAGTTGGCTTCCATTGGCTGCCATCATTGCTGCTGTGCTTGTTGTCCTCGCACGTACGATTGATAACACTCGACATGGAACCAGTAACTAACGACCTCCATCGATCTTGACTACTAGTTATTGTCAGCCTTGTGCTCAAGCAAAAGTCATCGCGAAACACCATCTTATTACTGGGCATTCCAGATGCAGGGAAGACAGCAATATATACACGGGTAGGACTCTATACAGGTTGTCGACGTACATACACGTATATGCTAAAACGGCTGCTATGATACTAGCTACGGTTTGACAAGTTTGTGTCTACAGTGGCATCCATGAAGGAAAACGAAGGCACCATGACAGTGGATAATAAGGCAAGCAGTTGAAGGATGGGCTATGGGATATATGCTAATGGAAGAAGTAGACGGTTGATTTGGTGGATGTCCCAGGTCATGAACGCGTACGATTGCGATATACCGATTTCCTTCCAGTGACACGCGGCATTGTGTTTGTGTTGGATAGCACCAAGGTCGCTCGGCAGGTCCGGGAAGTGGCTGAATATCTCTATGATATCTTGGCTGATCGTAAAGTACAACAACAATCGACTCGCGTTCTCGTTGCTTGCAATAAGGCCGACATGATCATTGCACTGCCCAAGGAAAAGATCATCCAACGCTTGGAATCTGAAATGTAAGTAAGCATTGCTAATGGTAGCTTGTAGAAAGAAAAACTCACTCTTTTCCCTATTGCTAGTAACCAATTACGAAGCACACGTACAGCTGCTGTGGAGAAACAAGCTTCGGATGATCAGGATGAGCACGATGTCTACCTAGGTTACGAAGGCGAGGATTTTCACTTTGATCAACTCGACAACGACGTCCAATTTGAAATGTGCTCTGCAGAAAAGAATGAATTAGAACCTATCATTGATTGGATCCTTGCATGAAAAAAAGTATAGTGATATAATGGATAAAGAGAAATAAAGGGTATCCCTTAGCTACACGATCCACACTATTGTTGTCATTCGGGTTATGTATGTAATACAAAAGATGGGAAGCTATGTCATGCATTGTTGTATGTTGCACAGCCCAAGGTTACATCATGGCAATTGAAACACACATCTCAATGTCAATAAACAATCCTGCAGAGATAGATTCTTCATTTGTCGTCATTGGTTGAAGGACTACCTGTACAGACCTTTGCGTTTCATATACATATGGACATGAAATGTGACCATTGCTGCTGTAAGGGAAAATCCCCTAGCCATTGCACTATGGCAACACTTTTTTACGTGTATGATTGTTGTAATGTTTGAGTGTATTGGATGCAGTGTAATATGATAATGAAGCAAATAAAGGGTACACTACTATTTGACGCGTACAATGAAACGACTAAACGCACTTGCAATGAGAGCCATGATACCACCAAATGCTAAAACGGAAGCTACGCCGGAAGAGGGATCACCACTGGCATTTGTAGCAGCGAAAATGAAGGCTGCCATGATGGCAACCACAAATTGGGGAAATACAATGTACATGTTATGCACACCAAGAATCATGCCTGCATCAAAATCATCATTTTCTTGTTGGGACTCGGCAGCAGATGTTGTTGTAGCAGCCGTTGCCACAGCCTGTTCCAATTGTGCACGTTGTCGTCGTTCATCATCATAGCTGACATATTCACCCACGAGAGAGAATGGCACCCAAAGTACAATCGCCCATGATATGCCCATGGTGGCGAGTACTATTGTAGCACCCAAGACCGATTTGACAAACCAAGCGGATAACAAGGCTGCTGCCACAATCAAATGCGATGCGGTATACACATTGGTGGTGGACATCCAAGGGAGGGAGGGTTCGTAGCGTGCTACAAGAGCGGGTATCACTACACCTGCAACAACTGACACGATCGAGTAACACAACAAGGCAAATGAACCAGCACGTGTGCCATCTGCCCAGTCACCATGATTGCCTTCATGCGTGGTAAAATAAAGTTCAGAGACCCATTGCGTGCTATATGCATAGGTATTAACAAGCCATATGGATGATGAGTAATGCTTTTATACTACATGGATCAATAAAAAGATAGTACCTGTAAAAGAGAAAAGGGAACCATCCCATCCAAGCAAAGAATTGTGTGTTGCACAATGTCTGCACAGGCCGTGGCAGAAATCGAAACGCACGCCAAATATAAACAAAGGTGCTGTACCAGGGCCTGATAATTTCATCTGTCGTCAGAAGAGGGGTCGTTGGATGATGTTTCAAATCCTCCTCCACCACTTACCCATCATCATTTTCTTCTATTTCAAGCTTCTTTTCATGCGTGGTGATGCATGTGATGGCTAATGTGATGCAAAAAATGATGGTGCCAATAACACAAAAGACCTTCATTTGAGTGTCGCCTAACCATGGAAAGAGCTCGACAAGATTGACAAACCCTACAAAGTAGCCAACCACCATAGCCGAGTTGCACATCCGAGCGCTCCAAGCATTCGCGTGTTCCTGCTGCCATAAGGGTGGGATATCAAGAATCAATGCACGACATATCGCTTGCACTGCATTCAACGTGAAATCCAAAAAATAAAACGATGCCACTGCAACCAGCATTGCCAATGTTCGAGACTTGCTTAATCAGGTTAGCTCAAATACACAACACACACACACACATCCACATAGAGGAGGAGAAGAAGAATGTCCTTACCGTATTTTCTATATCATTCTGATCGGTGATATAGGCTATCCCGTAACCAATTTCACGCGCATAAGCGACACAAATCATGGATATGCATGTCAATAATCCAGCTACTACAATAAACGGACGTCGTTTCCCAAAGCGTGAGGTGCATTTATCGCTGAAGGCGCCAATCAACTAAAATAGTAACGACAATGAACATGGGTATACATGCTTTTGGTGATGTGTGATGTCTACTTTACCGGTTGTACCAAAAGTCCCGATAATGGACCAGCAAGCCAAACCAGCGCTGTCATTTCTTTTGATAGGTTTAATGATAAGAGGTAAGGTGTCCCATACCTACATAATTGGTTAAAGTCAACCATGGGTAAATGAAGAGTCGACTCTCACTTACGAAAGTTCCACGGTCCCTATTGTTGTGGATTACATTTAAGTAGAATGAACGATATCACCAAAGTGGATGATTGACTTACAGGTAAATTGCACGCCGGCCATACATATAGTAAGGCCCAAGATTTTGGAAAGACTTAAACCAGGGTCATCTGCCAGTGAAAGGCGTTCATGAAAGGAAGAAGCTGCCGAGCGTACATACGCAGGTGAATGACCAGCACTGTTGTAAGTGGATGCATCAAACGACGACCTGCGGCGTTTATACTTGGGTCGACTCACAGGTGGTTTGTTGGTGGGTGTTGTTGCTGTTGCTGCAGCGGTAGTGGTGGTAGTAGTAGTATTCATATTGGTGTTGGTAGAAGCATGGTGATGATGGGTAGTAGTAGTACCACCACCAAGCAAAGGTGTCTTGGCGTCAGCATCTGACATGATAAATAGATAAAGAAAAAGAAGGAAACTTTGATCAGCAGTCTTTGGTGCTCCCATTTTTATTGCCTCCCCGCATGGGCGCATTTCATGTTCATGTGACCTCGCGTTCTACACATCTTGGATTTGTTGGTCTATTGGTTCATACACATCCTCTTGGTTGGGGGAACTTGCATATCGGTCCCATTGTTTATACACACACACACCTTTGTACGTTTGCCTGATTCATGATCATCACATGGCCCCCCTCCTTATCATTCATTCACCCGTTTTCCTTCTTGTTGGACACGCCCAATAATAAACAAGTACTCTCTCCGTTTATGTCTCGACCTTTTTCTATTTGCAACCCCAACCATAGATCCATCTCCCCCTCTCTCTATGCCGTATCATCAATAATGATAGGTTCATTGTGTGCTCAGATACCGCACACACATTTGAGTGAAAAAGCAGGCCCCGCCGCTTGTTCAACCCAAATTTGACACTTCTTCGACACACGCGACACACACACACACACACACACACACACGCACTCAATGAGCGAATCGAGTTATCTTCCCAACCACAAACCAACGCCTGCTTATGCAGCTCTCTCTTATCTCGGTCTCCATGCCCATGAAAAAGAATGGCAACACTCCATAATGTCACACTGCTTCAATCACAAAGTAAGCCGCAACCTCGATCACCCCCACTTGAATCGTCATTAACGATCGTGCACTAGTTGGCTGTTTTCCTACCGTTTTACACACTTGAACAAGCGCGTGAGCACTTTAAGAGTACAGCTGGGACGTATTATCACATTGAGCTTTCTCTGGCATCCTTGCTCGAAGACGACTTTTTCACGCGTTATATCCAATCTCGTATGTTTTCTACTCTCGCTTTCAAATTGTATGCATTCAACTCATATCCTTTAAAAGAGACACATGATCTCATTCTACATAGCCTTGGGACTAATTTGGATACGGACAATGTCATTGTATTGGATCATCAAGGCAAGTAAGGATAGATGATTTTGTTCCAGGTCAATTGATGGATGAATTAGGCAACCTTATTCTCAGCTTGTTGAAGCCAACCTATCAATCTTTTGGAATCACTACACATCAACATCGACAAGATAAGCTGAGGGATAAATATGGTGAGTTGAGGTGAAATCAGAGTTTGAAATCCATGGACTCATGTATTGGATGGGATCTTCATCGATAGCTGTCAAAGTCGATCTTCGAAAATTAAAGACGGATGGCAAGGCGTTCCAGCAATTGCTACGAGGATTGAAAAACACTTTTCCGGATAAAATGAAAATGGCTGCTGCGTATATTGATAAAGGTAAAATGAAAGATCAATCAAGGACAAGGATGCATGGTTATTGAATTAGCTTTTTAGAAACGGGCGAGACATGCAATGTCACCTGGCCAAAGGATGTAGCAGCAACCGAGCATCCAATGCAGTTGACTTTTGAACAATGGGACAACATCAACATACCCTCCTTTGAAAACTTGCCTATCAAGCTCTCAGAGAAGCCGGATCAAAAATGGCAGCAGGATGTACAAGATGCATTGGAGTGGATTGGACTTGCCTACATCAAAGCAAATAGGTATTTATATGAGTGGTTGCTATGATCCGCAAAAAGTTTCTAAAAGGATGGGGGGGGTGGTTTTATAGGATCCGAGTAGGAAAGGAACACCCCGACCCGTTTGTCAGCATTTATCGAGCACCAGAACCAAGTTTACGATCAGCAAAAGGTGTATTGGTGCAATGTACAGGTCTTGTGCCAACGCAATTTATACGACATGTCATGGTGACCGTTGGGTAAGATATAGATAGATATGCATTTGAGGATGAAAAGGATGATTAACGAATGAGGTTTGTTGTGGGAAAATAGGAAAATGATGGAGAACAAGACGATCGAACGATGGGCAGCAGTGAGCGTATGGGGTTATCGGGATTCACCTTACACATGGGACAACCTACAGCATTACTATCATGTCAATGGCGAGAATGATACCACGTTTTTGATGCTCCCTCCAGCAATAGAAAATGAGATTACCATGGTTAGCTTTCAAATGTACGGCACCGATCACATTCCACAATAGAACTTCTTTCCATCATTGTCCCATCATCGCTGCTAGTAATTGAGAGTGTATAATAGTAAACTCGTTTTCGCTTGTAAACTTTTGATTTCTTGTCGAATGGCTTAACGCTATGTATGTATGGGATTACACAACCACATTAAAGGAACCTGTAACCCTTTACAACCTCTCAAGTAAGCTGCCCTGGAACAATCTCCATGGCAACGAACACAGCAACAAGATTTATATGTACGATAACAGCAGCATTTATTTAAGCAGGGACGAAGATAGCTGGATTACCATTCTCTAGAGTAAACGTGACCGATCCACTGGATACAGTGATGGATGTGCCACTGATAGCGTCTGTAAAACTAGTGCTTTCAGCCACCTGTGCACCTACGTTGACAGAGACCTGGTTGGATGCACCCGATCCAAAATTGTTGAGCACAACAAGCGCATCACCATGCATAAAAGCATAGACATTGTCCTGCACATCAAGATCCATGTACACTTTTTTACCACTTTTTTGTCGCACATGATTGTTGATGGTGGCAATAAATTGATACAAGTCGGATGACGTGTCGTAACCAGAAGACCACAAAGCTTCACGATTGGCAGGATCAGCACCACCAGCAAAACCTTGCTCGGAGCCATAGTATACCACAGGGATGCCTTCACTCAACAATACATAGGCAAGGGCATTCTTAAATAGTGCTTGATCATTGTTCGTATTCAAGAATCGCACCACATCGTGATTATCAACAAATGTTGTCAATAAGCTGACGTCCTTGAATGCATTCATGTTGGCGTTTCGTTGATCACTCAAACGTTGGAATCCTTGTTTCGATGCAAAGACATCGTTCAATGCATAGTACAATGGGAAATTGTGCAGCGAATCGAGTTGTTCTTGATAAGGTCCAACATAGGCGTGATTCCCATCGAATACTCTAAGATGATGATGATGATGAATACAACAAGAAATGCACGCTGATATTATTTTATACATACTCGCCGGTTGCAAATACACCTGCAGCAGCAGCATAACCAGACCAAAAGTCCTTGCGTACATGCTTGACCGTATCAATGCGAATGCCGTCAAAGCCATAGGTGGAGATCCACGTGGACACAATGTCATGCAGCTTGTTGATGTTACTATCATTCTCGGTATCGATATCGGGCAAGTTGTCCGCCACCCAGCATTGCTCAATGGAATTTTGATCATTGTAATCAATCGAGCATTGTGGATGATACAAATCAGATGAGCCAAAAGTGTAGCCTGAATAATCGCCATTGTTGGTAGGACCAGCGTGATTGGCCACCACGTCCAACATGACATACATGCCGCGTTCATGTGCAGCATCCACGAGTGCCTTTAGGTCGTCCTGCGATCCAAAATGGTCATTCAATGAATAAAAATCGGTAGCCCAATAGCCATGGTAACCACCCTCTGCATTGGTTGGAATGGGTGAAATCCATATGGCATCGAAACCCATGCCTTCAATGTAATCAAGCTGCTGAACAATGCCTTGAAAATTGCCACCACAATAATTGGAAAGATCGGTACAATCATCCGTGGATCCATCACTACGTGCAAATCGGTCCGTCAAGATTTGGTAGATGGCTCGATCTCGCCAATCATCCGCCGAGGCTCGCTTGCTTATAGTAACAGGTCTTGCCAACACCGATGATGTAAAGAGAGCACATGTGGCAGCAAGAATAGAGAGATGCTTGTTGAGCTTCATTGTAATAGTAAACGAGTCCAGGTAAGAAGGAGTGGTGGAAAATGCAAGATGATGGTAGCATCCACCCTTTTTATTCTTGATGCCTCCTGCCATGATTCATGGGACCAAAGAAAGGTGATGACACGATCCCGTTTCCCGCATAATAATCATGGTTCTTTTTTTTCTATCCATCCTCCCGTTCAGTGGATTCCCAGCGGGTGCAACAACGTTTGGATGAGATTATACTACTACAACAACTTTCAATACCAATGATACGTAATACAATCACCCCCCCCCCCACAATACGTATAAATGATCAGCCAAATGCCATATTGTTAATCGTTACCTTTCTTAATTTTTCTTGACAAGGTGACAAAAGGGGTGCTGGCTACAATAAGGATACCGCTTGTACCATCACGTGTACGACCGACAAGAGGTTACCGCCAGTGGTATTGTCTTTGGACAGGTACACATTCTCCCGTTCCACTGAATCATTAACTTCTCCAACTTTCTCATCGGTGGAATTGTGTCACAGCGGCATTATTAATTGTTCGCCTTGGCGAATCTCAACGTCGAATATCATGATTACGATAAGACCCAATAATGGGTACCCAAACACTATCAGCGCGCCGCTGATGCATGAATTTGACATTTGACAGCATCAGCACAGCCTAACTATTCAAGCTAATGCTATTCAAGCAAAGTCTATAAAGGTGAGGTAGCACAAACCCAATAACGTTGCAAATGCCGAGGACATAATAATTGCATAACATTCCTCCTCCTTCCCGCCCAGAGAAAAAAATGAAAAGGAGGGCTGTGGGAACAAGTAGAAACTATTCTGTATCGCATAACGTAACCTTCATCGTCGGCCATTTCGCAAAAAGGATTACCATGTGAATTACAAAGCATGCTACTTTCGCACTTTATGTATGGATCACATGATTGCAATGGCAGATTTGTATCACGTGCTCTCGTTCAAAAGGCAAGCAGTGACAAGAAGCAACACCCAACCACGATAAGAAAATGGCATTACTCGCCTTATAGAATCTTGCTATACAATCCTATTATGCATGTCAAATACCATTAAGGGGAATAAGGCAAATCCTTTCTATTGATGTATGCATACCTACATAAACATCATCATGGTCAAGCTACTTATCCAGAGACTATTTTCTTTCAGCTAAGCTTTGAGATCCACGAATCAAGCCTTGTTGATTGATGCATAAGTCAAGTCAACCCCCACCAAAGAGGCTGAGCACGATTTATGATGTGCATTTCCCATACATAGTTTGTTGTGCCACAGTTGCCCATGACTGCATGGTCCATAGATTTGGTCGATCAAATAAAAGCATGGAGAGTATACCAGACCCATTAGCTAAAAGCAGCCGTATAGAATGCAGCATTTGAAGGCATAAATGGGTCTTCACATTATTTAAGCACCACTCGTATTGTAACAGGCTTCTTACGACGAGCTTCCATGCAGGCCCTGTGCTTAGCTTTTGATCCATGATGCAGAATTATACATATGCATGCCGTAGCACAGGGTCGTCGTCGCACAAATACCCACACATGTGATACGAACAATGGTAGTAAAAGAGAAAAGGATTCCCAGTGCTCAGCATTCAACCATTTTCTTTCTTCTCTTGCAACGAAAGTATCCATGCTACTTCCTTCAGCGCCTTTTTTTGTACCGATCGTTGTCATCATTATCATCTTTGTTGCATCCGTGATGTTTTATATATTCGTACACAATGCTCAAAAACGAAGAAGTATGTAAGAGGAGGAAAATTGTTCATACAAGAAAAAAATCAAGGCTAACGGCTACTACTAGAACGTATATTTCGGGAGCATGAGCAACGAATGCGTCGGCAAATGGATGACTGGGAGCAACATATCAATGGACGAGGACAACAACAACAAACAGCATCAATGCCGGCTCAACTACAACAACAACATGATGGCGAGTTACCGCCGCCATCTTATGCACAAGCTACTTTACAATCAACAGCAACTCCAATTTCAGAACGAACGGATCACCAAGCAATAGCTATACCACCGCCAGCGTATAAAGATCATCGACAAGATACCCGTGTGCGATAAAGTTAGATACTCAATGATTCTAGTATTCAGCATATTGTAACTAGTGCCATCCGACTCATCCATACCCTTTTCAGCTTGTGCATTTACATGTAATATATACCACCACACTTTGTATACTCAAACGCTCCTGATATGAAAGACATCCCAACGTAGACATGATTGGCCGAGATAGAGCAAAGCAGCGTTCCTTCTGGTATAGGCCATGTGTGTGTGACATTTTGTGCGGAATCATGCGGCTATGTATGTGTGTGTAGGATAATTCATGCAATTGTTCGGAAAGGGTCACTTTATGCAACTGGGCTGGGAATATGGGGCTCTCTTTGTTTCTCTCACACTCACACAAGTCAACACTCGTATTACGACGTTATACTGTCGTCATTTCTACATTCCAACATGGCATGGCGCTGTACAGGTAAAACAAGACCGTTTATTCTTTCTCTTCCCATTCTAAAAAGCCCTCAAGGAAAAAGTAACATGGAGCTAGTCGAGAATTTGAAACAAGCTGGCATCATTACGAAGCAACGAGTTGTGGACGCAATGAACAAGATTGACAGGTAGAAATTGGCGTCGACATACATTGAATTGATGGCTGATGATGATATGGGGTTAAAGAGGTGATTATGCTCCACGTGGTGCCTATCTTGATGAACCGCAGTCGATCGGTTATGGTGCTACTATCTCTGCTCCGTATGTGATCTCCTGGATGACGAGTGCTCTACGAACTTTTACTGATGCTTTGTTGATTGTATAGACATATGCATGGATATGCATTGGATATGATGGAGGAGTTTCTTCAACCTGGAATGCGAGGTAAATAGGCAACTCAAAGTGTGAGCAAATGGCTCAATACGTTTCTATATAGCATTGGATGTTGGTTCTGGTTCAGGGTACTTGACAGCATGCATGGCAGAGATGGTGAGGGAAATCATAGATGGGTGTATGGAGAAAAGGAAAGTATGCTTATTGATGTATAATATCATTTAGGTGGGACCCGAAGGACAAGTGATTGGTATCGAGCATATTGAACAACTGGTTGAAGCAAGTGAACGAAATCTCAGCAAAGAACATCCTGATTGGCTCGAGAATGAACGTGTCAAGTTTGTTGCTGGAGATGGGCGTAAAGGCTATCCTGAAGGAGAGTTTTATGATTGCATGTAAGTTAGTGGTGGGCGCATCATTGAAAGGTAATCACTCTTGATTAACAACTCGGCAGACACGTAGGAGCAGCTTCAAGTGACAAGCCCACAGAATTGCTACGTCAACTCAAGTCACCAGGAAGGTATGTATGCTTTATACATTGGGCGAGGTAGAGGATTTTGTCACTCATCGTTCATGATAGATGTTTCGTCCCAGTCGGTGGTATGCTTCAAAAGATCATTGTCTACGATAAGGATAAGCATGGAAACATCCGAGAAAAGCCTGAAATGGGTGTAATGGTAAGTTAAAGCTCTCACAACAGTAGAGGAAACGAAAGCTGATTATGAGACTCTTAGTATGTTCCCCTCACTGACAAAAACAAGCAATACCCTGGAGGCTTTTAAATCCATGACAACAGCAACCCCCACAGAAAGGATGTAAATCAGAGTGAAAAAGTTTAACGAATAAAATGTGATCTCATTCAAAGTAAGCACCCTGGCAAAAAAGGCCCTTTGTAACCCCCAACATGGTAGATCCAGCATGAAGTACTGCTCTTTTTCCCTGTCCCCCCCAATCCCCATGAACAACGACGACGATTCTAATGATCATCATCGTAAACGTATGCGTGTTACTCAAGCCTGCATAAGATGTAGAAAGAAAAAGGTTGTTACCTTGACATTGACCGACACGTTTTATTAAGCTCTCCCTTGTTCTTTAGATAAGATGTGATAGCACCAAGCCTGAATGCACGATATGCCAAGAAGCCAATACAATTTGCGAGTACGCGAGAACTAAAAAACGAGGACCTCGTAAAGGCCATGTGCATGTACTGGAAGAACAAGTTGCTCAACTGAAGCAGCAAATTGCTCAAATGAGTGGTGGCAGGCAAGTTACACCGCCGCTCTTGCATGATGATCAGCCGACACTCCTCTCAGCTCCATACATTTCTCCAGGTAAAAAAAAGGGTCATGACACGTTCTTTATTGGCATGTATTGAAATGGCATTACAGATTCGACACAACGCAGGATAGAGGCAGCCTATGGTCTTCCACCACGAGAGATCGTTTACGAGCTTGTCGACATTTTCTTCAAGCACCTCAACGTCGTCATTCCTATCGCCCACAGAGGAAAGTTTGTGGAGGCTCTTGAGAACGACACCATTTCCATGCCATTGCTATGGAGTGTATTGGCAAAGGCTGCGAGGTATGTGGTATGCTGGTTATGCCAAAAGCAGTAGAACTCACTTGCTCTTGTAAAGATATTGCACACATCCTAGCATCTTGAGTGACCCACCCTCGTTGGTTAGCGAGCGATTTGCATCCAAGGCAAAGTCTTTGATCGATGATACTTTATTGGAACCTACATTGGAGAATATTCAGTTTTGGGGCATCATGGCTTGTTTGGAATATGGTCATGGACAAGCATCAAAGTAAGTGTTTTATTGAATCAAGCGCTTCTTATCTTCTTAACACCATGACTTGTTAGGGCGTGGACGTATGTGGAAATTGCTGTAAGGTAAATGATACAATCTTCACGTTGTTTGGAAATGTTGGGATTAACGGTGGGTGTATTGTATTTGACAGGTTCTGTCAAGAGCTTGAGTTACACAAAGAAGAGGTCTTGAGCACCCCCATCATGACGGAGGACGGGACAGTCGATGTGGTTGCCATGGCTACACGTCGTCGCATCTTTTGGAGTATCGTTTGCATTGACATGTAAGTCATGATCGATGATGGGATGTCATCCAATCACAATGATCACTAACATCAACCACTACTTCACTATGTATGTAGATTAGCAACGGCGGGTACAAGTCGACCCCAAGGGCTCCATAAAGCTGATATTGATTCGGCTCCACCAAGCATTCCCGAATGTATGATTATGCGTGAACCAAAATTCAGCAATGTCTCAGTTGGAGGTGACCTTATCGCGAATGAATCATTGATGGGGATTTCACAACAATTTATGAGGATCGTGCAAATATTTGGTGAAGTCAACAGCGTGATTGAACGAGCAAAAACAACGTCTTCAGCCGTGGTGTGGCCACCGTTACCAGAATTTACAGCATTGGAGAGTTGCCTACGTGCTTGGAAAGAGGGCCTACCAGAGAGATTTGATTTTACACCCTCCAACATCGAGTATCACACACAAAATGCAAGTCTCATGTACTTCAACCTTTGGCTTTCAATGTGGTCATTGTGGTCTTCAGCTTTGCTATTGATGCATCGTGGCAGTTTGGCTTACAGCGATATCCGCCCAGGAGACGTGGATCAAACGACCTATAACTCGATTCAACACAGCATCGATGTTTGTAAGAATAGTATCCGGATAGCGACAGGAGTCATTCAAGCCGTGTGTGATTATTGTGGCGAATACGGTCTTCCGTTCCTAGGCTATGCTGCTTACATCTTCGCAACCGTTGTCATGACATCGACGTTTTCAAAGGGTCCTGAAGCCTGTCGCAAGAGCAATAGAGCATTGCAGATTTTGCATACATTGAATGCTGTAAGTTGAATGTATATGTATGTATTTGTCACATTTATGCTGATACATGTATGCACTACGTTAAGAATTTAGCTCCCTATTGGCCATTGTGCCAAAGGCTATCATCCATGACACGGGATCTTTTGATTACTCACAGCCAAATGTATCAATCTCAACGACGTCCATCTTCTACCATGGAGGAGAGTACCGCATCCAATAACAGCTTATTGAAACCACCACCGCCACCACCAACTGTACCATTCATCTCACCCAACAACAATGATAATGCGTCAAGGTCATTCATTGCATCACCCTGTGGAACCATTTCTACTATTGATCCCACTGCTACTACTGCTACAACTACTACTCCTACTGCTGGTGCCATCCCATCCTCTGCTGGAGGATATTTTCCGTCGTTTAACGCATCATCAACCACACCTCAGTTACAGGCACCTCAGCAGCCATCATCTATGCCCATCAAGGAAGGAGATTTGAACAACTTGTTAATACCAGGGGTCATCAACTTTGATAGTCTCGACTTTTTATACGACACCGAATTATATGGTCAACTTATGTTTGATGATCGGCCCTCTTCAGCTGCTTCGTCTCCCGCACTTCACAACAACAACATCCCTACTTATTCCACTATGGCTCCCCAAGGATCATCGGCGTCAACATTCAATGCTGCTTCTTCTTCCTCATCATCCCAAAGACCAACGATTCAACAACGACGAGGTGCAACGATGTTGTATGGTCTACAAGCGGCACGCCAGCCTCCAATAATGCAATAGGATAGGGGATATCTTAAATATACGTATCACTTGTGTTACTCTTTACCAACAATGAGGGAATGGATGCATACAACGATGAGGGAAATATAGGTAGTGGAAATGGTGAGAATGTTATGTGCTGTTGATGGTGGAGCAAGTGTCAAGTAAAAGGACGTGAGAATCAACTTGCGTGATTGATGACTCGTTGCATCGCGCTATAATCACATTTCGATGGCGCAATTGCCAGGTGGTTTTATTTGCTGCTGATATCATGTGATCACTTGAATACACACATCCCATTCTAAATTACAAAACGCAATACCTTTTTTTATTTAGCGAATGTGCTTATGGGTATAAATGATAGATCCTCGAGAGATTTCGCTTGCAGATGGGTGACATTGTTTGATGATTATGGAAGCTGCCACCTTGTTTATCTCATTCCAGATTTATGCATGTACACTCAATCCATAAACCAAGGCTCTTTGTGAAGGTCCCCAACAATTTACATCAGCTCATCACTCCATATCCATATCCATATCCATATGCAGAAGAAGTCGTATGTATTGAAACAAGTCGCTACACGTAAATAAAGCTACTTGTATACAATGGCTATCTGCTGTCCACGTGAAAAGGCTGGAAGACATTTTGCTGTAAGTAAGAAACGCTGTTTGAAGCAACGGAGTAAAGACCTTGCTAATGGCAGCTGCTGTTACGTTTGGTCGCGCAGAGAAATGTGTTGTAGTAGAGTGACAAGGTGTTGAACACTATTCAAGGCAATGAAGAGAAGACTTTGCTAATAGCAACTGCTGCAATGAATGCTGTTACGGTTGATCGTGGTAGAGGAGTGAGTAAGAGAGTGTGTAGTGTCAAGAGACTCGTGTGTTGTAGAAGAGTGACATGAAGGCTGTGTACACGCCATGGACTTTGCCATTCAGTCAATGGATTTCGGATCAAGACAATCGTAGGGAAGACATGATGAGCTGAAGCAGGACAATCGTTCGCAGGTGGCAGTTGTAGTTAAATGGAGCAACAGTTGAGAATGGGAGGAAGAGAAGATAAAGTGGGAGTGGAAGAGCTGGAAATCAAAATGATCTTTCTGATGCTTGGATGATACTTCTGTGTTTGACCGTTTTTCAGTCAAATCTCATCGAATCAAGAAAGTCCAATGATGGGCATGCTGGGCTGGAGCAGGAAAATCGTTCGTATGCATTGGATTGGTCAACAAAGGTGAATGGGAGGAATGGGCTGCTAGCTGGTATTTTGAACTACTCCTAAATAGTGTACAAGAATCATGCATCGCCTGTGCTGAATGACTCAAGTTACACAAACACGCCCTCTGCATCTTTGGCTCTATAGTCATACTACTTTACATTAAACAAAGACCACTTCTCATATAGCATCACGCTTACAAATATAAAGGTGCCTGTATCTCTAAACTTTACAATCAAACGTGTGGTTTTTATTAGAGCAATGTGCTCGGCTTGGCCAACAGCACCTTGGGTGAAAGTTTCACGATCAAGCTTGCCAATCCCAGATTTCGCAAATGTCGCCACCAGCCAAACTGGATCTGGGGGTCGACCTCTTCGACGACGACGACGACCAAAAAAATATTTTTTGGGCTGTTTGCGACATTGAACGTAAAACTTTCACACAAGGTGCTGTTGGCCAAGCCGAGCCCATTGCTCTAATAAAACCACACATTTCATTGTAAAGTTTGGAGATACAGGTGTCTTTATGTTTGTAAGCGTGATGCTATATGAAGAGTGGTCTTTGTTCATTGCCAAGTAGGTGGATCCTGGCAGAGCAAAAGATGCAGAGGGTCGTGTTGTGTAACACAGCTACGTTTGCATGAATGAAAGGGTCGATGTATAATTACTTTATGGATCATCTAGGAACAGGCATGTATTGCTAGCTAACGGCCACTTTTATCCAATCATCATTGTTGCGAGATCCACTGCATGGGAACGATGCCCCTGCTCTAGACATTCATTTCCATGATTAAAGGAGGTTGATCCGAGCTGATTTGACTGAGCTACGGTCAAAGAGAGATTACATCACTCTGGACATAAAGCACGCTCGATGTAGCTCAACCGATGTAATCTTGTGTGAGCGTAACTCAACCAAATCAGCTCGGATCAACCTACTTTAATCATGGAAATGAATGTCTGGAGCAGGAGAATCGTCCACCTACAATGGAATGCACAAAAGTTGTGAATGCACAAAAGTGGCTATTAGCTGCCAATGTATGACCTGAAAATGAGGGTTGCGTACCTGTCATGCATTGTCCCTGAAGTCCAAACTTTAACCCCAAAGTTACACAAACACGTTCCTCTGCATCTTTCGCTCTGTCAGGGGTCCACCTTATACTTGACAATGAACAAAGACCACTTCTCATATAGCATCACGCTTACAAACATAAAGGTGCCTGTATCTCTAAACTTTACAATCAAACGTGGGTTTTTGAATAGAGCAATGGGCTCGGCTTGGCCAACAGCACCTTGTGTGAAAGTTTCACGTTCAATGTCGCAAACAGCCCAAAAAATATTTTGTGGTCGACGAAAAAAGTTTCAAGAGGTTGACCCTCAGATCCAGTTTGGCTGGTAGCGACATTGCGAAATCTGGGATTGGCAAGCTTGATCGTGAAACTTTCACCCAAGGTGCTGTTGGCCAAGCCGAGCACATTGCTCTAATAAAAACCACACGTTTGATTGTAAAGTTTAGAGATACAGGCACCTTTATATTTGTAAGCGTGATGCTATATGAGAAGTGGTCTTTGTTCATTGTCAAGTAGTATGACTATAGAGCCAAAGATGCAGAGGGCGTGTTTGTGTAACTTGAGTCATTCAGCACAGGCGATGCATGATTCTTGTACACTATTTAGGAGTAGTTCAAAATACCAGCTAGCAGCCCATTCCTCCCATTCACCTTTGTTGACCAATCCAATGCATACGAACGATTTTCCTGCTCCAGCCCAGCATGCCCATCATTGGACTTTCTTGATTCGATGAGATTTGACTGAAAAACGGTCAAACAAAAAGTATCATCCAACGCATCAGAAAGATCATTTTGATTTCCAGCTCTTCCACTCCCACTTTATCTTCTCTTCCTCCCATTCTCAACTGTTGGTCCATTCAGTATACAACTACCACCTGCGAACGATTGTCCTGCTTCAGCTCATCATGTCAATCCTACGATTGTCTTGATCCGAAAGCCATTGACTGAATGGCAAAGTCCATGGCGTGTACACAGCCTTCATGTCACTCTTCTACAACACACGAGTCTCTTGACACAATACACTCTCTTGCACTCCTCCACCACGATCAACTGTAACAGCATTCATTCCATCAGTTGCCATTAACAAGGTATTCATTGCCTCAAACGGTCTTCTTTACTTGCAGCAACTTGCCTTGCAGCCTTCTTTACGTGAACAGCAGATAGCCATTGTATGGAAGCAGCTTTATATACGTGTAGTACCTTGCTATGATACATACGCATTCCAATGGATGATTCCATATCAGCTATCAAGTACACCGCAATGCAAGCAATCTTCGTCTGGTTGAGCTGCAATGAAAATGACTATGAAAGAGATGGATCAACAGAAGGATGTGGAAGAATGCATATCAGCAGCGATTACTGCAATGGTTATGATGGATGGAATGTTGCTTTGATCACTTGGCACGTCGCCAGCGGGAAGGAAGGGTCCTATCATATGAACACGGCTGAGGATGGCGATGGATTGGAATGGCATTGACGAGACGGCTTTTCTCTTTGATGAAGGATGGTTGATCGACTATGGATGATATTGGGTGGTCGAGACCAATCACGCAGCAGCAGCTTTGGGATCCTGGATGATATTGCTTATGGCCGCGGGAACCAAGAAAACAATGACACAATGACATCCATTCACTCTATATGATTCAAGCACACCTTCTTCATTTGGCAGCAATGTTGTTTTATCTACTTGATAGATGCCCACACACACACCATGCCTTATTTTTCGATTTCCATTAAATGAAAACTGGATTCATCAATGATTTGGTTCACTTGGTTGGTTTCTGGATTGAAAGGGGAAGAGAAATTTGATGGTGAGAAAGCGAGATTGGATCATTTACATCATCGTATGAATCGGGATACTCTTGTTCGTATGCATTGAGGGGAACAACCATGATGGGATGATTATCTTGATGAGTTGCCAGTGGCCAAGGATCACGAGAGCCTAAGACAACGTTCACCAAGTACCTATTTCCTCGCACAATGAACTTGATAACAACCACAGCCATGCACCTTGCGGATGCTTGATGACCCAGAGCCATTGTCGCATACACAAATAGAGTGATGAGTCCAATAATGAATGTGAGAAGGAGCTCCTCATCTTATCTTTTGCCCCACAAGCACATGCCAAAGAGACGAAGACACAAAAAAGAAAGCAATCCATTTTCGTGAATGGGCTGACAACGTGTTTGCGTGCAACTACGAGGTAAGTACGCCCTGCTGTAATCGTATGAATATATTATTCACTATATACCTTTCATAGTGTGTATCTCATCCATCAACAAAAGCTGTATGTGCATGGAAAAAGAGGTGATGTTGTCCATGCGGAAGTGCATTTCCAGAAGCGAGGCACGTGGCTCAATGTTTATGTCATTGACCTTACCCAGCAATCCCTTGTATATCACTCTCTCTCTCTTTTTTTTTCATCTCGTCTTTTTTTCTTCTTATCGCGCTGTGTATCTATACCATGAAATCTGGGAAAAAGGCTCTTCGAGGAAGACGCGTGGGTGGTATTCGAGCACTTTCATTCAACTGGCAAATGCATCGGCATGTTGAACATCCAAAACGCACTTTCCTTGCTGTGTTTCCGCAACGATCCCTTAGCCATGAATCCATTATCAACAAGTTGAAATCCTTGGATGAAGAAGCCATCAGCAATAGCCACGTGGATTTTGTACAAGCCTCGGATCAGCCTTTGAAAAAGACCTTGGCGTTGATCGCGTTTGATACTAAGGAAGACCGTGATAAGGTGCTGACTGCATACGCAGACGCCGAACGTCAGGGAGGTGTATGGCGATTTGAACTACTTCCCACGATTCCTCTTGAAGAGCAACACAAGTTATTGTACGTGTACGCCATCAAGAATATGCATTTCACAAATGAGCGGGATACATTACGCCATGTCAAAGATGCGCTTGCTGAAAAAGCATGGATGGGAAATGTGATGGATTTGATTGTCAAAGACACAGCCAACGATGACGAGGACTCCAACAAGGACATGACGATTGTATCCACCAAAGCCTTTTTTACCAGCACATGCAAGTTGATGTTGGATGGTCATCGATATCAAATGAAACGAGCGGGTCGTTGCAAGAACTATCTCTATTGCAAAACATGTCAACTTTTGAATGCACACGACACCGATGATTGTTCCCTATACTATAGGCCCTCACCCTCACCCGATGAGTAGTTTGATTCTTTTGCTTATCACCCACCATCAAATCTTTCCACAAAGCTCTAGCGTACATCTTTCCCTCACCCCCTAGCACATGTCAAAACGTCAATACCCATGAAGAATACAAACAAATCGCACACACACGTGTTGTGATGCATCTTGCTCTTGAATCATGGGCTCAACAAACACCTGATGTATTGATGCATGAATTCTATTATGTGATGATGATGGATGCTAGGATGTATAAAACAGTCGTATATAAGAGTACACTAGAATAATGATTGAATGCTGCTGCTGCTGATTCATGATGATTGTTGCTCGATTGTGTTGATGGACCGCTATCGCTCGATGCTGGTAAAAGTTTTTGGCTCATGATATCTATGATGGGATGGTAGTAAGCCATCATGCTGCTTGCTCTCTTTTTACTTTTCCCCAACTTTACCTGCAACGCTACAAGGTGTTTGTCTCTTTTGGCATGCTGGTGGCGTTGTAGCTTCGGATGAATTAAAGAATACGGTCATATTGGCAACATGAAGAAAAGCATCTTGATCAGGTAAACCACTAAAATTGGGATTGCCATCGGTCCAATGGTTTACAAGTACTCTTCCCGGATATCGGGGCACATTGTGAGTAAGGCGAGTGGCTTCTGATCCATCCAAGTAGTAGGTAACAGCATCGGGAGTCCAATCGAAGCGATATTCATGGAAATCCTGCATCATTGTGTATATACATATTAATGGCTGAGTTTTTGCATGACAATGATAGCTTGCAAACTTACAGCGGTAGGATCAAAGTTAATTGGGTCTTTGATATTGGTGAGATTGGAAGCTGAACCATCCTCATTGTAAATTTGAGGTTGCACCGAAAAGTAGGATTGCCATGGGTTCTGGATACGGCTCACGGCTTCAATGTCGATCTCACACGTGTTATCCCGAAAGAAAAAGAAGGCTTGCACTGTGCCAGGTACAGGTGTCGTTTTCATGCTTGCACGAAACGTACCATACAAAAAGTCTTCCCTGGATGAAGCATAGACAAAGGATACAATGATTGAGCAAGAGGGAGGAGAGGGAGGTGGCAGGGCGGTATTGTCTCCTTTTTACCTTTTGGTTCCAAAAGAAGCGGATGTGAATTGGCCATTGTCTTGTTTACGTACCGCTAATTGAAGTCCACTAAAGCTGCTTTCACCATCTTGAGAAGCTAGCTGGACATTGGCAGGATCAAATAAGCGTTCCAACGTATCATCATGCTTTGGTGGCACCGTATAATTCATCACAACATAGTTTTTGTCTTTTTGCAAGTTGGCCTTGTAGGTATTGTAATCTGAATGCCATATCTCAGACCAAATGCGACCATTCTCATCTTGGAAACCGCAGTCGCATACAACAGGTTCGGATGATGCTGCAACCAAGGAGGAGGATAAAATCCCCACTGTGGTTGCTAAGGAGAATGCTGCTGCTACTGCTGATCGCATTGGGCAAATAAAAGTAGGTTATAAGAAAACAAGTGGAGCAGCAACAACATAGTAGGATCGGTTTTCTATTGTTCATCCATTGTTTCAGTTTGACTTTGTTATTATCCACCGACTTTGAGGTTTCTCGATTCCATAGACTGATTGCGGCGGTGAGGGAAAAATTATTAAACAGATTCAATGATAATAAAAGATAGTCGATGATAATTTTGGAAACCCAAGATTGTTTGTTTGTGTGTGTAAGTGATGTGTGTGTGCGTATGTGTGAACAATATTGTCCGCGTAGATCCACGTAAGCATCATCATGATCATGGAATTGGGTCACCACTGCCTACGTAAGAAGGTGTAAAGTATTGTGGTTGGGGGAGCAAGCTCATCAAGGGAGAGCGAGAGAGAGAGAGAGAGAGGGCACAAGCGAATACTTCTCCATAATGAGACGCTTTGGTAAGACTAAATAGAGCATTCCCCTCCGGGTAGGGTAGGTCATTTCGGGGGGAGGATGATGGACGGCCGCGTAAGCATGGGTCATCACCTGGCTTTCTCCGCACCACCACTACCATTTGATATATATAAGTTGCCCAATCCTATTCAATCTTTCATCATCAAACCAACAAGACAAAGACTACTTTTTATTCACCATGTGCATGCGAGTTACCTGCGAAAAGTGCGGCAAATACACCTGGAAGGGTAAGATGATCATGATGATGTTATATGATCTGCTCATCTAACAAACAACATTTTCAGGTTGCGGTCAACACATCCAGCAAGCCTTGAGCGGTCTCACCGAGGAGCAAAAGTGCCAGTGCAAGAAGGCTTAAATCCCAATTTCCACAACATGCATTCTCATAACAACACCCCATAACGCAATTATCAACAACAATTGTTTACCAACCCTTTTACAATCCACCAACCTCTGGTCCCCGTTTTTAAATATTTGTCCTCTATAAATCCGCAAACATGATCATTGTTACTATATCATCTCTATTGGGTGTATGTGTGTATTTGTATGTATGCGTGTGTTTGTATGTTTGGATTATCTCTTCTCGATTGTCAAGAGAACACGTTTATCATGTTAATTATACGACGAGTATCAATGGATCATCTTATGATACATTACTATGGCAAGCCTACTATTGTTCTATGTTGTAGTAGTGTCACACTGTAGCGCTATATAAGGCAATCCAAGGTCAGGGTCAAGCAGGACGTATTGTTCGGGCTTCTTGTTGCTATTGACAGCTCTCTCTCTCTCTCTCCTTCTCTCCACTCCTCCATGTTATTATCGCGTTGGTGGATTCGCAAAGCTGGCTTTGCTACCAGAGCCGATCGTCGCGTTTACAAGAATGGTTGGGAAGCCATCATTGGTATCGAAGTGCACGCCCAAATCAATTCCAAAACCAAGCTGTTTTCTGGTACGCAATGAGACGCCCATGCGAGCAACACGTCCATTCACATGCATGCTATGGTTTTCAGACATGGAAACGTCGTATGAGGAACCACCCAACAGCAAAGTCAACTTGGTCGATCTTGCATTCCCAGGTGTGCAGCCGGTATGAGTACTACTACTACTACACACATCTCGTGGGCACGTGTTCACTATGGGAACCCATGTCTTGTTTATAGAGGTTGAATGAACGCTGTGTCGAGCTTGCAGTCAAAACAGCCCTGGCACTCAAAAGCAATGTACAACATCAGTCTTCTTTTGATCGCAAACACTACTTTTACCCTGATTTGCCACAAGGATATCAAATCACACAACAACGAGGCAAGTTATGAGATGAATCACATCGTGGGTCATAGGCTGATGGTATATGCATTAGAACCCATTGCACGTGGAGGCATGATCGAATTGACAGAATTGGATGGCGTATCTGAACCTATTCGTGTTGGCTTACATCAGATTCAATTGGAACAAGATACCGGCAAAAGTATGCACGAATTGGGATCGACTCTTTTGGATATGAATCGAGCAGGCACAGGGTTAATGGAAATTGTGACTCAACCTGATATGAGGTTTGTGTGTGTATGTGGCATTCATTGGAGAGGATGTTGATCATGGCGATATGATGTAGAAACTCGTTCGAAGCGGGATTAGTGGTCAAGAAATTACAAAGTGTACTTCAATGTGTGGGATCTTCACAGGCCAGCATGAATGAGGTATTGTATTATGCATGTTTGACAATATCGGGCATGTCGGCTTAACCTACATGCGTTTTACAGGGATCTATGCGATGCGATGTCAACGTATCTGTGCATCGTGATGGTGAGCCATTTGGTACGCGCTGTGAGATCAAAAACCTAAACAGCATTCGATTTTTATCCATGGCCATTGGTAAGATCCATGTTTCATTAAGCAACAACATTGAATGGGCTGATGAATCATTATTTCTCCTTTTAGATGCTGAAATCGAACGCCAGATCCAATTGCTTGAACAAGGTGGCAAAGTGATACCCGAGACGCGTGGTTTTGATGTAGCCGGTCGCAAGACTTTTCGATTACGAAGCAAAGAAACAGCTCCTGACTATCGCTATATGCCGGAACCTGATCTTCCCAAACTCATCCTAAGTCAAGTAAGTGGAAATGGGGGAATGATGATGAATCATCTTTTTGACATGATGTTGCAGGAATATGTCGATAGTATCGCAATGGACTTGCCCGAATTACCCGATGAGACAAGGACACGTATCATGAAACAATACAGCATGTCGTTGGATGATGCAAACTCGCTGTTGAATGAACCTGGAAGCTTGGAATTTTTTGAAAAGGTGAGGAATGTCATTTTTTATGAAAAGCAAAGGTGGTTTGCTGATGGGATGGGTTAATTAGGTTTGCAAAGGCCGCAACTCACAAATGGTCCTCAATTGGTAAGTGATCTCACGTGATGATGATGAGGAGAAGCAACTTATTCATCGAGAATGGATCGGGTACCTTTGTTTTATAGGACCGTCAATGATCTTTTCCGCGAGTTAGCCTTGAAGGAAACGCCATTCCATGCATGTCCTATCACTGTTGAGGAAATGGGTGCGTTGGTGGATATGGTTGAGAAAAACACCATCACTGGCAAGATTGGCAAGGATGTGCTGCACATTATGCTTCAAGAAGGAGGTGGCCATCCGCAGGATATTGTGGACAAAAAGGGATGGGCTCGTATTGATGACAGTGCACTCTTGAAATCGATGTGCGAGGATTTGGTCAAAAAGCACACTCAACAGGTAATGTAAAGGAGATGGATGAATACCATGGTATTCATGTTGTTTTATAGGCTACAAAGTTCAAGGAAGGCGAAAAGAAAATGTACAAGTGGTTTATTGGTCAAATCATGCGAGAAACCAAAGGCTTGGCCGACCCCAACCAGATTAATGCAGCCCTATGTGATGCTCTTGGATGTAAATTAGAGGATGTAGCTGATATGCTTGGAGGTAAACAAAAGAAAAATAAAAAGTAAGCATACCATGACTACGGGTTACCATTGTTCTGAAACGACGTGCCACCCTCCGTCCCTCCCCCCTCTCTCATCCCAAACGATTGGTTTCAACGTCATAAGGCATGTTGAGTCTCGCTTTTGGTTGGCTGACAAGATTAGGTGTCACTTTGTCTCAAAAAGTGCGAAGGTATATGAATGTACTCCAGCAGCAGCAGCAGCAACAAGCAGCACATGATATCATTTTCAGTGCATGATGTGATGATAGTCATTATATAGTTAAAACCTGCTGAGCCCTTACAAATGGACGGGATGACAAGTGTTACGATATTGTCCGCATTCGCCGATCCTCTTGGCCAAGCACCAGAACCATGGATCCGTGTTGTGTGTCTCACTTTTTTCCAAAAGATAGACACGGATTGCTTGACCAAAAAGAACAACAATGACGATGGGAAAAAAAAGTAAGAGATGTTGAAAACGGCTTTTCTTTTCCTATACGCATGGTGTGTTGTTGTTGTTGTCATTACCGTTGCTTTGGATACTCGTAAACTCAAACGGGTAGATGTATGTTTATTTACATGGGCGCGCGTATGATGACGCTGATCGCATCGTTGACATGCATTTTCACACCGAACGTCATGGAACCCTATTGCTCATTGTCCTTTTTTTATCCAAAGTCGTAAAGTGAACAAGAAAAAGTGCTGTCTCGTTCGCCGAGAGACACAAAAGCTTTTCGCATGAGATAAGAGAGGGAGAATAAAAAGAGCGGGCAATATAAAAAAATTAAGGTTTGGGGGGAGAGAGAGAAAGAACTTTGCGTGCAACGGGCGGAAGGTCGGGCGTGGGTGCACAGCCTTTTTTCTCTCTATGCTCTCTCACTCACTCACCCTATCTAACCTTAAACTATCCCCCCTCCCCTCTCATCGATCCTCATCCATATGCTATCAAAGTAAAATACAATTCCACATGTGTGTTTGTTATTCATGATATGCGCGTTGTTTTTCTTTTTTCAACCCTGCATGTGATACAAAATGTAGGGGGTTTGTAGAAAAAAAGAGAGTGAATGAGGTAGTGCGGATGTTGTGTGTGGGTGTAGATGGGGTGGTTGGTTGGTAATTGTATACTCGAAAGGTGTGTGGGTGATCAGCAGCTCAGATACATATGTACAGGGTTGTTTGTGTGTGTGTGTGTGTGTGTTTGTCAGTGGCATTGAAGAAGAGTGCTTGCTTGTTGGGAATATGTACAACATCAAAAAGGATGGAGCAATTCATGGGTTGGACCCACCATCAACGTTTGCTGCTGTTGCCATGATGGCAAAAATGATGTTTGAGGGACCAGGAACGCGGCAGCTGCAGCTGCAGCGCTTACATCACTAACAGCAACGGCTCCTTGATGTGCTCCTCCTCCTCCTCCAACACCACTTTGACTCATATTGCCGCCACCACCACCTGCTGTGCTGCCGACAATTGTATTTGCTACCACTTGTTGTAGTTGTTGTTGCTGTAGTTGTTGCTGCTGTTGTTGAGCTGCCTTTTGCTCACGTTTTTGCTTACGCCACTGTTTGCGCATTTCTTTAAACTCGGCTGGCAATCGCTTAGGGCCCTATTATGGTTCACACAGTGGTGGTTGGTATATGGTATGGATGGATGGATGAATCATTTTTCATTCTTCATTTCAACTTACGTGTTTTTGCATGGCAACATGGGCGTTGAGATGATTGAGCGTGCCATAGCTTTTAGAGCAGCCTGGATAACTGCAAGGGTAAAGTCTTTCGATTTCATGGTATTTACGACGAGGACGCTTCTTTTGTGTAGCACCAGGTACAAATGAATAAGCCTTGTTGTTCTCTGGTTCTTGAGGAGGAGAAGGGTAATAAAAAGCACAAGATGACATGGTAGGGGTAGGTGTATGTTGTGGTGTGGGTGGTTGTTGAAGTGGTTGCTGTTGCTGCTGTTGTTGGTCTGGCAGTAACAAATGTGACAGCGGAGGAAGACCTGCAGCAGAGTAAGCTGCTGCTGCAACCATGACAGATGATGGGTCGATAAAAGGTGTGGATGTAGTAGTAGTGGATGTGTTTGGCTGCTGCTGCTGCTGCTGCTGCTCTGGTTGTTGTTGTTGATGCGGTGAACTCATCATGCTTGTGGTGAAAAGAGAAGCAAGAAAAAGATGCAATTGCAGAAAGCAGAATTTAAGCGGATTGTCTCCGAGGCCAACCGTATTAGGAATAGCGTATGTTGACCGCCCAACTCGTTCACCTCCATTTATGGTTTCGTGTACACACAGGCTTTCCCTTGAGGGGGAAAGAAAAAAAAAGATCGTGAGCAACCATGGAAAAGGGATCTGCGACGTCGATCTTTTTTTGAAAGGGGGGTGTACAATAAGTCAATGAAACAAATGCTCTCATCATCATCATCCACTCATTTACTATGTTAACCTTCTTGGCATCATCACATTCACTCTTGCTGAGAACTGTAATATCACACATACATCCCGCAGATCGCCCTTTGTCCCCCAAATTTCATATCTATTTTCCCTCTCCTTCATTCAAACACAAAATTCACATTCATCTTTTCCACTGTGCCCCCACCCCCCAAATAAAAAGATGGGGCGGGTTCATGTAACCAACAACACAGCGCTATATTTATCATTCACCTTATGGGCCTAGGCATCTTGTATTCTTTCATATGTGCTGCATGTGTCAATGTAACTCATAAAGATGGTGCATTGTGCAAAATAGAAACGAACACCTCTGCACACTTTTTTGTAACAGGTGCTGATGTCCCTTTTCATCATCTCCGAAGCAACTTTTTTATCAGCCAATGATGATCGTATGCGTAATCAGATGCTGCTGTGTATATTATGGTAACGTAAATAGGGATGTAAATACATGTGTGTGTGTATGTGTTGAAGAGAGAATATGAATGATTGCCATGATATGAAACCAACGCCGCGGTAACATGTGCCATTACTGCTAACGACTATTATTACTGTTGATGATGAACACAAGGGTAAAAAAAAAGGGGGTCGATGACCTGTGCGTGGATGATAAGCTGCATTGAACGTGCGATGAATAGGTTGCTGTGGAGATGCATAATAACAATAGTGATCCGATTAAGCTTCATCATCTCGGCTCTCCTCCTCCTTCAATTGCTCCTTGCCATCCGTGGTATCCTCATTTCCTTTCATGGCGGTCATAGATGAAGATGGCACCATGATCAGCGTAGTGGTAGTGGTGGTAGTAGTAGCAGCAGCACTGGTAGTAGTCGTAGTAGTAGTAGTAGTAGCTGAATTGCGTCGAGATGGAGATATGGGTATAGAAGGATATCCATCCATGATATTGTCTAACCAGCCAACACCGGCACCACTATACGCGCGTGTACAAATCAAGTGAGCAATGAGGGCTAATCGGTTGCCATGAGACACACCACGCAACGCCCCCATTGGGGATTTACCTTTCAGCCCACTCCTCGCCCATCTTCTGCATGACAAGTTGCAAATGCTGTTTTTGGCGTTTCAACTCCTCGAGACTCTGGTCATAGTCTAAAAGCGATTTTTCCATTTGAAGGAGAGAAACAAAGAAAAAGAAAAAGAAAGGGACAAGGGCAACCCTTCCGTGTCCTGCTGCAACATTAACATTCAACCCTTCCCTACAATCAACCAAACACCCCCCCCTCCGCCCACCTATGTATGTGCACAACTCAGCCCTCTTTGACGCGAATACAAGGCGTGTGTTTGTGTGTGTTTATTCATTAAGCTTTCATCTAATGTAGCGTTGATGATCATCGCTTTCAAATCTGTCATGTTTGCAAGGAATTCATTTTCTTGTAAGAATGCATGTCAAGCATTGGTAACGGAGTCGGGTACGTAAAAATGAGAGAGGTTTCCAATTGTGGCTGGATTACCGAGCATCCAAGTGGCGCTTTCAACATTGACGAGATGTACCAAATCGGGTTACTTTACAGCACAAAGACAATGAAGACTTCCTCCTTACTTTATTATAATACATCACATGTATCCAAAAATCTCCTGTTGTTGCTGCTGCTGTGGTGGTGGTGGTAATTGTGGGTCATCGTTATTACTACTACTACTGCTACTACTATTACAAGACACATTATTATTGCCTAGCATGGCTTTGAGAAACGCGCATCGTTCTTCCATAATACGCAACACAAGTTGCATTTCATCACGCGACATGTCTGCCCTTAGACCCATAAACATTTCTTCTGTGCCAGTTAATGGTTCGCGACGACGGCGTCGACGACGTTGGCTATTTGTTTTGTTGAGCTCCATGGGACGATCACGATGATGTAGCTTGAAAAACAATCCACATGCATTACAAATGGATTGTCCACGTGAATTTTTACGCCAGAGTGGAGTATCGGTTTGATGGCAATTGGCACATTGCTGTTGTTGCATAGGAGGGGTGGTGGTGGTATACTGGTGCTGCTGATACTGAATTTGATTTTGATAATAGCCTTCAATGCCCAACCAACGAGTAGCCCTTTGCCAGATACGCACAGGTCGATGACGCTTGTATTGCTTGTAATAAAGCCCACATGCATTACACAAAATGTGAGCGCGATCAGGCGTACGACGCCATAGAGGAGTGCTGATCACTTTACAGTTGTAGCATTCAATGGTCCCCTCCTCCTCCTCTTCTTCTTCTTTGTGGGATTCCATTGGACGTTGCTGTTGTTGTTGTTGTTGATCGGTTTGGTTGATATCAAGGTGTGTGAATAAAAAAGATGGAGAACAATAGGGTTGTTCATTGTCTTGCAATGGTGAGTGTTGTTGTTGTTGTTGATCAAAAGGAAAACACGACGTCAAGGATGGGGCGAGTAAATCTTGTTGCTGTGAGGTAATGTCATCAATGGGGGATGATGACAAGAAATCAAGCTCAAATGAGGTGTCATCGTTTGTAGAAGGGGGTGGGTCAAGAAAGGTAGCAGTAGTATGCTCGTGGTATAAACCAAGACCCATGTCAAAAGGAAATGATTGTTGCTTTGATGATTCCATAATGATAATAGTAGTAACCATTGATCCGGGCCCATTTTTCCCAACACTCGGCTTGCTTTTATAGCAATCATGGCCCCATAATATGCATCATGGTAGTATCATGTGTATAGAGTTTTTTGTTTTGTTTGCAATCTCAAATATTCAGTTTCCCTTTACCTTTTTCTCTTTCGATCGCCCTTCTTTGGTGGTACAAAGACATGGTGCTCCTGGATGAAACACACACGCATGCACATTACATACCAGAGAAAACGAAATCAAGGGCACAAGGTCAATCACTGTAAAGCGATAGGATTCCTAACCTTTCAGGCAATGTATTGACACTCCGTGAGCGCCGTCTCGTCCCCGCATCTCGATATATTATATGTTTTATGCTACGATCCACCACAACCACCATCACTGTAATATCATCTGCTGATCACACGATCGAGAGAGAATGCGATCTTATCATCTTCTAAACCATATTTACTCAGAACCCAAGCACTACTCACACAGAGTTATCTACATCCGATCTAAACACCTCCTTGAAACTTTTACAAAATGGAACGTTTTTCACATTTATTTACAGGGAAAGAAGCAGCACTTTATGGAAGCTTAATATTAACGATTGCTTTGGTTGGTGTTGCCGGAGGTAGACTTGTTGATGCCTTTGAAAGCACCTTCCATTTTTTGCTTGGCATCATCCCACATTTCACCAGCCTTGGCTTCCATTTCTTGCATTTTACCACCTTGGCGTTGAGCTTGACCTTCAGTTTCCATTTTCTTGTTGCCCATCATGTTGCCAGCAGATTCCTTGGCAGAGCCAACGCCTCGGTTGATATTAGAGTTCATACGGTCTTCATTCATTTTTGGATAATTAGGATAAGGGTATAAGAAAAGAGCCATGTCGTTGCGTCCTTTTATAAGCTGTTACGACTGGGGTGTCGGACGAGATTGCTGAGTCGTGATTGATCCTCTTGCGAGCATTGTAATAACGTTGATAATACGGGAACCAACTGCGCCTACATATCAAACCCATGGATTAGCATGATGCATGTCATAACCTATACGCTATAAATTTACCCGTGTTTGCTTTTTCTCGAGAAACTTGATAATAACATTTCGTAGATATTCAATATTGACCGTTGAATCATCACGACTCGATGCCTTGCGAATCTCATCCCGAAGGGTCTAAGAGTAAAAATCAATTGAGTGATCCTCCTCTTCTTCCTTTTGATGGGGGAATGCATACCTTGTTGATAGTTTTCAAATGATTCTCACGAATTCTGGCCTGCTCTAGTGCTTGCTGCTGATCTTGTAATTGTTTGTATCGAGTCTAAAAAGTGAAACAAAAGCCAATCGAGTGAGTGAACAATAGTATGCTTGACATCATGATGATGATACTTACCATGGATTCACTCAATTGTTGATGTTTCTCCTTCCATGCTGTGAGATCGGTCGCCATAGCAGCAAGATCAGCTTTGCTTTGATTGCATTGTTGCTGAGCTTGGTCGTATTTGGATTGCAGCTCATTGATCCTGCTTTCCCATTCAGCCTTTTGTGTGGCGGCAGGCACTTTGGCTTCCCATTGTTGCTGCCTTAAAGTCGTGATTTCTTGTTCCAAGCGACTCACACGTGCTTCAGCTTGTTCCAATTCTCCCTCGGATGATTGCCATCGTTGTTCCAAGGTCTCAGCACGATCGCGTTCAGTTGCATAGTCATCTTTTAATGTGGATAATTGATCTTGGATAGTGTTGATGTCATGTTGCATCCTGTCCTTGTCAGCATTGGCAGCTGCTAAAGCCTCTCTCATGTGCTTAATCTCAGCCTCTAGACGAGCCACGGCTTCTTGAGCTGTTGTCTTGGCAGTGTTGGTAGCTGAAAGAGCATCATCCATGCGTTGTCGTTCTTCTTGAACACGTTCTAATGCTGTCTGAGCCATCATTTTCTCTGTATTGGCTGTATCCAATGCATCCGCCATGTGCTTTTGATCCTCTTCGAGTCGTGTCACACGTTCCTCTAGCTGGGCCTTGTCGCGGTTGCCAGTGGCAACCATGTCATTGATTTGCTGCTTCTCGCGTTCTAGTTGCGAAATACGTTCCTGAGCTTGATGCAGGTATTGTCTTTGTTGATCATGGTCGCGTTGTGCAGTCTGCAGTTGCTGCTGATAATGCCTTATCTCGTTGTCGCTGTTGCCTCCTCCTTCCAAGACGTTGAGTAGCTTGTCCATGAGAGGATCAGTGTCATCTAAAGAGTGCACCTTGGCCAACAATCGAGCTAACTTGTCTGTAGGTGGTGGTGTAGCAAGTCCTCCATTGAGTTGCTGTGTCAAATGGGCAATGGTCGCCTGTGCCTTTTCCAATTCCTGCCGTGCAACATCGGCCTCCTCAATAAAGTGCATCACGTTCTTTTTCGACTCTTCACGTTCCAAGCGTAATTCTTCAAGCTCATTGCTTAAACGTTGTACTTTGTCTTGAAGGTTCTTTTTGTTCATAGGGTGCAGAGTGGGTCAAAGTGGAATAAGTCGTGTTGAGTGGGACGTATTTGATCTGCAGTTGCTGATAATGCCTTATCTCGTTGTCTTCTTGCCTCTACCAATTCAAGACGTTGATAGCTTGTCCTCTGGAGATCAGTGTCATCTAAAGAGTGCGCGGCAACAATCGAGCTAACTTGTCTGTGAGGCGTGGTGAAGTGCTGTATGGAATCACTCTATGGTTGCTGTGTCCGACTCCGACGGTAATATTTTCGCTGTGCCTTTTGGTCCTGCCGTGCAACATCGGCCTCCTCAATAAAGTGCATCGTTCGCATAGGCTGTACGTTTCTAAGCGTAATTCTTCAAGCTCGTGCTTAAACGTTGTGCCTGTCTTGAAGGATTCTTTTGCTGGGGTGCAGAAGTGGGTCAAGGCGGAACTGGAGATGTGTTGAGTGGAAGATGCGGTGGAGTGGGGACAGAAAAAGAAGGAAGTGAGGGGAATTTAATGGCGACAGCCCTAACGAACATGCTCAAAAAACAGCAGCACAGGCTTTTCTTTGTATGCAGATCACACTGAACAATGAACAGCCATGCATACTACATGCATCCTATCTTCATTATCCCATGCAATCAACCTCTCCTCCCTCCCTTAAAGAAAGATCATGTTATTCATAGGCTGCTTATAATAAAGATGTCCTAGCGATCCCTCCATGCATGTGTGCACCAAAAGGATCGCATACCTATGACCACAGCCCAAATTGTAACAGGAAACGTGGATAAAAGTTTATTGTTTGCATGCAGCATACTAGTTACGAAAATAGGCAATAGACCCAAAACGTAATTTTTTATACTTGTTCAGGGTTATCAGTATTAGAAACGTTTTCGATCGGGTAGATCACAAAAGCAAATAGTGCTCTGAGTGAGGTAAACAAAGCAGCACAACATCTATGCACCAGTGCAAAGTTGGGAATTCGCTTCGCCGTTCTTGACAGCAAGACTAAAGACCACACTTGGATCACGTTACGTACTTTGGCGCTTATCAATAAAAAAGCAGCTCTCCTTGTTCCCATACCCACCCACTGTTACATCTTTTGTTTCAATCATTTGGGCCTTGATGGTCATGAAAATGTATTTCCCAGTATCCTTTATGTATAGGCCATATGATCAAGTCCTTGAACGTATCATAGCAATAGACATTACCTATCATGCACACTGCTAATGAAGTGGTGTTGTCCTCGCACATCTCTTTTTCGTCACTTGGTGTGTATCAAGAATCAGCTTAGATGACCCTTAGATCTCACGACCTGTTTGCTATGGTCCTCAAAAAGACTTTTTATGTATGGTACAATGAAACATGAGGTGAAAAGAGGGGGAAGAGCCTATACAGAAAATATTTACACGATGGAAAATGGATGTTGCAGGAAGTGTGCGTCCACTTTTTGCACACTTTCTGCCCACTTTTGTCCACCTCGCCAATCAGACACATCGTCTACAATAGCCACCGGTCAATCATCTTCATTGATACAATCCTTTTATAACAGCCAGCTATGGTGTTGCAATATCATGTAAATCATTGTCTTTATGTACATGTGTGTGCAGCTATGCTTCGAGAAAGAGCGGTAGGTAGAGATAAGGAGGAGAACTGACTGGTCGTATACATCTTTGGTGTTGCTGTTATTGATGGGAGACTATAGTAAGTTGGTCGAGTCCAGCCAGCTTTCTCACATGATGATGGTGTTTCTGTTGATGGCCTAACCTAGCACCCCCGGAAATGATACGACGGTTATCCAACGTTGTCATGCTTTCCATCAGATTGAGCGCGTTTTCCTTGATCTTCGTCTCTAAGTATTGATTGAGTGAGAACATCAGCTTTTTCAGAGTTGCATATACATACTTTCAAAAGTAGGTCGGTTTGCGGAAAGGTGGATTCTCGCATTCTGATCTTCTTCGATATTTGATTGCGAATGTAAGTTTCACGTAGAAAGTCTATTAACGGATGAGTTGGTTTACTTGCTCTGAAGTAGAATGGTTGATACTTTGCCTCTAGCGGATTTCTTGAGGGCATATAACGAGCGCATTTGCGTATTGAGCTGATCAGATTCTCGTCGCTGACGCTGTAGCTCACCGAAGTGATCTTTTGGTAAAATGCTCTGGCAAGGCTTGAAGTGGATTGTTTGGGAATATCACCCAGCTTGATGTCGCGTACAACAATGTCCAATTCGACGCACCAAAGATGACATGTACGTACTCATATAACCTACAAAGGAGTCCGAATTTCCCATCAGACTGAGGTTGCCTTTTGCCTATAAATGATAGGGTATACCTACCACAAAGGGTCCACCGAGGAACACAACATCCAAAAGTCATTAAGCACCAATAGTCAATGAAGCGGGCTACATAAATGAATCCACGACTGAGTACCCTCATTTTGGGAATCACATAAAAAAGACTATCCTCGAGACTTACCAAAGGTCATGGATGATGATATGAATACAAGTAGACAGAAAGGGCGTATGATAGTGTTGGTGACAACAGCCTTCTTTATATGTGAGCGGGCGTGGGAGTTGTTGTCGTGATGGATCGGAATGGTAAAGTGGTCAAGCATCTTGGAGCACCGAGTCGAAGTGATGGAAAACCAACAGCTGATAAATCCACCTGCTGCTTAAAAGGTGATATTTTGTAGGTGGCATAAGTATGTCCCGAACAGCGGTTGCATGCATATTCAAATCCAAGCAGCTCCATGAGTCGCACCGATTTCCAATAACAAAGCATGGCCGTCTCCCATAGAGTACACTGCATTGGCTTCCTTGACACGCTACCGTGATAATAGTGATGTATCGCCGAAAGAGAGTATGCTACTCTATCTCTTTTCGTAAGTTCACTTAAATCCAACCGATCCAAAAGAATCCCTTTACCTTGAGATGGCTTTCAATACCATTGGTGTTTCAAATAACCTGTATCCACCCGATCTAGCATATGGTGCTGCTATTGAATTGGGGGAAGGCTCTTTACTTAGCACATCTTGCTTTGCAGATCCAATCATAAGCGTACCATTGAGCCAACGTACTGCATTCTTGCTTTGAAATCAGCATCCTTTTGCTGCCAGGGGTACCATCATCAAACATGTGTAATCCTTTCATTAACGCAAAGTAAGATAACAAGGCCAGCATTTACTTTTTCGTATCAACATACCCAAAGTAACAATGGCTTGGGATATCTCCTTGACGACAACTATGGATACACACGACACTCAACGGCTCCCTTGGGTGTGGTATAAACGAGCGAGTAGCAAACTACACGTAAACTTTAGTATCACGACGCCGAGTTGGAAGAATAAAAGAAATGCAGTCATGTAACCTACATGTTGTATTGGAATGGAAGCTTGAGTCATGGGTAGATCGCGCGCGTGCTTGTTGTAACTGAAAAGTGTTGTCGGCATTGACCACTTGTTCGCCCATCAGCACTGTGCATTTAAGGCAACAATGGTAGCAGTTAAAGCTCTGTACTTCGTAAGTGGAGTTAGTCTTACCTTGCTTTGTAAAGTGGGAGAGGAAAAGAAGCGGCTTTTGTCGTCCCTTCGGTGGTTCTCATCCATTTGTGCACTCCACGCCACCCTGCTTGCCACAGCTATTGTTGTCAACATAGCGCTACATAACTTCTACATTTGGATAAATGAAGATAACCACTACTCGAGATTTCACATGGGCTTGGTTCTTGTAATTAAGCTACTCATGATTTTACTGTGGGCAGGGTTACCAATAATTCGGTCCATGCGCTCTTTTATGCAGCTCGACTCCTGGATTTGAACAATCAAAATGTGTGACCCTACACCTGGATATGTATCCATCCATATATGGTATCTGCAAATGCATTGTTGCTGCCACGATGGATATAGTTTCTTTATCAATGGATGTCCGTGTACAAAAATCACCCTACCCAAGGCAATCGCCTTCCATTTGTGCAGCAACCTGTCAAGGACGTGTTTGTGTAACCATCACCACGTGCCATTTCACTCAGCTCTTCATCTTTTCCGTTAATGCAGCCGACACCATCCACTAGGAAAAAGCAACTACATCACGCTTACGGCATAGGTAAAACATAAACGTGTTTGTATCTCTAAACTTTACAATCAAACGTGGGTTCTTTATGAGAACCATGTTGCTCGGCTTGGCCAACAGCACCTTGTGTGCAAGTTTCACGTTCATCGTGGCCAATCCCAGATTTCGCAATGTCGCCACCAGCCAAACTGGATCTGGGGGGTCGACCTCTTCGACGACGGCGACCAAAAAATATTTTTTGGGCTGTTTGCGACATTGAACGCGAAACTTTCACACAAGGTGCAGTTGGCCAAGCCGAGCATATTGCGCTAATAAAAACCCCACGTTTGATTGTAAAGTTTGGAGATACAGGCACCTTTATGTTTGTAAGCGTGATGCTATATGAGAAGTGGTCTTTGTTCATTGTCAAGTAGGTGGACCCTGGCAGAACAAAAGATGCAGAGGGACGTGTTTGTGCAACTGGGTTAAAAAGTTTGGACTTCAGGGACCATGCATGACAGGTACGCAACCCTCATTTTCAGGTCATACATTGGCAGCTAATAGCCACTTTTGTGCATTCACAACTTTTGTGCATTCCATTGTAGGTGGACGATTCTCCTTCTCTAGACATTCATTTCCATGATTAAAGTAGGTTGATCCGAGCTGATTTGGTTGAGTTACGGTCGAACAAGATTACATCGGTTGAGCTACATCGAGCGTGCTTTATGTCCAGAGTGATGTAATCTCTCTTTGACCACAGCTCAGTCAAATCAGCTCGGATCAATATAATTGAATCATGGAAATGAATGTCTAGAGCAGGGGCATCGTTCCCATGCAGTGGATCTCGCAACAATGATGATTGGATAAAAGTGGCCGTTAGCTAGCAGCACATGCCTGTTCCTAGATGATCCATAAAGTAATTATACATTGACCCTTTCATTCATGCAAACGTAGCTGTGTTACACAACACGACCCTCTGCATCTTTTGCTCTGTCAGGGTCAATCTACTTCACAATCAATTATGTCTTCCCAGAATTTAACCAAATCGCCTGATAAGGAAACAGGCACACAATATCGTCCACAACGGCTTTCGTATGCCAAGGTTACCAGCACTCATTCCTCAGCACGTACTCATTCCCCAACGCGGGATTCGTTGAAAACAACAGCTCATGACAATTCTTTGCACTCGAATGTGTGGAAAGCCGGTGGCTCTCCTGCTTCCTGTACCAGCTTGTTCTTTGATTTCACATCTCGTTCCGAAAATCGCTCCCAGCTTTTGTGCCATATAAACGAAAGCTTTCCCAACAATTGTGGTGTTCGCCTTCACTCGGATCATGCTCGCCGTATTGTTGAATTATTCATCGATGACTCCAACGTTTACCAGAAAGCTTGTACGTCAGGCCTTGTTTTCAAGGATGGTGTGCGTATCTTGCCTAGTGTACCTTTACCATCTGATTCCCGTCTCATTCATCTTCGACTCAGCAACCTTCCTTTCACCTCTCGAGATAAGCTTACCGATGGAATTTATAAGGCTCTCTCACCCTTTGGTGATGTTCTTGATTATGGTATTCTCCGTGATCATGACTCTAAGTTGTTCATGGGACACGGATATGCAACATTAAACGTTTCAGGTTCAAAACAATCATCATCGCTCACACACACGATTTCATGGCCTAACTCCGAAGACTGGTTTTATGCAACATGGGCTGAAATGCCGCTTCATTGCCTTCATTGCCACAAATCCGGTCATTCTATGTCCTCATGTCCTACCCACCCAAGCAGATATCGCCCCTGTTGGTCTTGCGGCCAAAATGGCCACCGTGCCGCTAAATGTCCCAATCGTCGCCCTATTGTTGTCAAGCTCATCAATGACCCACCAATGTCCCCATCGTCTTCTGTTTCCACTGCCGCCAGCCATTCTGATGTATCGATGCTTAGCACTGATTACTCACCCCTTGAAGCCCACAACGATATGATTATCAGTACTCATATTACAGAATCTTCCCCTGAAAAACCATCAGCCAAAACATCTAAGGCACCAACACCGCCCGAGTCCATCGATCGTATGTTGACGACTTTTCCCATGTCTGATGAAGCCAAGGAAATGATTCGATCTTTGCCTTTATCAAGTTTTACCACCCTTTATTTTAAGCTTAAAAGTCGGGGTAAACTTTTTCCGTCTTCTGCCACTCCTTCCAATTCGTCGGGGAGTGTCTCTTCCATGAGACTTAATGATTCCAATTAGCTCGCTCCCACCCTTTGTCATCTCGTTCCCTCTCATGTATATCTCCTTATGATTATCAATTTGACCAATATTGTTTCGATTTTGGGGTGCCACTCTCCGATGCACTCCCAATAAAACGAGGCTAACAACCTCCATATAAATACTTCACAATCAACGAAGACCACTTCTCATATAACATCACGCTTACAAACATAAAAGTGCCTGTATCTCCAAACTTTACAATGAAACGTGGGGTTTTGAATAGAGCAATGGGCTCGGCTTGGCCAACAGCACCTTGTGTGAAAGTTTCGCGTTCAATGTCGCAAACAGCCCAAAAAAATATTTTTTTGGTCGTCGTCGTCGTCGAAGAGGTCGACCCCCCAGATCCAGTTTGGCTGGTGGCGACATTGCGAAATCTGGGATTGGCCACGATGGACTTCATAGTTTGACACAAGATCGCTTTCACCCCGCCGAGCACATTGTTCTATCAAAGACCTCACGTTTCATTGTAAAGTTTAGAGATACCGGCACCTTTATGTTTTACATATGCTGTAAGCGTGATGCTATATGAAGGGTGGCCGTTGTTCATTGTGAAGTAGAATGGCTATGATACAGCAAAAGATGCACAGGGACGTCTTTGTGTAACTCAGTAGTTTTGCATGACTAGAACGATCAATGAATGTTAACTTGTACATAGCTCATCATTGGTAGCCAATAGCCCATTCCTCACATTCACCGTTGTTGCCCAAACCAATGCATGTGAACTATTCCCCTCCTCCAGCCCATCATTCCCATCTTTCAACTTTCTTGATCCGAGCCGATTTGACTGAGCTACGCCCAAACAGAGAATGTGTCAATTCTTGAAAGACAGACCCTGCGAATGTCTCCGTCTTTCAAACTTTTGGACGCTCCCATTCCAAATTTTCAAATGAAGCGTGAGGTTTTTATTAGAAAAAAGTTGATCAGCATGCTCGGAGCACCTTTCTGACCAATTTTCAAGTTGGAAGTGGGCAACTTCGGGGCGGTGGGCCGTCCTCTCTTTTGTACCCGTTATCCACCATTTAGCCCGCCCCGTATTTTAAATCTTCACAATGAAGCCTGTGGTTTTTAAATGAACAACGTTGATCAGCATGTCCCAGAGCATCTTGTGTGAAAGTTTCAGGTTCGAGAGGGGCAATCTCAAGGTCATGGATCAATTACAGTGTTCATGGATGTATACAAGAAGTGTCCGCCCGTTTAATTTCCACTTCTTCCATTCCCACTTTCTTGCCTCTTCTTCCCATTCTCAGCTGTTACTCCATTCAACCACAACTACTACATGCGAACGATTGTCCTGCTTCAACCCATCATGTCGATCCCACAGCTGCCTTGATCCGATTGTCTTTAACTGAATGGCAAGTCCATGGCGTGTACACAGCCTTTTGCCACCCTACTACAACACACGAATCTTTTGACACAACGCAAGCTCTTGTACATTCCTCTGCCACGATCCACCGTAACAGCATTCATTTCCAGCACTTACCATGAGCAAGGTCTTCATTGTCTCAAACGGTCTTCTTTACTTGCAGCAACTTGCCTTACAGCCTTTTTTTACGTGAACAGCAGATAGCCAGTGTATGGGAGCAGCTTTATATACGTGCAGCACCTTGTTTTACGACACACGATATACTATGGATGATCCCCTATCAGCTTTCAAGTACATCGCAATACAAGTAATCTTCACCTGGTTGAGCTGCAATGGGAATGACCAAGAAAGAGATGGATCAACAGTAGGATGTGGAAGAATGCATATCAGCAGCAATCAAATGGCCCGGATGGATGGATGGATGCAATCAAGTGCAGTGATGAGAAACCTTGGACGCTGCTTTGGTTACTTGGTATCATTATCAGGAAGGAAGGATCATGGGCGTGGATACGGCTGAGGATGACGGATGGATTGGAATGGCCATTGGCGAAGTGTGTTTTACTGCCATGGACTACTTGGAATACTCGTGTCGATGCATGCAGCAGCTATTTTGCAATCGTGGATGAGGGATGTTTATGACCGCAGCAACCAAGAATAGCATGGCACAATTACCCCTGTTGACTCTATGTGATTCACCTGTATCTTATTCAAGTTGTGATCCTGTACCTTTATAATATCAAACATCCACACTTCCATTCGCTATTCTTCGACTTTTTCATTGAATGAAAATTGGGTTCAAGATAATACTTAGAAGGGTATCATGCTGTAGACTCATATGTGTAAGGTGTGGATCACTTGGCTGGCTTCTGCATCGAATGGGGAAATAGAAATTAGAAGTTCGGAAGGCGAGGTTGGATCATTTACATCACTGTATGGAGATGCTTTTGCCGTAATCATTGACATTCAAGATGGAGTGAGCGGGTGTGATACAATGTGACATGGGTGCATGAACATACCACGCTTACCTTTAACAACTTTCGGCCAACGCTATGCTATGCGGCCCTGTATAATAATGGGCCATTGTTAGCGATCATATGAAGACGATGATACAGCTGAAGATCCTTATCGTATCGAAATAAGCATATGCTTCTTGCATGAACGATAATCGAACCACCTTTCTTCTTCCATCTTCGAAGCTATCCACAAGCTAAGCAAAGTCCAAGTCGTAATAAATAAACAATGCTTCTTTATTTTATCTATGTAAGTAACCCATCATGTACATCTATTAACAGACAATCCTCTTTGCATGCAAAGAGCCCGCCGAGGACGCCACCAGAATTAGCTCGAGAAAGAGTACTCCATTTATCAATAGACCCAATTTTGATGGATTCGTTGATATATTGCATGACTTGTTTACATCATCCGCGTCTCACTTTAAAAGCCTTTTATCCGTAATGTGGATTCAAGTGAATGAAAAATGATCATAGTAGAACATCAACACCGCGACTACTCGCTTGTTGTATATCATATGACGAATAAGTACAAGATGGTCGTAATGATAAAGTAGTACTTTGGAAGATGCATAGCAATAGTGTTGCCTTGGATGGAGAGTCGGAGCTAATGCACCCGACGCAATGCGCGTGTGCGTGTGCGTGTAATCACTAGAGCAAGGTCGTCACGTTGACTAAATTCAAACTAGGTTTCCCTTTTCTTTCTCGCCTTGTACGCAGTTTCGTGTGTTCCCTCCCTCTCCTCTCCTCTCCCCTTCCACATTGCACAAAAGACACAGCTGAAAACGTGCATTGCTTTTACATTCTGCGTGGTGGAGAAAGACACATCGACTTGTATATATTTCCATCGACATCCTCGCCAGAATCCTTCACGCAACCAACAACTCTCAACCCCTGACGAGGCGATAAAACCCAACTTGCAACAAACACCCTTTTGCCACCCGCCCTCTTTTGCGCGCCATTGACACCGACACATTATACTCTTGATGGATTCTGGTGACCAAGAAGATTACAACAAACTCCCTGTTGCTGACAGATTACAGCACAAGGTACACCTTTTCTCTCTCTCTTTCTCTTATGCAAATAGGACGAGTGACTAAAGACATATTTCATTGTGTATGACAGCTATGGAAAGCACGTGTATCCGCCTATGAAGAGTTGACATCCTTGTTCCGCAAAACAGACAACGATTCTGATTTCTACACCTATGAGCCGTACCTGAAAAAGATTGCTACCGATGCCAATGCAGTTGCACAAGAAGCAGGCCTTAATGTCATATATGAATTTGTAAATAATGCACCCAATGCTGCTAGGTAAGTATTGGGGTGAAAGCGATGGAGACACACAAGGGACAAGGGAGATCAGGGATGTGTGTGTGTAAAAGAAAGGGATTACTTATTCTATCTTTTATAGCTCTCGTGAGACTGTAGTTCCCGCCTTGGTAGAAAAATGTCTTGGAGCAATGAAAGCAGGCACCAAACAAAAAGCTACCGAAGTTATCTTGCTGTATGCTGAAATCGATGTTGCTGATCCAGTCGTGGTATGTTGTATCTCTTTAAGGAACAAGAAGGGGCAACAGCGAATAACACATGTATCTATCTAGGAACTCGTTTTACCCGGTCTAAGTGCCAAACAACCCAAACTTGTCACTCAAACGGTGGTGGTGCTTCGAGAATTTGTAAAGTAAGTCGTCGTCGTCGTTGTATGTGAATGTATATGGATCATGAGATAAATAACCACATGTATATTAGGCAATTTGGTGTCCCGCGAGTGGTGAATCCAAAGCCCATCCTCAAAACGATCCCAAAGTTGTTTGCTCATACGGATAAGAATGTGCGAGCGGAGGTGAGTTATACACACGCACACGCCCATTATGCAAATGTCTCCTTCATCGTCAGGGATGGTAAACTCTAACAACGCGTCTTGTTGATAGGCTTTTTCAATGACGGTTGAATTATATCGATGGCTTGGTGCCGCTATCAACAATTCACTATCAGATCTGAAACCAGTACAAGTCAAAGACCTGGAAGCAGCATTTGCAAAGTTACCACAAGAAAAGGCAAAGCCGGAACGCTTACTCCGATCCGAACAAGCTGCTGCGGCCGAAGCTGCAGCTGCAGAAGCCGAGATGGGTAAGAGCCTTTTGCGGTAGATGATACACACACATGTGGGACTTACTTTTATATATGTATTTCAAGGTGAAGCTGAAGATGGTGATGGTGGTGATGATCAAGGCGAACCTATGGATGAAGACCCAGTGGATCCTTATGATTTTGCCGACCCTGTCAATATCACTGCTAAACTTCCAGGCAACTTTTTCGAATTAATCGTATGTATCATTGAGAATGAGGATGCATTTATACACACAAGACAACTCACTTTTTTATCTTTATAAAGGCATCCAAAAAATGGCAAGAACGACGAGAAGCACTTGATGCATTGATGGCAGCTGCAAAGACACCTCGCATTGCTGATAACGACTATACTGAATTGATGGCAGCACTCGCTAAACGCATCAATGATACCAACATTTTACTTGTGGGAACGGCAGCAAATTGTGTTGAGGCGATTGCAACGGGTTTACGACAAGACTTTGCAAAATACAAGGGAGTGGTAAGTGATGATGGAGGGGGGTTGTTCTTTTTCATAGAGTCAAATCCTCAACTTTAATTTGGATAGGTGGCCCTTCCTATGACTGAGAAATTGAAGGAACGCAAGCCGGCTATTTTGGAACATTTGATGAATGGTCTCAATGCGGTTTTTGGCACCGTATCATTAAGTGATATTCTTGAGGATGTATCTACGGGTGTGAAACACAAGAATCCTCAGGTCAGAGCCAATTCAGTAAAGTTGCTTTCACGACGACTCAAGGAGACACGTGCTGCACCTGTCAAAGCGGAGTACAAGGCTTTTGCAGAGATGATGCTAAAGACATTGGATGATGCGGATGGAGGTGCTCGTGAAGCAAGCGCTGAAGGTCTTGGTACCTTGATGAAAGTAGTGGGTGAAAAGGCACTTGCTCCATGGACAGAAGGATTGGATGATATCAAGATGGGCAAGATCAAAGAGGCATGTGAGAAGGCTGAAGTCAAAGCAAAGCCTATTGTCGCAAAGAAACCACCACCAGCACCAGCAGCAAAGAAAGCACCAGCAAAGCCTGCCATGAAGCCAAAGCCTGCAGCAGCAAAAAAGGCACCACCACCACCCAAAGCTGAACCTGAACCTATGGCCATTGATGATGATTCAGCACCACCACCCACCATGAGCCCACCAAAACGTAAGCCTCCAGCTCGTCTTGCAGGTTCAAGCGCAAAAAAGCCCACCTTGTCATCCTCCAAACCCAAGGCAGCTACTGCATCATCATCATCAGCAGCAGCAGGTCCCAAAAAGGCTGCAAAGCTTCCACCTTCCAGTGGTCCTGAAGAAGTGCGCTACAAGTTCACTCAAGAAGATGCTGAAGCACGTGCAACAGAATTTATCCCTGAACAAATATGGAATGATGTTGCTCAGAGTCAATGGAAAGTTCGGTTAGCAGCCATGGAGTCGCTTCAAACACACTTTTCCAGCATGGATCCAATAGACACGGAGCCTGAGATCGTCTTTCGTGCACTTTCTAAAAAGCCTGGATGGAAGGAAATGAATTTTCAGGTGATGGGCAAGCTTTTTGGCGTGTTACAACTCTTGGCAACCGATTGTCCAAAGTTTAACAAGGCATGTGTGGCCATTGCAGTACAAGGTATGGATATCTTTTATGACAATGTTATATTGTTTTCACTCATACATATCATTCTATATAGTTCTTGTGGAAAAGTTGGGTGACATCAAACTCAAGAAACCTGCTGGTGAATGTTTGATTGTGTTTGCTGAAAAGACTTCGCTCCAATTTGTGTTTTCCCAATCCTATCCCATTTGGAAGAAAGCCAAATCACCCAAGGTATTGGCTGATTCGCTTACGTGGATTCATTCGGCCATTATGGATTTTGGTATTGCTGGTTTACAAGTCCGTGATCTCATCGAGTTCATCAAGTTTGCTCTATCCAATACCAATGCATCGGTGCGAACAAGTGCTGTCACTGTTTTGGGAGCTTTACGCATGTTCATTGGGCCTGGTAAGATTTTTTAAGGGAAGGTGGATCAGGATTCATTCACTAAACATCCTTTCACAGAGGTCAAATCCTTTGTTCAAGATGTCACACCTGCTTTGCTAGCCAATATTGAAGCCGAATTTGACAAGGTTGCACAAATGGATCCTCCACAGCCCACCAGGACAAGTGTAAGTACATCATCGTCATCATCATCATCATCATCATTATGAAACGATTATTGACATAAAGTATTAGGCTGATACACAAGCATCTGGCGGCGGTGGTTCTAGTCGTGGTGGTGGCGGTGGCGGTGGCGCCGCTGATGCTGTTGAATCCCTTTTTCCACGCGTTGATATCTCCTCTCAATTATCCAAAGCATCAAGTGCATGTAGCGATGCCAATTGGAAGGTGCGAAAAGAAGGTCTTGAAAAGGTTTTGAGTATCATTGCTGAAGCCAACAAGCGGATAAAACCTAATCTTGGTAAGTATCATCATTGATGACAGCCATTGAATGATCCCATTTTAATGCTTGTAATATATAGGCGAGTTCCCTGGTGTGTTGAAACAACGTCTTGCCGATAGCAACAAGAACCTTCAAATCATGGCATTGGATATTGCAGGTCAACTTGCTGGAGCAGCTGGCAAACCATTTGAAAAGTACCTCAAGCCATTGACGGGTCCTGTTACTACCTCACTTTCTGATAACAAGGCCAATGTACGAGCTGCTGGTATTGCTACTTTGGAAGAGTTCCGGAAGGCATGTGGTATCGATGGCATGATTGGTGCTTTTGCAACAAGTCTTTCGGGCGATTCACCTTCATTACGCAAGGAGCTTCTTGCTTGGCTCAGCACGACTCTCAAAGAAGAACAATCCACACCCGATCTTTCACCCATGATTTCACCCATCCTTTCATGCTTGCAAGACCGTAATGCTGATGTTCGAAAGTCCGCACAGGCTTGTCTTCCTATGATCATTGCTAGTGCTGGATACGAAGCTGTTGTCCATAAATCAGCTGATCTCAAGAGTGCACAACGACAAGCTATCATGCCCATGATCGAAGCACATCGAGGTGCTGCTGCTGCTGCTGCTCCTGCTGCTGCTGCTCCTACACTTGCTGCACAACCTAAACGTGCTACAGCATCAGCAGCTTCTGAAGAACGTTCCATTGGAAAATCACGTCTTGCACCAAGAAAGAAACCAGGTTTACAGGCACCTCGCGCTTCAGGGATCGCCAGCCCTGGATCAGCATCTGCTGCTGCTGCCGCTGCTGCTAGTACTGAACAAGCCCAGCCACCCGTCCTTAGTGAAGATACACGTGCCAAGCAAATTCGTGCCAAAAAAGAGATACGATGGCAATTTGATACACCACGACCTGATCTTGTTGATGGATTACGATCATTAAGTGAACCCCATTTCAGCGCCGAAGTTCGAAGTCTCTTATTCAGCACCAGCCAATATGCTGAACGTGATCGACTCAGTGGTTTGGCATTGCTTGATGAATGCTTGGTGTCACCTGAAATCTGCTCCAACAAGTACGATATCGACTTTTCCGATATGAAGCTGCGTTACATTGCCAATGCCGATATCATTCTAAAGTACCTTACGATCCGATTCTTTGATACCAACACCAGCATGTTGATCAAATGTCTTGACGTGACCGAACATTTGGTGGCTATTATGGATGAAGAAGGATACCATCTTACCGAGTATGAAGCCATTTCCTTTTTACCATTCTTAATCAACAAGGTAAATGCTCTTTATTTGGGATGTATGATAATGTCATTTACTAAGCTTTGACAATGAATAGATTGGTGATCCAAAGGAAGTGATGCGTGCAAGGATTCGAAATATTCTCAAGGGCATGTGCCGTGTTTATCCTGCCACGAAGTTATTCAACCATATTCTTGATTCAGCAGCTAGCTCCAAGAATGCAAAAGCTCGTGCAGAATGCTTGGAAGAAATTGGTGCTCTTATCCAAAGGAATGGTATTTCGGTTATGATACCCAACAAGTCATTACCACTTGTCGCCACACATATTGGAGATCGTGATGCCGGTGTCAGAAATGCTGCTTTGAATGCTATTGCTCAAGCCTATATTCTTGTGGGTGATACCGTATACAAGTATGTTGGACGTCTTGGAGAGAAAGAAAAGGGCATGTTGGAAGAACGTTTAAAGGTATGTTGTCATGTTTGTATTAGACCTTGTGTATGTGTAGCTAAACAATGTATACATATCAACAGCGTACAAAACCATCTGCCAGCGTCATTGCTGAACGTGAAGCAAAGGCTAAACAAGAAGCTGAGGAAATGGAAGTGGACGAGTTCCCGACTGTCAGCCAATTACCACGTTTACCACGTCCTTCGAAACAACGTATACCAGCACCTCAACACACACCGCCACCGCCACCGCCACAGCAACGTAATGTTGAACCTGAACCTATGGAAGATGTTACGGACGACTATGGAAATCGTGTCGACACTGCTGGTGGAATGGCAGGCCTAAGTGAACCACGGACATTGCCAGGACCATCCTCCATGCGACAGCCACGAACTGCCACCCATCCCAGTTTACAACAAGCCATTCAACAGGAGCGTGGAGATTATATTGTGGATTATCTTATTGCACAAATCACCAATGGCGACCCACAGCCTTCCATTGAAGCATTGAAGCAGCTGGATAAGATTCTCAACTCGAAGCCTGAGCTTATTTTACCTGATATCGAGCCATTGATTAATGCAATCACTTTACAAGTCCGACTTGCTTATTCAACTGTTGATCCTCGGGTACCAGCAACAACACGTCTCTGCAAACATCTTGTCAGCGCCTTGGTGCTTTTGTTTTCGAACCGAGACTTGGCATGTGCCGTATCTCAAGATGCATTACATCATTTACTGGAAGAGCTCGCTCATCGACTTTTGGATCAAAAAATGTTGGCACTTGAATCGGGACCGCAATTATCCAAAGCGCTTAATGTGGCCATGGTGAAGGTATTAGAGAATAGTCAACGCAATGTGACATTTAGGTAAGTGATTCCTTTAAATGCTTCCTTCCTTTTACTAATTCATCTACTATCTCCTAGTGCTCTTCTCTCCTTATTGGGTACCAGCGCAGCTGTTCTTAGACCAGGCGATGATACGAATGCCAAGGAGACAAGATATACGGAGTTGACCATGAAATGTTTGTGGAAATTGGCCAAAACGGTTCAAGAGAATCTACGCACAGGAGTCCTCAATCCAGATGAGCTTCTTTTCGATATCAACAAATTCTTCATCACGACACCACCCACCGAATGGAAACGACGTGCAGCTGAAAGCGTACCTTTGGGAGAGATGCCTTTAAGAACCGTAAAGACCCTTTTGCTGGAATTGGTGAATGGCTTGGGTGACTCGATTTTCCAACATTTGACCTTGATTGATAATCCACAAGCAAGCAGCGTTTATCCTTACTTGCATCACATGTTGGAAGCATGTCGCAAACGTGAACGTATGCAGCAAGTACGACAAAGTCCTTATGCAACCATGCCACAGACTGGATCTGAAAACCCACGCTTTTCGGCCCATTCACGCACCTCATCTCTTAGTCGACCCTCCTCGATCTCGTCACTGAAATCCAATGGCATGGCACGTACTACTTCAATAGGATCCTATCTTTCAGGGGAGCAACCCATGGATACAGGAGCTGCTTCTGGCGGGCATCCTGCAGATATGACTATACCAGTGGCAGCGCCCATGCATCAGCAAACCAATCGTTTATCAACACCATCACCTGTATCCCATAACGTTCAGCCTATGCAAGTGGATGATGAGCCCATGCAGACCGATCGAACTCTTTCTGACTATGAAATGAATCAGCTATTGACACAAATCTTCCACAAGATTGGCACTCGAGATCAAACAAAGCAAGGCATTATCGAATTATACGAGTTCCAAAAGAAGTATCCACTTGCTGAAGCCAAGGTCAACACGTATCTTAGCCAATCCGGCCAATATTTCCAAAGTTACATTCGCCGTGGATTGAGCAATCTTGCTGCTGAAGATACCGATTTACGATCACAACAAGCACAATCTTCACCCGTTGCTATGCACACTACTACAACTACCGCCAATGCCATGACTACGACTACCACTAGCATGGCTTCAGTCCCTGTTTCCAATCTCCCTGCAGCAACAGCATCCATGACTACGGCTCCTATCGGGTCTACTACCGCTGCTGCATCTTCATCTTCATCACCATCATCACCACCACCACAACCGCCAGCAGCTACCACAATCAATACTACTACTACCACTACTACTACCGATTATTCAAGCCATCATTCATCACCTCGCAATTCTTCACCACCCATTTCTTCCCCTGTATTACAGGAACAACAACAACGCCAATCTACCGATCTTAGTCGCACTTCATCCATGTCAGGGTATCGTAGCAGTATGCATGCAGGTAAAGTACACTGTACCATTCCTCCCACTTTATGCATACAAACTCATTATTGTCGTTATTAGATGATTCTACCGAGATCAAGCTTCGTTTGCAAAGGTTGAAACAAAAGTTTGGTGGCAAAACATCGCAACAGCAGCAACATTTTTAAATGATGTCTATCCAAAGAATATACAGCTTTCCTACTAGTATCCATGATTTGTTTCTTTTGTGTATGTGTAGTATAAGGAGATTTGCGATTATGCGATTGTCACCAAAAAGTGAAGGGATGGAATGGGTTGGGTTGGGGGGAAGGTTAAAGAGGGGGTAATTTGAGAATGAGAGAAGAGACTTGGTCCTATGTATGTATCCAACCCCATATTTGTACACACAGACGTATGACGCAGGAAAAACCAAATGCATGCATCATAGGATTACCAAACAAAGAAAGTAAAACGGGCATATGGAAGGAGTATGTAATCGGACAATGCTCCGGGATGGACGACAACGTTGTGAAAATGTTTCCTTTTTCTCTTTGTTCTCCCTTGTTTGAATACATAGACCACGGGGAGAGAGAGAGAGAGAGAGAGAGCAACCACCCACCACCAGAACGTGTTATATATCCTACGTCGACCGTGCGATAGATAATAATTGCATAAAAAAGGAGAGGCATACAACGTTTTGTTCTTTTTCTCCATATCCATGCAAATGCACTGACAAAGGCCAGGGAACTTTCACGCACCTGGTAAGCAACTTATTGGTCAAGATTATGAAATGCATATCTTCTGACGTATGTGTGTGTGTCCTTTTCTCTCCCTTTGCAAAAAAGGAACATCCCACCACCCTCCTATACTGTGTGTGGTTACCCATGCTCTCTCTCACTCACACATACACGCACACACATGCAACAGCATGCGATTTAGTGTACATGATGATGCCTTTCACTTTTTCAGTGTCCATTTTATTGTAAAGTGTATGTATGGCCCTGATCAGCCTTATTTCTGCACCCTGATTTCCCTCCTTCTCGGATATAGCATGTCTCAGAATTCTCCTGATCCTACTATTGCTACTCATACGAGTAGTGGTCCTCTCTCTCTATCTCTCTTTCTCTATGGATGATGATGATGATGAATGCTGCTTGCTCGGGGGAGCCAATAATTTAAGTTTGGCACGTTTTTTCCCTCTCTTTCAACCCCTTCAAAAGTGAACATGCGGCCACGTTGACGAAAAAGTGGAAAGGAAAAAGGGAAAGATATAGAGTGTGGCTCCTTGTAAACAATGTGGGGTATTGGGTAGCAGCAGTAGCAGTACTACTTTCCCCGTAAAACAGCGCGAACCTTCCTCTCCCTTTTTTATCCATGACCCTCTATATATATAAAAAGATGTGGGACCTTGCATTGACTTTATTCGATATGCCCACAAACATGTTAGCCAATTCATACATTCCTTGTTTAAATAGGTGAGATCACTCAAACCAAGTCAAAGGTCTTTTACTCACGTGAATTTTAGCACTTCAAGCAGCAGCAGCACCACACCATCACCTCAAGGTCCGCCGCCGATTGACAACTTTCGGCATTATGGCTCCTCTCTTCCAGTCTCTCCAACATCGGACCACCATGTCAACGCCATTACGCTTCCATCGCCTCCCTTGCCGTCCCATGCAAGTGGCTCATTCCCAACACCACCACCACCACCTGCACCTGCACCTGCGCATCAATCGAGTTTTCGTTATGACATTGTATTGCAAGGTACAGTATACACAACACTCCTCCTACGCGTTAACGTATGTCTTGGGCTGATCATTGTACACACACACACACACACTCCATAGCTCCACCCTCAGTAGCTCAAAGAGAAACTTTCCAGCTTACCTACTTGAACAAGAGTAAGCTTAAACTCTCATCATGGTTCATGCAGGGCACGGGCTTATTCTTCATCCCTTTTTTATTATTAGGCCAGTATTACTGCATTCGTCTCTATGATACGGAGGGCTATGATGGACCCCTGACAAGCACATTGACATTGACATTCCACGAGGAAACTCACAGACGACTCGCTGCTAATTATTGGCGTTTTTGGGCAAGTCAACAAAAGCATCCAACCATGACTCGGGCCCTCGATTTGAGTATGTTGATTCTTCTCTCCTCTCCCCTATCCCATCTTCCTTCTTCTTACCTTTATTGTTGTAGATCACAGTCGATCCAATGGTATTCACTCTGTCCAATATCCTGATTTTGATCGTATCGTTTTCGAATGGAACGGCAAACAAGGTGCAACACTCTATGTGCGATTCAATTGTCTTTCGACCGATTTTTCACGCATCAAAGGTGTCAAGGGGATCCCATTACGACTGCATATGGAAACAACTAGCAATCAACATGCTGAATCCACATTTTGCCGTATCAAGCTTTTCAGAGACAAGGTATACATCCTATTCTCTTCCTACCATGTGGGTTTCTTTATCTCATCCTTGCTTGTAAATAGGGTGCAGAGCGTAAAAACAAGGATGATATGCGATACATTGAACGACAAATGGAACGCATGCGAGGTAAATAATACTACACACGCATGGATATGGCAACGCAATTCGATTGACATTCTTTTTTAAAGAAAAAGGAAGTGATCCACAAGCATTATGGCTCGACTATTGGAAAGCAGTGCATCAACCTTATACAGTGTTTTCAGAAGCAGCGGAGCCACTTATCCATTCACCAGCTGCTGCATGTCATCAACAACAACAACAACGTTCCCATGACCACCATCACCACCACCACCACCACCAGCAGCGGATGATGATGGATCGTCAGCCTACGACAAACGACCAAGATGAAACCGATCTCATGTTTCGTACGACTACAAACAACAACAACAATAGACCCTATGAATCAAGATTTATTAGACACAAACCAATGCGTAAGTAAAAGGAGGTTGTTTTATGGGATATTGTTTGGCTGATGAAGACGTTTATTATTACAGGATTAGCTATTTATGCACGCATGGCTTCATCCGATTTGTATCATGGCATCTATCTCGATGAATTAACAGTACATGAACTCGTACGCAAGGTGTGCGCCAAGATGTTACCCATGAACACCCCAATCAGGGATGTGATCCGTTACGTACCTGGCAAGGATATTGCTGTGCAAATGGACGACTGCATGATAAGGGACATTCAAGATGAACAGGACATGAAAATCGAATACAAGCTCCAAAGTGATGGATCAGCGTTGTTGATACTACATTATTAAGCCCCCTCATCATGATGACAACTTTGCTCTCTTTCTCTCTCTATATATACCTTGTACTATTGGATCAATATTAATAACATGCACACACACACACACACCCATACACACATCCACACACCGACATACATATACAGCATCCAGGAGGTGGGGGAAGAGAGAGAGGATATTGGAGCTATACCAAATTGAGGCGCAGACGCATTAGTGACCTGGAATCAATCATCCTCGCTCGAAATATATGCTCCTTTCGGTTTCAGTTTATGATGCACAGGGCACCAAAACACATAATACATCATCATGCGTTTCTCTTTCTCTTTCTTTCCACTTTTTTATATGGATCCGCATCTTTTGCTATGGAAACTATCACCGTCACCGCCACCATCCTCTTTTTCTACGGCTATCATCACCACCACTACCACCACTACCACCACCACTACCAACGACACTAACAACGAGAGCAACAACGAGATCGATTCTTTCGATACACTACTACCAACGTTGGTTTTACCGGCAATACTTTTATTGAGCATCATTTACTTGTTATACCATCGGCATCGTAGACAAGCAACCAACCCGTTTGACTTGAAACAGGACGTGCTACAACAGCAACAAGACGCGATATTACCTGACGACCACAACGACGATGAATCCTTGTGCCACCAACAACACCAACAACAAGAGCCCAGCAGTAGTAGTAGTAGTCGATATTGCAAACATCTCCAGCTAGTCTTAAGCTGTATTGTGGCTACCGGATGGTTGTGCTGCATGATGATGGTGGATGTTTATGCCGCTGTCTATTTTGTCATATGGGTAAGTGTTGTTATGTATGTGCATGTGTCCATTTGTGTGTGTGTGAAAGTGAAAGTGAAGGTGAGCGTGGCATAAGCTAAAAACTCAGTCTTTACCTTGTTTAGGTGGTGCTTGTCATGATCACATTGGTCTCTCCTTTGTACCAGCTTTATCCCGCACGCCATTACATTTACGTCTTTACCTTCTATTATGGCATATTGATGGTGGATGCAGGGTATCGTATATATGCAGCCTTTCAAAGCGAGTTATGGATGATGGCCCCCGTTCTTTTACGATGGTGGATCATTTATGGCGGTGTTTGCACTGTTTTATTCATACTCACTGGCACTGTACCACAACCGCTCCATCCCAAGAACCTTGTTCCCGAGACAGGCACTGTTACGATCAAGGAAGAAGGATATATTCTCCGTAATGTATGATCACGAGGGGCGTGCGGATAGGAAGGAGTTTAGTTTTCAAGGGGAAAAGGAAAAGCTTATTGTGTTGTATAGGATCGACGCTTAAGTCCAGAGGCAACAGCAAGCATATTTTCATGGGCATTGTTCCAATGGGTAAAGTAGTGGTAGTATCCCTAGTGGACCCCATTGAAAGCTAAAACAATTTGAATAGATTAATCCCTTGGTGATGCTTGGCTATTCGAGACCATTGGAAACGCACGACTTGTATGCACTTTCGTTTCAACATTTGGCAAGGTTTGCCCATATGGATTTTCTTTGTTCAGCCTATGGCAGCATCAGCACTAGCAGCACCAGAAAGATCTTGTATCGATTGTACCACGCGAATCGTCGTACCATTTGGACACAGTTTGCATGTTCCACCTTGGCGGTTGTGTTTGCTTATGCTCAACCTTATTATCAGCAACGCTTTTTGGAGTACTTTGAACAGCGTCAGCATATGAATGTTGAAACGGCTTATGGCTATGCATTCGCCATGTTTGCAGCAGCCATGATCCGCTTATTGTTTATGGGGATCCAATTATGGGCAGGCCGACGATGGAATGTGCGCACATTGTGCATGCTCGATTCTGAAATTTATGCAAAGACGCTACGTCGTAAAGAATCGCACCACACAAGCACTGGCAAAATTACCAATCTGATGAGCGTGGATGCTGACAGGATCGCTGACATTCCAGCTTCCATCTTTGTAAGTCCCCATGTTGTTGCTATGTTGTGTGTATGGGATGCTGATCTATTGGATTGATAGATGTTTTATAATGCACCGCTAGAGCTTGCCATTGCCATCTTTTACTTGTACAACCTTTTGGGTGTGGCATCCGTGATCGGCCTTGGGATGTTTTTGATCCTTTCACCCGTTTCATGGTTCTTGATCCGCCAATTAAGGATAGCGTATGATAACCTGTCATCCGCTGAAGATCGCCGCAATCAATTACTCAATGAGCTATTCCAAGGCATTCGAATGATTAAATACGCTGCATGGGAATCAACATGGCAATCCAAAATCATGGGCGCACGTGATGTGGAGCTTGGACATTTGAAGCATACCTTTGTGATGGATGTAGCCATGAGCATTGGGTATCTCATGGCCCCGGTATTGGTATCGGCATGTGCCTTTATTTGGTATGTCAAGGTCGATAATCATGAACTCTCAGCCAGGTATGGACACTTTTTATCACACACACACACACGCAACTCACATGATATCACCTTTAGCGTCGTGTTTGTCAGCATTACTCTATTTGACATGCTACGCAATCCAATCATGCTCATCCCTGACGCTATCAGTGTTTTTACCGAAGCCTATGTCAGCCTCAAACGAATATCAGAATATCTCGATCATCCCGAAGTGGACAATGATGACGACCAACAAGAACAAAGAAATAGTACCAATCTTGGATTTGAATCATCATCGGTGTTTACATGGCCACGGGATCATGGCATTAACAATGACAATGGCACAAAAAAGGAACACGATAGCAACAACAACAACGACAATGAAAGGAAACCGCTTCTTGATACCCCTCTGTCATCATCACCACCATCACCACCCTCCTATGGTGCAGCAGCAGCAGCAGAGTCATTACCATTATTTCAATTGCGTATTCCCCATGGCTTTGACTTTCCCAAAAACAAGCTTAGTCTGGTGATTGGACCCACAGGGAGTGGCAAATCCAGTTTGCTACATGCAGTCTTGGGCGAAATGGATACAATTTCGGGTGGCTCTCATCATCCAGCCATGGTGTCTTATGTTGCTCAACATCCATTCTTGCAACAAACATCGATTCGCGACAATATTTTATTTGGGATGCCCTATCACAAAGCTCGCTACCATCAAGTATTGCATCAATGTGCTCTTGTCAAGGATCTTGCTATTCTTCCTGATGGTGATATGACCGAAATTGGAGAAAAAGGAATTTCCCTTTCGGGTGGTCAAAAGCAACGGTAGGTGGTGATGATAGCGTAGTGGTAGTATACATGACCTCTTTTTTGACCTTGAAAATAGGGTATCGCTTGCACGTGCAGTCTACTCAATGGCACAAACGGTCCTTTTGGATGATTGTCTTAGTGCCGTGGATACACATACAGCACAACACATTTTCCAGTCATGTCTTTTGGGTAACTTGCTCAAGGATCGCACCGTTGTCATGGTCACACATCATGTACAACTTTGTTTGCCAGCCGCCAAATTCCTCGTCAAGATGGATCCAGAAGGTCGTGTTGCAGCATTTGGTGATACAGACACGCTTTTAAAAGCTGGCACGCTTGTTGATGTGATAGGAAGCAGTCGTTGCCATGTTGAAGATGATGTCATGGCAACGACAGGAAAGGATCATCAACAACAACATGATAATGGCAACGCTGCTGCTGCTGCTGCTGCTGCTGTAGCTCAAGATAAGCAAGGTGACAGATTTATCTCAGAAGAACGAGCGGCTCGAGGACATGTCAAATTCAAAGTTCATGCAACCTACCTAAAAGCATGTGGTGGATGGCCATTTTGGGTATTGCTTTGTTTGTTCTTTGTTGGATCACGCGTACTGGTCTTTGTTGAAACTTGGTAGGCCTTGATGAAAAATCACTATTTGGAGATGCTTACACGTATCAAAACAACAGGTGGTTACGAACATGGGCAGCAGCCTATTCCATAGACAGCCTTACGACGACGACATCAAATGATGACGTTCCAGTGGATTATTACATCATGGTGTATGTACTCCTTTGTATCGCCTTTGTTGCTTGTGATACAGTACGCAACGTACTTTTATACTATGGATCATTACGAGGCGCACGTAGACTCTTTGACCAGCTTCTTGATCGTGTCATCCATGCACCTATGCGTTTCTTTGATACCACACCCATTGGACGTCTTCTTAATCGCTTTGGAGCGGATATGGTGGTGATCGATATGCAGATGGCTCGTACAGCAAGCATGATGGTAGAATGTATTACGGGAATGGTAGCATCTTCGATCATCATTAGCGCCATCACTCCACAATTTATTTTGGTAGCCTTGATCACAGGTAAGCTATCATGTAATGCACGCAAGAAGGGATAAAAAACTAAAGTATTCTATACATTAGCTGTTGTGTATGCTGTTGTCGGCATTCTTTATTTGCACTCTTCAAGAGAGCTCAAACGTCTCAATTCCATCAGTCGATCACCCATTTATTCTCATTTTACGGAGACGCTTACTGGTGCTGTGACAATTCGTGCATTTGCACAATCACGACGCTTTCTTGTCAACATGTACAACAAGCTGGATGAGTTTGCATCCCCGTTTTATACCCTTTGGATGGTGAATCGATGGCTTTTGGTGCGTATGGATACAGCGGGTGCATGCATGACATTGGGTGCTGCTATTCTCTTACTCAAGAACCAAGATACCATTGATGCTGGTATGGCCGGCATTTCATTGATCTATGCACGAAGCTTTTTGAGTCATGTGTATTGGATGATTCGGCAATATACTCAAGTTGAAATGAATCTAAATGCTGTCGAGCGAGTACAAGAGTACCTGGAATTGGAGCAAGAACCTCAAGGACAATCTCTTCCCCCAAAGCAATGGCCCAACAAGGCAACATTGAAGATACGGCATTTGGATGTACGCTATGCAGCTCATTTGGATCCTGTATTGTGCAATGTATCACTCGATATCCATCACAAGGAGAAGATTGGTGTTGTGGGAAGAACAGGATCGGGTAAAACCACCCTTGGACTTGCCTTGTTTCGATTTATTGAAGCATCCACTGGAAGTATTTTCTTGGATGGGATCGATATTGCTCATGTGGACATATACCAGCTTCGATCACGCCTTACGATGATACCTCAAGATGCTGCTCTTTTCTCAGGCACTGTACGCAGCAACCTTGATCCATGCAATGAGCATACTGACACGATCCTATGGCGTGCGTTGAGTCGAGTCCATATGACATCTACAATCAAAAGCCTTGATGAATCAGTGACAGATGGTGGTGCCAATTGGTCTCAAGGTCAAAGACAACTTTTATGTATGGCACGTGCTCTCTTGAAAAAGAGTCCATTGATTGTCATGGATGAGGCGACTGCCAGTATCGATTTTGACATGGATGCCAAGATACAACAAACGATCCATACCGAGTTTGCTGATTCAACTTTGATATGCATTGCCCATCGTTTGCATACCATTATCGATTATGATCGCGTGCTCGTGCTGGATCAGGGCCGCGTCGCCGAATTTGATACACCTCGTCAATTACTCTCCAAATCAAATAGTCTTTTTAGAGCCATGTGTGAACAATCAGGGGATCTCGATACACTTGTAAAAAGAGCCATACAATAAGTAGTAACATTGTGTAAATATACATCTAAGCATTTTGAACAAAACAATACACGATCTGTATTTCTTGATTTTTTAAAAACAGCGGCAAAAGGGAGGTTTGGGGGAAAAAGCATGGAATGCGTGTGTTGTGTGTGTGTGTGTGTTGTGTATGTTGGACGAGGCGAGATTTGATGTGATTATATTTACTGGGCACCCATCTCCTTGGCAAGTTCCTCAGCACGCTTGATGACATCGCTGATATCGCCTTGCATGTAGAAAGCGGATTCAGGAAGGCTATCGTGCTTACCATCCAAGATTTCACGGAAGGAGCGGATGGTGTCAGTGAGCTTGACAAGACGACCTTCATAACCAGTGAAGACTTGGGCAACAGCGAAGGGTTGGGACAAGAAACGTTGGATCTTACGGGCACGTTCGACAACGAGCTTATCTTCTTCGGACAATTCATCCATACCCAAAATGGCAATGATATCTTGAAGAGACTTGTAGTTTTGAAGGATTTGTTGGACACCAGTGGCAACGGAGTAGTGCTCATCACCAACGATACGGGGATCCAAGATACGAGACTTGGAGTCAAGGGGATCGACAGCGGGGTAGATACCCAACTCAGCAATGGAACGAGACAACACAGTGGTGGCGTCCAAGTGAGCAAAAGTAGTAGCAGGAGCAGGATCGGTCAAATCATCAGCAGGGACGTAGACAGCTTGCACGGAGGTAATGGAACCATTCTTGGTGGTAGTAATACGCTCTTGCATACCACCCATATCAGTGGAAAGAGTGGGTTGATAACCGACAGCAGAGGGAATACGACCAAGCAAAGCGGACACTTCGGAACCGGCTTGAGTGAAACGGAAAATGTTGTCAATGAAGAGCAACACATCTTGGCCTTCCTCATCACGGAAGTATTCGGCAATGGTCAAACCAGTCAAAGCGACACGAGCACGAGCTCCAGGGGGTTCGTTCATTTGACCAAAGACAAGAGCACACTTGGATTCACCATCAAGCTTGATGACACCAGTGGAAATCATTTCGTGGTACAAATCGTTACCCTCACGAGTACGTTCACCAACACCACAAAAGATGGAGTAACCACCATGAGCCTTGGCAATGTTGTTGATCAACTCTTGAATCAAGACGGTCTTGCCGACACCGGCACCACCGAAAAGACCAATCTTACCACCACGAGCATAGGGAGCAAGCAAATCGACAACCTTGATACCAGTCTCAAGAATCTCGGGAGTAGGAGATTGATCAACGAATTCGGGAGCATCGGCGTGGATAGCACGAGTGGCCTTGGACTTGATAGGACCACGCTCATCAATGGGCTCACCAATGACGTTAATGATACGACCAAGGACTTCGTTACCAACAGGAATGGTGATAGGAGCACCAGTGTCAATGACCTTTTGACCACGAACAAGACCTTTTATAGGACATCGTATTAACATACATACATACATCTTCATCCAAGTCTTTTGATGATTGTAATTACCTTCAGTACCATCCATGGCAATAGTACGAACAGTGTTCTCACCCAAGTGTTGAGCAACTTCGAGGACAAGACGACCACCAGCATGATCCTTGACTTCCAAAGCGTTCAAGATAGCAGGCAAGTTCTCTTGGTCAAATTGAACGTCAACAACGGCACCAATAACCGAACTAGAATAGGTCATCAGCAACCAAGAATAGTGTGGTTGTCATAGAAACACGTACCGAATTTGACCAGCAGCATTAGCTTCAGAGGCATAGTTGCGAGCTGTAAAAAGATTTTACACGTTATTGATACAATGGCGAGATGGCGTGCATGGGACTAGATTTTTACATACCCTTGATGGCGACAGGAGCAGTGAATGACTTGTTAGCGATGCGTGCAGCAGGGGCAGCACGGAACGCGTTCGAGGCAACGCGACCGATAGCACGAGAGATATACATGGTGCGCAAGAGAAAGGCTGTATCCCCACCCCTGCAGAGCACGCAAATTTATTTGGCTGAGAAAAAAAACACTGGTGGCGCAGATTGTCCCAGGGAGGGGAATCCTCCTACTCCTCCTCCTCCTCCTCTTACTCAAGGTAGATGTTGCTGTTGAATACCTTATTGTGTCATGTGGATGTGTGTGTGCGCGTGCATAGAGATATAAATGAAATGGTGGTATCCATGATGATGAAAAGTGTATACCTTTTTGAGAAAATGGTTGCCTTGGAAACAAGAAAAAGGATGATGCTGATGATTGAATGCCCCAAAATATAACATTCGCATTGAACATGCATGGTCGTGTAATTATATGAAAGCAATCGAATGTAGCAAAAGCCAATTGTGTATGATGGGATGATCTTGCTTTACTTATCATACTCCTCTTGTAATGCTCAATGCATCATCGGCTATACGTATATGCAGTGCTGATACATTTCAAAATCAATTGCCTACGATCATTTACTGTAACCCTATTGTGGATGTGGTTGAAATTCACGATAATGAGGAGGTAGGATGAATCCATATCGATATCACAAACACAAGGGTCATAAGAAGAAGCATCATGTTCTTGATGTCAAAGCACGACGTGTGGGAAATGAATGGTATTATCTGATCCTTGGTTGTAGGGTAAATGATAAGAATGGGTGGTTGAATCGACATCTCAAAGAGAGACTTGTATCACCCACCTCTTGACGAGCCATCGAGTCCTTGGCAAACTATCACCAATGCCCTTCCCTTGATTATGCATCTCCGCTTCATGTCGATATTGCCGTCGTGGTCATTTCCCGTAAATAGCTCAGTGCTTGCTTTGGACCTCAAACCAGCAAGGAAGGATGGGTTGTTTTCTTGTTGTTCTCGATCATCCTATCGCAAAGGTTGATTCTGCCATTGTTCATCGTTTATTTCCCCACCTTTATGTGGTTGTGTGCTTCCATTCCACAAAGTTAAAAAGTTGTTGGATCATCATCATCATTCTTATCACACGTGTTGTCGTCTTTGATAGTAGAGTGGGTCGATGATAAGGGATATTAAACTTTTACATCAATGAGGATACAATCGAAGAATGCCCATTGTATTAGGGGAGATGTGTGGGTGGGTGGTTTGTGCAGATTGCATGCACTGGGCATATACAGTTGTGTGCTGCTAGCTCGCTCGCTCATTGCAGTGGTGGTGGTGAATTCCGCTCTCAGAGAACATGTGAGCAACGCAAGACACCTTTCGCTTTTTTGATTCCTTTCGTACACCTCCCTTTTCCGCTATTTCCACCTTTTTCAAATACAAACGCAACTATGTCTTCCAGTCGAAAGAAAGTTCTTTTGAAGGTAAGCTTTGTGCAGGACACACATACACTCTTCGCCTGCGGGAAGAACAAAAGACAACTTGTTTGAAACAGCGGCTCATGTACCAACATTAGGTCATTATCCTCGGCGATAGTGGGTAAGCCCATCGAGATGACATGCACTGATTTCACCTCTTGATGCTCACATGCTGCTACTCTAGTGTTGGCAAGACATCGCTTATGAACCAGTATGTGAACAAAAAGTTCTCCAACCAATACAAGGCCACTATTGGAGCCGACTTTCTCACCAAGGAAGTACTTGTCGATGACCGTCTCGTGACGATGCAGGTGTGTGTGTGTTTTTGCAACACAAATCGATGCCGCCATCCACTGATCCCCTTTTTTTACATTCTCGGCTGGATAGATTTGGGATACGGCAGGTCAAGAGCGTTTCCAATCCTTGGGTGTGGCGTTTTACCGAGGCGCGGATTGTTGCGTCTTGACTTATGATGTGAACAACAGCAGAAGTTTCGAATCCCTTGGTATGTAACAAGGTCTTGCTATGTTTTAGAAAAAAAAGAGGCTGATTCATGTTTGCGTTTTTCTTTTCTTTCCTTGTGGCTAGATCAATGGAGAGATGAGTAAGTTGTTCTTTTTAGGATGGTCATAGTGGCATGTTATTCACCATCGCATAACAGATTCTTAATCCAAGCCTCTCCTCGAGATTCCGAGAGCTTCCCTTTTGTGTTGCTTGGTAACAAGATTGATGTGGAGGAATCGAGACGCATGGTAAGTGATGGATATGACACTTTTATGTCAAAAGGCGTTCCCTTGACACATACATCCCATCTCTTTTTTTGTTACAGGTGTCCCAAAAGCGTGCTATGGCTTGGTGCCAATCCAAGGGCAATGTGCCGTGAGTAAAAAGGATTTATGCAAAAGGCGTGTTCCCCCCCCCCTTTTTTTCTAACATGTATTGTTCTAGTTACTTTGAGACTTCGGCCAAGGAAGCTATCAATGTTGAACAAGCTTTCCAGACCATTGCAAAGAACGCCTTGTCGCGTGAAACCGATGTCGACATGTAAGAGAATGAGGATCCTCATTTGTTTCAACGTGGTGTGCTGATTTCGATCCCTTTGTGTAGCGATTTCCCTGATACCGTCAACGTTTCGAATACCGATCGGCAGAGCCCAGAGCCTGGCTGTGCATGCTAATCTCCCTCACTATCTCTCTCTTTCTCTTTCTCTTTCTCTTTCTCCCATCCCCCCTTCTTCCTAATATGATACGATATCTACCTGTGGAATAAATTACTGTACGGCATGTTGCAATGGCAACATCTTTTACACGTGCACTTTATTTACCCTCCATCGGTACACGTACATAGTTTATGCCTTTGATAAGACTTTAATACTGCTTGATGAACAGATCTCTTTATGCATCAGAGAACTCCAAACTTCATTCATTCTTATAATAAAAGGCACATGCTTCTCGTGTCAATATTAAAGAGGTACTCTTTCAAGAGGATAGGCGTTTGTCTAAGACAACTCTTCCATTAAGGGTGAAGTGTTGGAGAGAACCTTTGTATATCACAATGCCAACATCAACCATTAAAGTAGAAAGAATCCCCCGTTTCTTTGTATGTAAGTCTAATGTCGAAATTCATGCTGTATCATAAAATCGCTGCTGGTGTTAATGTCGATGAAATGCATTCAAGGTAAAAAAAAAAGTCGTGATTGGGAGAATCAAGCTGAAAACTGATAGCTTTTTAATGGTAATGGATGTGATGATGTGTAATCTATTGTCTCGCGCGAACAGTGGGTTCCCATGCAGTGACCTTAGCCTTGGTAGTGCTGTAAGTTCTGAAGGAGCTGCGAGTACCAGTGAAGTTGGGAGTGGGTTCGGTCCACCACTTTTGAGGCTGAATGCTATCCATGGCAGTAGGAGGTTCCTGGACAATTCTTGCCAACCACATATGCCTAATAGTAGCAAAGCAACCCCATTCAGTATCATTTCGTATCATTATTAGTCTCATCCTCCTTTACCATGCAGGATCGATATCAGCGGCATCAGGATCAACACTTGCAAAATCAACCCAACGCTCACGACCTGATGATATTGAAGAACGTATATAAGCTGATGTATCAAAGGTGTCATTCGTCTTTTTTTTTTATTACTGACCAGAGATTTCGTCGTTGTTCTCAAAGTACTTGTTGCCGAAACGATCAATACCAATGAGAGGACCCCATTTAGTATCGCCAATGTTGTTCATTTGGTGAAGTGCATCTTTGGGGCCCGTCTTTAGGACATTCTTGATGGTGCGTCCAATGGTCGACATGTTGGAAGAAGAACAAGCTTTAACACGAAGGTGGTTGTCCTCCCATGAAACTTGGGGGAACACGACGTCACTAGCTGAGTTGCCTTTAACAGCAGCAGCAGCAGCAGCAGCAGCAGGAAGGAGGTGGTAGTGGTAGTCTTGGAGATAGAACCCGCCTTGCTCTTTACTTTGCAAACCCTTCAATGAACGACAATGGATAACAGTACTACACACGACCACGATGCCAATGCACCTGATGCTGTTCATGAGGACACGAATGCTGTGGACAAAGGAGACGACCATCCCACTGACGGATCGTTTGATGAGGAGGATCGGGGTACTTTGGAACAACCAAGTAGCAGCTCAACGACAGCGACGACGGCTGCAACCGAGGATAACAAGGCAATGGATGATGATGATTTTGGAGACTTTGGAGATAACAATGACGAGTTTGGAGACTTTGATGATTTCCAGTCGACTGAGGACTTTGATGATTTCCAATCAATGGATGATGGATTTGGTCCTATTGAGCAGCAACAGCAGGAGGATAATGATGCCGATATGAATGACGCACAACCAACAACACCTCCATCACCTCCCAAACCAACAGAAGCGGAAGAGTATGTGCGTATAACATTTCGATCTATCTCTCTCGCTCTCTTCATCATCATGATGGCATGAGGTACTTATTTTTGCATTGATAGGTCCGAGTCTTGGATACAGCACAACATGCAACAGAGATAACAGCCCATTTGGATCATTTCTTTAAGCGCATTTGGTCCCTTGATGATGACAATGAAAACCAGCTACAACAACAAGAAGAACTCGTAGCATCACCCACATCCATGGAACCACCTACCAAGATTTTATGCACGCCATGTAGCGAGAATCTTTGGGACAAGTTATCCCGCGACTCGGTGTTTTATAACCCTATCACAGGATCCATTGGCCAATTCCAGTGGACTCGCTCAGAGACCAACAAGGCCTATCTTACTGCTCTCGGTGTCACTATCAATTATGAAGAGGTAATGGATGGCATACGGATTTTCTACAATGGCATATTGACGTTTTTTTTTATTTAGAAATCAAGTCCAAGTAGTGGTAGCATGGGCTCTCCTGCAATGGGAAGCAAACGACCGCAATCCAATTATCTAGACACCAAGCAGACATCTTCTCCACGCTCCATGGAACGACGTTCATCACCCAACCACACACGATCCACATCTTTGTCGGGTGTTCATGTACCTGTAACAGAGAGTCGACAACACAGCGATGATGATGATGAAGAAGTTGACAACAGCAACAAAAAGGCGCCTGTGGAAGAAGAACCGGAATTGGATATTGACATAGCAAAGGCTTATTGTGAATTGACGGAAGGTAAAAATTTCATTGTCATGGATACGGGGATCATCACTTAGCTCAACATCACGTTGTCATAGAAACGATTCGGATATTCCCTGATGAAAAACTCAAATCCATGGTGACCGAACTTTCAAGGTTACAACGGCAAGCGACAGAGTACTTGACTTATCTCTTGGATCAACGAGAACAACTCATGATGGATGCTGAAACATACAACGACTTGATCAGCTGCATTGTTGGCCATGCTCAACGACTCCGTGAACAACATGTTGGACGTGATGCTAGCCCTGCCATGGTTAGCAAAAAGAAGAAAACGGGTGGTAGTCTAAGCATGCTGCGGCGAAAACAAAATAGCTCTGGTGCCAGTATGGGAGGAGGTGTTGTTGGTCTAAAGCAAGGATCTACCACCACCAATGCTACACAAAAAAAGAATATACCACCACCAACATCTACTACTACAGCAGAAGGAAGACGGTCCATGTGATCAAACAAACATCAAGTAGTATACACACACCACCACCTCCTACATCTTAGTACCCTCCTTTAGTTATTCCTTTCCCCTCCTCGCTCTCTATACATTCTATTGATCCAACATTCATTCATTCATTCATGATGATGATGATACATACATTTATATATATATTTGTTCTCGTTTGCCACTTTTTTTACAAGAGAGAGTATTTTGCCATGAGAAAAGATGTGTGTGTGAGAGAGAGATAGGGGGTATGTAGTATAATGAAAGTGTCTCTCTATATTAATTGCCGGATGCTTTTTCTTGTTCCAATGCTGCTTTTCGTTGCCGTAATGCAAGGATTTGTTGATTCACTTCACGTTGTGCTTTATCCAACCGATCCAATTCCTCTTGTTCCATTTGAACGCAGAAGGGAGGTACTGTAGAATCCTTTCCTGTGTATTTCCTCACGGGTAATGCTGTTGAGTTGACGACGTTGTTGTCTGCAAGGATCTGGTAGAATGATTCGGTAGGCTCGTTGAACACCAATTCATCGTAAACAAAGCTTGTTACTGGTTTATCCTTTGGCCATGTTCCTCCTGATGGATCATCTTGATAAGGATGTAGCCGGATGTGATGATAGAGTTGTGCTGCTTTTTCGTTGGCTGCTGGATGGAAATGGACCTTGACCAAGACCTCAAATTCACCCCATCCTGTCTCTGATAATTCAAAAGGAGGTTCCTCGATGGCTAGTATGGAGGTATTAGGATACACTTTTGTATATGTATATGATGATACCTACTTCTCACAGGATTAGGATAGGTGTCGTGCAACCGAAAAACGACTTTTTTGACACAAAAGCTGAGATCGCCGTGGAATCCACGTAATGCTATAGTCCACTTGTGCGTATGATCCGAATCGGCTGCTTTTTTGCCTGTCAATGGCATCGCAAAGTTGCATGTGTATACAGGTAGGGAGACGCTGACACCCTTCATTCGTTTGTTGCTCGCCATGGTGGGTAGATGAGTAGAGTAGAAAGAAAGAGAGAGAGAGAGAGAAAAAGTGACCAAGTCACGAGCGGTGTGCCTCATTGTACTTACTCTTTTCTTCTTTTTACCTTGTATCGCTTTGACCACTCACCCGCACCTCCACTTTGATATGTCAACACGACAAGAGACCTTCCAAGCTGAACAAGCAGCACTCTTAGAAAAGACACACCAGGGATTGGACCAGCTATTTCGCAATTTGAATCAGTTGCATGGCAATCTGGAGCAGATCAACACTGTCGGCAAAGGGTTTCACTATGCCTCTGATATATGGCACGACTTTTACAGTGCACTCAAGGAACACAATGATAGCACGGGATCTGGTGGTGGACAACAACAACAACAACAACAACAGTAAAATACCCTCGACATATACCAGATCAGATGGTATGTTTTTTTCACATCTGCATATGCAAAAAGGCTGTGATGATGGGTGGATGGTGTTACTGATGGGCGTTTCCGGTGTAAGGATAGTGGATGTACACATACGCGCACACACACACACACACATGCCATGGACATAGGATGGGATTCTTGGATGGGATGATGATCTTTTTTTTTGTCCCTGATTCTCGTTCGCTTGCTCTCTCTTGTTCCCGATTCCTGCTTTCAAATCACCTTCTGTACCCATCACTTTGATTCGATCCATAGGGTTCATATCCGATCTTTTTCCTTTATCATGATTGAATCTACAATACGAATTGTTTGTTGTTGCACACTTGTATGATTATGCTCTAGCATGAGTCGCGCGATATAAGAGAATGAGGGTTTCGGATGAAAGAGTATATCAGAGAGAGGTGACAGGTTTCACAGCAGTGTTGAACCGGATGGGAGTAACTCGGTTGCGTGTATTTCAAAAAGTTGAGCGGGAGCAACACCAGAGTTGCCATGTACAACCTACACCCAAGAGATCGGTAAGCTGTGAGAGAAGCAAGATTCGCCGGGATGTATACGCGTCTCAATTTGACTCTAAACCTGTTTTGCATTAATGGGGCCTTGGGGGAGGGATACACAGGAGCAGGGCAGCAGCAGCAGCAGCAGTAGAAGAAGAAAGGGAGATCAAAAAAGCAGCCCTTGTAGCACACGATGAAACTCTAAGCAATGGCCAAAATCAGTGAACATTGGCTTTTTTGGTCGACAAACGACAAAAGATCCACATCGTACAACTTTATCCTAATGCGACTTTTGAATGGGGGGATGTGTGGGCATTGTGAATATAAAGTAAAATATTATACATTCATTTTCATTCATGCTTGCAAATAATGACATTGAGTGTGCTTCTCAAATGCTTCATACACACTGTTAAAGAATGTATCTCTTCCGCCATGGTCGTGCAACAGGAACGAACCCCCATCCTCACGTACATAGGCTTATACCAAATCCGCTGTTGTTGGTTTTCTTCTCTCTCAACCCCCCACCCCCCAAAAAAACGGGTGCTATCTCATTCCGGTCGCCGGCTGTATCAAGTGAAAGGAACATTTGCCCCATTGTTCGACAATGGACAATAACATACGTGTGCATGTGAGTACAAAAATGGGTCGATAATCACATGCGGATGGATGATATGGAGAGAAAAATCCTACGATGATACCACAACATCCCCGAGTGAAGGGCGTTTCCTAAGCAAACGAGGCGCACAGGCGTAGTATAGAGTAGTGAGTGGTCCGGGCGGAGATGCAGCGTTGGCATGGTCAGTGTGTCAGCCGATAAACATTCTGCACATCAACCTTTGCTTCTGTTTACTTCCATTACAAACATTGGGAACATGAATCACACACACATTTTCCCCCTCACAAATCATTTGAGAAATAGGCATGGATAAAGAAAGGCACCCAATCATATGCATGATGATGCTGTTGATTACTATTTATCATCATCGGAGAGGTAAAAACATGAAATGCCACGTCAACAAAATAGCACGATGGGGTTACAAAGCTAATCCTGACGGTAGTGTCAATCAATGAGCCAAAAAGGAGTAGTAAAGAATGGGGTGTGTGTTTGAGTCGAGATTCTCGATCATCAAGAGAACGAGCTTACTTGTCAGTCATTAGTGCGGAAGCAAGTCGGGGGAACGCTAGGATGATTTCCGACGCGGCATATGAAGGTGATAACTCAAGGGGGCAGCATAGCAACTCAATGAGGACCACATCCATTGCACTCATTGGACACAAAGACCATAAAAGGCAACACTATGCAACTCACGCTCGCGCGCTTAGTGATATATAAATACAGCTGTCGACGAAACATGATTGCATATACGCACACGCCTTTTTCCTCTTTATTTTATTTCACCCATTTCTTTCAACATGGTATCCACTGCTTCATCTTGTCATGATGATTGGATGTTTATCCGATCCGTATCCACTGGAAATGTCATCACTGCACAAAACGACTTGACCGATCCTCGACGATCTCAGGTGATGGTTGCTGCACCACGATGTATCGATGAAGAGTTGTGGCGATGGGATGGTCAATTTTTACGCAACAAAGCAACCAATCTTGTTCTCGACATTCGAAAAGGTATATACTTGAGCATCATCAAACCAAAAACAACGCATGACGATTGACACCCATTTCTTTGGCAGGGCGGCTGCGCTTGATTCAAGAAACAGAAATCTGCTTATATGACGCAAAGCCTGTAGAAGAAGCACACAACCAACTTTGGGGCGTACGAGAAGGGATTATGGATGCACTTGGTAGACAGCAACCTGGCAATGTGATTTATTCATTAAGCAATGACGATTGGGTGTTGGATATCCACTCGAATCCAGAGAATGGCACATGCAAGTTGATTCTTTTTCCATTTCAAGCCGTCGACAATGACTTTCAACTTTGGACCTTTGTGAATGAAAATGACAAAGAACAACTCGACATGGCTCCAGCCATCAAAAACACCCTGCCATCCAGTACAATCCCTAGCTCCGAAGCCGAAATGTACTCCCAAGGTCTAAGTCCTGCTAAGCGTGGATCCCAAAGTTCGGTTACGATGCTATCACTCGATGCATATCGTGAATGTCATCAAATGGTTTATCTTGAACGTAATCCGCGTCTCAGGTAAGAAATGGAAAATGGAAAAGGGAAATCGGTCACCCAAAAAAGAAAGCTTAAACCTTGTTTTTTTTTTTTTGTTTTCCTTCCATAGCGACAAAGCCATTGCCATGGCAGCTGCTTATGAAACCTGGCAAAAATGGAACCAAGAACGTATGGGTGCCGATACCATGCCTCAAGTAGACAAGATCCGATCGATGCTGCAGTCGTCTGCAGAGAACGAGGTATGTATATACATGGGCGGAATAAGGGCTTGGGGATACAACATACGCGCGCATGCATAGAGGCAGTGTATTCTAATGATGGGAAATGTTGTGATAGGCCAGCCGTATTTTTGATCAGTGTGATCAGCTGAGCAATCACAAGGAAACGGCATTGAATTTGGCGTCGCGTTTGGTCATTCAGCTTTATGAACAAGTGCTCACTTCCCCATGAGGAGGTTAGCCATTTTCCACCCACCCCCAGCTTATTCTGCTCCGCACAGACTTGACTTTCCTTATTGTACATCTTCCCATTCCTTGCTTACTTCTGGTTCTCGCCCAGCCCGACATCTGTCCTTGTTGTTATACACACACACACACACTCACTCACTTTCACTCTCACTCTCACTCTCACTCATTCTCCATGTATCATGTCCCCCCCCCCTTTTACCCCCTTTCATTTTTTACCCCCAG